AAGTAGGTACAATTTTGAAGAACAACTTTCCCTAAATTTCCTCCCGGTGTGTAGTTAATCTTGACAAAATAATAATTTCAAAGTGATTGCGTTTCAGGAGACTAATTTCCCTTTTCATCCACCACCACCACCCATCCAGCCAAATGATATTTTCACACGATTTAGAAACAAGTAGTACTAATCTCTCGAGTGAGAAATTATATTTTGACAGGGGACACGTGGGATGATGATCAAATCTATTGTGTTAGCAGAGAGAAAGAGAGTGAAAGATCTCCCCTCGCTCCGGAGCTGATCAAGTCAAGTGCATCAGATAAATGAAACAAAGCAGGTTTTCGCTGTGGTCCCTCTTGTGCTGGAGACTCATCTCTCACTCACTTTTCCTAACTGACTCCGCTCTGTATGCCATAATAATTCTCGTTATGAAAAGAGCAACGATAACAATGTTGTCCCTACACGATTCACTTTTTGATTATGTTTTAATCTCGGAGGCGGTTGATCTGATCTATTTTCCGGCCCTGGAAAGTTTTCCTGACACGTGACTTGATGTCGCATAGGTGCATAATTGTTTTGACGAGTGGATGCACATGGAGGAAGGAAGGACTTTGTCGATTACAATTTAATTTTGGATGTACTTTGGATCATAAGTGCGATATGTATGGCTTTTTAAGCAGATGAACATGGCAGGTTGGAGGTACACAGTACAGTTTTAGTTAATGTACGTACATTTAAAAGTTGTGTTTGAAGAATTGATTAGAAAATTTAGCAGTTTGGCGTAAATGCGGAAGAAGAGTTAATAATAGTCTAGATAGTCGATTGGAGGATTAGATGGGGTATATTTCGCTCTTTGTGTACAGTCTGAAAATAAGGTTGAAATACGGCTCATGCTGTAGGTCTGCCTCTCTTTTGGGATAATGGAGTGGGCTGAGAGTGAATTAAATAAAGGGACACATTCAAAGGATGAGTTTTCCTCGTAAGTAATGTTAGAATTGTGAGAAATTAACTCCCAATGGACTCTGGCATTTGATTTCCATCACGGATTTTTCCATCCAACGACCAACTACCATCCAACGACAAAGGGGCAACGGAGCAGAACAAAATAAATTAAGTCATCAAACGATTCAGGGGAAATTGAAACATTATTACGATCCGTCCTTCTGATCTGCCTTCTCAATAGTCCCGGCAGACGCGTAATCGTCGTCCTTGTGTTCAGCAACAGATATTATTTGTAACTGCATTCATACATATATGGGATTGTCTAATGGACTATAATAATCCGCTGCCCTGTTGATATACGGCTCGTAAATAAGGTTCAGTCAAGATTTGACTCATACAGTCGTAGAGCCTCCGCTCTCGATATCTTCTTCTGGTTATGCTCCCGTTCCAACCAATTGCTTTTTAATTTAATTAGACAAATTTTATTACAATCTCATTGTTCAAATGTGAATAGAACTGCCGAGCAGAGCAGATGAGCTGGTTTTGCTGCTGCTGCTGCTGGGGAGGCAAAGTTCGTGTTGTTCCCTTCTACACGAATTCTACGTTGTTCTAATATCTCAGAGAACAGAGGAGTGGAGCAAAATGAGAAATTGAATCGGAATGGTGTTGTTATTCCTTTGTTATTGGTCCTGCCTGTGGATATGTGACCATTGGTCTGCAGAATGCAATCAGCAAGAAGAAGCAGAAGAGGGGCCGAGATGAGTTGCTTTTTTGGGGAAAAAGTGAGATAATGGTGGGAGAAAGTGGGATGAAGGCGTGAATGAGTGAGTGAAGGAATGGATGGACAGGAGAGTGGTGGTAGCGTTGGTGGTGGTGGTGGTGGTGGTGGCGAGGAATCAAGTGAAAGTGGAAAGATGGACTGACGCCGTTGTGAAAGACAACGAGATTGGCTCCTCCATCTCGAGCAGTTTACCTTTCCCTGGGCAATATACAATTCAAGAGAATCGGACGATAAATTGATGAAAAAGGGCCAATTTTGTTTCCCTTCGTTAATCTTTGATGCTCGCCGTAATTCCGAGGAGAGAGAGAGAGAAAGAGAGGTCAGAATCCAGAGTCAAGGTGGTTCTTGTTGTTGGTCTATCTCTTCCTTTGGCTGACTGCGACTTGGCTGGAGCGGAATAAACTCCTCATCCATTATGGATTCCTCTTCCCCATTTCTTTTGTCAATTTTAGCTCGTCACTCTTTGATTTTGTCCGCTTTTTCACTCACTCCGTGTGAGAAAGGCTCGTCAAAAATTTAGGGAGGGATCGACAAAAAAACTTTTCCGGGGTTGATCGTCCACTCAATATTTCATCGACTTCAAACCGCATTGCTTTTCCATCTTAACTTGATTCCATCACTTCAGAATTCAAATATATCAGCTCCGATTTTATTTCTTTGAAAACGCTTTTATCGACTTGTAGGCAAACCTATGGGGTTCAATCAAAGACCACTCGCACTCAGATCGACCGACCCACACACCGACCAAATCTCTGCCACTCTTCACTATCTCACCTTTCCTACTTCTTCCCCACATGAATTGTTCATCCCTTTCCAATCATAACCATTTCACTCAATAAGGCGAAAATATGTACCTAAACACACAGACAGAAATATCCACTCGGATAATAAATTATATAAAACTAGTGGATAAGCCCGTCTCCCACCGGACGACAGCTGAATTTAGTTTTTAAAATTCCTACCAATTGATTTTTTTGTATTATTAACTAAAACTTTCTGATGCCGATGGAAGTGAAACGATTTTGTAACGAATGCGATGCAACGAATGTTATCAAGTGAGAACTTAATGGCATGGAAATAAAGAAATCTCCAATTCGTTGCAATAATAGCCGATTATCCCACCTTCCCAACTTGATTTTTTTAAGTAATATTTTTGAATTGACGCGTCATTTGAAACTTGACATGTCCCACTTTCACTTCCGTTGCGGACAAATTACTTTCACTTCCGTTGCCAACAGACATTTCCAGCTTATAACATAGATCCCGTCAAATTCCATCTCCCCTTTATTACGCAACATAAGCTCAAGGAAACACGTATAAAGATGACACAATTATTAGACCGCATCGTCCTCATAAACGTAATAACTTACAAGAATAAATACACATTCTCATCAACACTCAGGAATATAATGGTCCACCCTTTTTCTTACCGACACAGCTATTTACACTCTACCGGTGACTGACAAAAGGGTCTCAACCATTGTGCCGCAATTAGAGACGACGATCGAAGTGAGTGCATAATACGTAATTGTGTGTATGTAACCCATCATAAAATGATTGTGTTTCTAATTTAAGACAGTAAAACGACGCATTCATGGGGAACGATTATTCTTATTTAGTATGGAAATATTTTTACCCCGTAATCTGGACTAGGATCGGTGTTTTAGCTTATTAAACAATATAATAAAATTCCGTTCCCATAATCGAGCCGAATTATATCTTTAATTGACTTGATATTTTTCTAGAAATGTTTCACTTAAATTTCTTCACACAACCATTTCAATCATTTCTGGACAAGAGTGGAATATGTAAAAAGAGAGAAAACATATTTAGAATTTCCATACGAGTTTCAGAACAAATTTAGGATTTGACGAAAGTGAGACAACAACGGGAGGACACAGTTTTTCTGTATGTTTGTACTGTGTGGTTTGCTGACTGGTTGTATGTACACTTTTTGGACAAATGACTCCTCTCACTCACTAATTTGAGAGTGGTTGTAATTTGTGTACAACATGTTGTTTCCATCCCATTTGAAATCGTAATTGGCCATTACATTCACATTAACCTGCACTCACTCACCTACCAAGCACAATAATACATACGTCCACATACATGTTTACTTTTACACACCGCTTTGCTTTACTCGGACTCGGACCTTTCTCAAAAAAGTGGAAAACTCTTCACATTATTTTTTGTAAGGGATCGACGACGACGTGAGCGAGCTAAATGTGTCCGTAGCCAGCCAACGAGTGGATGAGTGAATGAAAGAAAAGGCGGAGGAGGATCAACCAAAAGCCATCCATGCACATAACACCAGCAATAAAAGTAATTGGATCGATATGTTTAAAAAACAGATCACAGCATACAGCACGGCAATTGTCGACAGGAAGGGACATAATAATAACAACGACTCTCGCTCTTCTCCACCAGCAAAACAAAGGTATTGAAAGAAACTAGCCCTATCATCATCAAGCACCGTCAAGTAAACGCTGTAAGTGCATATGAACCTACATAAGTACACATGTAACAGCAGTGTGTCGTCGTCTCATGTCAAGGCAGCAGCAGCAGCAGGTACGACTTCCCAGTCGCCTTAATATCTTTTTAGGAGACTTGCACACCAAAAAGTCACCGGGAGGGAGGGAAACGGTGGGTAAGGTGGCATTACGTATTACGAACGAATACGACAATGACGACGCATGCAATAAGGCAACCAACCATTATTATTGTTGGAGGAGTTCTTGTGGTTTTTTTCAGTCCGAATGATCCAGTTCTTTTCTAATAGCTTGGCACAGTACTTCAAGTTAGTGACCGGCGACAAGTAATTGTCCTTGTGAATATGTGTTGTGTGACTCGTAGGAATAAATCCAGACCGTTTCATTTCACTTCAGGACTTGGAGAGAGTTTAGTTGGCTGTCTGGAACCATAATATTATGGCTGTCGGTGTGTGTGCAGCTACCATTATTATTATTATTATTAAAATACATGCTCGAAAGGCTGATGTACGAATACCCACCCACTCTCCACTGCATCACTGCTCGTGAGTCGTGGGGAGGAGGGAGATGAGAGTGAGAGGGTAATAAAAATATTATTCGATTGCAAACACTTACACATCATCATCCTATAAAAAACAGACACTAAACCAAACCAGACGCGTTTTATTTAATATGCATCCAACTCTTGTACATGTGTAAGTACATCCATTGTTTCTTATTACGTGCTCATATACGTAATATGTATGGATTGCATGCTAAATGGTGAATATAAAGATTTGTAATTTCACACATTATTCTTTTCTTAATCAGTCAAATGTTACTTTATTTTATTACATTATATAATTCATCACAAATTAATCAAATATCTGCACGATTTTCCCCCTTTCACTTTCGCATAGTGGATCGATCGACTTTTTTGGCTAAAAATGGTACCATTTTATTTCATTTTCCCATCTTTGCATCAATTAGACAAGGCTTTTACTTTCTATGTTTCTTTGTTCTTGCGTCGGGTTAAAATTGAAAATTTACAAAGTAAATTATCTAATAAAATTGGAAAGTGCACGAAAAAAATGCACACATGGATAATAGATCTTGCTAAGGTTATTGTTATTATTCTTATTATTCATATGTTGACGAACACTCATATTAATTTCTTTCTAGATGGTATGTAATAATCGCATCGCATCGCATTTATCTCAGCAGCAGCAGCAACATAATAATGAGAATCAAATAAAACTATATGGTACAAAAAATTAAACCATCACACCACAATGTTACAGAATAAATGACAATAACCATAATATTTGTTGTTACACGACTGGGAGTAAATAATTGCGAAGGGCGGCAGCGGTTAGAAATCTTTTTCTTCATTTTAATACAATTCAATATTGACCCTTATTTGACCCAGTTAACCTTAACTAATTTTTCATACATAATTCGCACCAAATACCAATCTCTTACTTACTTACTATCTACAGTTGAAATGACTCTTTCTCAAGCAATATCCTTCTTTTCTTGTGTTACATATAAACCAAATTACAGCATAGCAGGTCCCAAAAACTCTTCTAGTCAAGAAGACGAAGACGATGATTAATTTACAAATGATCGTCACCCACTTTTTTTACTCTGCACTTACTTTACAGAAGTCCACTCTGTAGTTGAGATGTATATATGTAGTAAATTTCTATATAAAAATGTGTTTCGTTTTTTTAATTAGTGGTTAAAATTAAAAATATTCAGTAATAAGAATAATAATGATGATTATTATACGTACTAAATATGCGTGTAGCTGTTACAAATAATAAACACCAAAGGTGAGGTTGATAAAATTGGTTTTAAAATTCTTTGTATGGACAAGTAACTCGTGTTGCGTGCATGTGAATAGGTTTTGTTTGCACTAACCTTCCCTTTTGTATCTTCAGAAATAATAATAATAGTAAGATTTGATTATCGGCTAATTACTGAAATATAAATTTTTTGTATGGCTGAAAATCTATACTGATTCGAATCCTGTAGAAGAATCCGTCAATATTTTTTATTTTTCGTAAAACCCTAGTCCAGTCCAGTCAGTTTCCTTTTAGCAGTCCTTCTTAATTCCGTAGTGGGCGATAATTAATTACTTACTTTATATATGCATGTATATAGCTCCCTTGTATACGAACTACTGGTTAGATAACATCATAGGCTAATTAATACCACGGTACGGCACGGTACGGATAAAATATTTCAACACTGAAAGCGTTTTTTTTACTCTAGGGCTATATAGTTTGTCATGTAAAATATGATGTGATTTTTTATATATGTAATTGTAGGAGATTAATTTTGGTTCTTAAATTTTGCAATTTTCTTCTATCCACCAAAATATGGGATTCATACGCATCGATATATGGAGATTATTTATGAACCACGTCCTCCTTCTGCACGATGATAACTGCTAAAGAGCGCTAGTACTTGGCAATCCCGTAATTCCGATAACTGACTAACTAACTTCAGAATTACTGGATGATAGGTTAGCAAGATGGTTAAGGATCTTTAGATCGTGGTTGGTTAGTTTTCATATTAGATTCACAGAAAGGCAGGCAGTAGTAGTGCATACACACATGTAATTAGTCAGAGATGGTGGTGCATCGACAACGAATTGATTAGTTTAAATGTAGTATAAGTACTACCTAAAACTTAAAAGTTGTGTCTGCATAAAGATGTGTATTGTTATTGTACAAACTCAGGCAACCAACTAGATAACTTTATAGAAAATATGGATACGTTATATTATTTACTTTGTAAAATGAAATACTCCACTGATTGATAGTTGCAGTTGGTTAATAATCCTATTAGCTGATAGTGATATTAATGACTTGTCGCACAGATCTCCGTGTTGTTGGTGATGATATAATAATTAGTAGATAGATGATAATGATACATGTATAGATAGTAATACCAGTGGTGAAATTCCGTTGGCGTAAAATTTTCTTTCGTCAAATTATGAGAGGTTGCTCTGAAGTTGGTGGAGTTTGTACGCCACAGATTGCCGACGAGATTGTAATCCGGCCAGTTGGTCCAATAATTGGGCAGAAATACGACTTAGGAGCTCGTTCTCATTTTTCAGATCGTCTACTTCTTGTTCGAATTGCGTCATGGCGTTGGTAGATGAGCTGCTGGCTATTGTGGAAGGAGGAGAATTGTTCGGAATGTCTGATGGTTCGTGGATCGTGGCAGCTTTTGGTAGTTGTGGCTTCCGATAGACGGAGACGAAGGCACCACCTTGATGGCACGGGGAGAGGAAACTGCGAGAGGTGACGACTTCACCTCCACCCCCCACTCGGACCCCACACATGTTGGGTGGTATCTCGGTTGATATGGCTGCAAATAGTTAGATATGCACATATACTTATGGTAAATGAGTCGAGCTGATTATATGATATCACCATGTGCTTACTTAATCGGTTGAGATCCAAAGAGGAGCTTCGAACATGAGTCTTGCGTCGTGGTGGCTGTTTAGACAATAATAGTACAAAGTGTTATTTTAATTCAGCCAAAAATTTCGAATGGATGGCTCAATATGTATTGTACTCACCGGCGGTGGTGCAATCGTTCCACCTGATACTTTGGGATGATGACCAGAAAGTTTAGGCCGTTGAATTGCCTTGAGCTGCAGCTGATGAGTTTTACTGGCACTAGCACTCGGTGTCGTGCTAAGGATTAGTTTATCTTCTGGAGTTTTTAAGCGAACGGGGACAGGGGCCACGAGACCACTCGTATCACAAGTCGAGGAAAAGTTTACCGGCTCATTCTCAAATGTTGTCCATTCTGTCATAAAGCCATAATTCGTTTAATTTTATTTGTTAACTAGTTAAATATAATAAACAAAAAACGAACCTTTACTAGGACGCTTGCCCGGTGTGACTTGTGATTTAGAGAAATCGTTGGACCCGATAGCAGTAGCGAGTGGAGATTGATGCGAAGAAGTGCCCGGATTTGGCTCATTTGACCTTGTTTTGGACGTGGTTGTGCTCTTGGGATGAGGTGCGCTAATCTTGAAAAGAGACGAAGGGCCTGACGGCGAATGTCTCAGGGAGAAATCGGGTGGTCGGACATAGAAATGTGAGGGGATCGGGAGTCCATGTCGACGTAGGACAACGAGATGCATTGCCATTTTAAACTCGATTAAATCCAAGCAGCCGTCCTTAGTTACATCAGCTAACTGCCAAATCTCTCTTAATTCGGATAAGGGAAGCTTACTCTTTTCGAAAAATCCTTTCGCAACCACACCTTTCACCTATTAGACAGTTAATATCCCATTCATTAATCACACTATCCGATATGAAACAATCAGTAATTACTTCATTAATGTCAATAGTTATGTAACTTACTAGACCACTCAGGTCACTTTGTAAAGAGAGAAATTGGTCCGTGTAGTACTTTTCTTGTTCTGGACTCATATCCCAGTAATTTTCATGCGGAGGGTGTTTCACCCGACTTCCTCGATGATTCCGTTCTTCCTCTCCGTCAGAGATGGTGGCCCCATTGCTCGAGCTGGAACGTGAACTCCCACCACCTGCAGAGTCAGAAGAGTTCCATGCATGTTCATGTTCGGAATCTGTGTCAAGAGTGAAGTTAAACTTTTATTTACGAATAAGCAAATTAAACAAACAAACAAAAAACAACGTTGTCTTAAAAGTGGTCTTTCAAACTCACGAGAACTTTCTGAGTCGTCCTCAGTCTGGAGAAGGTGGCAACTCTCTTCATCATTACTGGTCACGTCGTACACGCCAGGAACAGCCTCTTTCAAATGGATCACATCCGTTGAGTCACAGCCGTCATCGGTTTCTTCTTGGCTTGAGGAGTAATTTAATGGCTCAACTGTTGTGGTACAAAAATACGAGAAGAATGTTTTAATATAGTGTAGAATACTTAATAATGAGACGGCATGTCGGGTCGGAACAAAATAAAATGTGAATGAATTGCATTCAATTACAATAACACAAATTGTTTACAAAAGGTAATAGCAACAAATGTCTTGATTGACACTCATTCATATTTCCTGACGAATACAACAACAGTGGTCAAACACACATACATATTTTGTAATTCAATATTTTCAAGTTGAAACTTTAATAGTTGGCTCACCGTTAGTTTTTGCGCTACGTTCAGTGTCTGAGTTAAGTTCAATTAAATCCGGACTTTTGAAAGCGTTCGAACTTGAGGGTTGGTGCCAGTAGGATTCTGAACGAAGCAATTTGAAATTTCTTACTCAATCGATATCAAACTAACGAATAATTGCTGCTATTTAATATTTATCCTGCAAGGGCTGGGTTTTTGCTTACCAGGTTGTTGGACATGCATAAATTTCGAAATAGGTCCCTCCATCGTGTAACCAGTCCAAAGAGAAGTAGTAATACTATACAAAAATCTGCAAAAAAAGGTACCATAAAAATTATTGAGCAAAATTCAACTGCCATATTTTAACTATTATTATTATTATAGTACAATACTATGTTAAATATAACCTTTCATCCACAAAAATACATCCTCATCATGACCGTGTCGTCTTCCTTATAATATGTAATACTTTCACCCCAGTACACAGTATTTATTTATTTAGTTTTAGTCACAAGATGATTTAAAATTTAACAAAGTTAGAAATTCAGTGCAATCTCTGAATTTTAATTCCTCCTAATTTTCCTGTACTTAATATTTTGACCACACACAGCTGTTTAGTATCTCTACCTATTCAACGTATTATTTTTCTAAGGCGACGATGAGACCAGATAAGTAGTTAATTAGCTTTCTTTATTTATACAGCAGGACATACCTTTTAAACCAGCCACAAAATAACTTTAATTTAATCTCCTCCCAAAGTTCACATAATTAACCAGAGAGCTGTCCATCCACTCCAACCATAAAAAGTTCCCAACAATTAAAATATACCCAAACTAACAAAAGTTTGCGTATTTGTCTACTAAAACCAACTAACTGCAACCCAACCAAAAAACGAGGCAGTACTAAATATCCAGTTAAACCTCACCTCGACTAGTGGATTGTCATTAACTAACTGGAGGTTCAATTTTATTTAACGAGACGACGAACACTCCAGCAGCAGTAGCAGTAGGAAAAAAGATAGCCCATTCTCATTTTACAATTGATTTCACTCTATTATATTTTATGCACGGTACAGTCAGTTCAGTCAGTTTATGCAGTAAACTAGCAGATATAATGAGAATTAAGAGCTACCAGCAGCAGTTTTTTTATATTTTATTCAAAGGTTGGTATTATAGTGTCGGTCAAGTTATTTATTTATTTTTATTACGTGATCGTCATATCGTGATCGTGATATACTTTTTGGATGAGTAGTGACACGATTTTTATTATTAGAGCAACAACAACAGCAACAATTACAATATTTAATGATTTCGATGCTATCTTTCTTTGTTAAACAATATAATATCTATTTGCCGTGCTGTGAAGTAATAACTTATTTGTTTTCCGATGAAGGTGTCACTCTCAGCTTTGAATTTGTGTGTGTGTAATAATAATAGTATTACAGTACAACCTTTCAGAAGGTTTCTCTTATTGTCGTCCCTTGGAAGACAGGAGGGAATAACCTTCGCCAAAATTTTCTAACTTAATCGGCCCCCAACGCACCAGCAACACAAAATCATACAAAGTCATAATGATGGACATATGAAAGATTGACTAAATGAAATCAAACGTTGTGGAACCCGGTTAAAGTTGATGCTAGTTGGTCTCTAAATTTGGACAAGTTTCAGAAATTTTGAGACTATTATTTCCGGAAAATGTGATAGTCATGCATCTAGCGAAGCCATGCAAAATGTGGTTTCAAAGGAGAAAAATCTTTAGACAGAGAGTACCTCACACTTTGACGTAGGAGGAACCGGGGGATCCCACGCATTTGAAAAGTTTTTCTTTATAAAATACTTACTACTGAGAAGACTAACTAACTTTATGCCTGCAGTTAAGTAAGAAGTTTTAATGTGAGGCATGCTTTTCTTAAAGGCATTACATTAATGTGCAATTGTGATAATAAAACAAGAAAAATTGCTTTTTAAGAATAACCATGAATTCAAGGTGTGCTCATTCTTTTATCCGGGCTTTGTCTCCCAATAAAATAGGCTGTTGTATCACGAATGGAACGAGCAAAAGTTTTCATAGAATGCATCGCCAAAGTGCAAAATTAACAACGGCAAGTAATAAATTGAAGAATAATAGCAAGACTTTAATTGCACAAAGCAATTTTGAAAATGCACAAAAGCGCTACTTTTCATTATCATGTTCCTTTCAAAATGCCGAGTCTTTTGAAGGACATGTCGTCAGTGTCAATTGTATGCTATAATAAATATTGAATTAGTTTTTTAGATTAATTGTTAATTAAAGTATAATTTCCAACTTAATATGTAGCTTCAGAAGGGTTGTCCGATGAGCAAAAGCAAATTCAGCAGGTTGCATTGGATTTTGCATTAAATGAGATGAGACCCAATATGGAAATGTGGGATGAAAAGGTATTACTTACCCGTTTTAATTTTAAAATTTCTGAGAATTTTGATGGCCAGAAATAGAATGAAGCTTAAAACTGGTCACAAAAAGGATTTTTGTACTAAATTTAGGAATTCTTCCCCGTGGAAGCAATGAGAAAAGCTGCGTCGTTAGGATTTGGAGCTATTTATTGCAAGGAGGAATTTGGAGGGTCTGGATTAACCAGGTTGGACTCGTCAATAATTTTTGAGGCTTTATCACAAGGATGTGTTTCAACCACTGCGTACATTTCGATTCACAAGTATGTATTTCGATTCATAAATATGACCAATATGCTATAAATAGCATTGTATTGTACGATTGTTATTAAATTTATTACAAATTCCTATAATATGCATATATACATTCTGTTTCATAGCATGTGTGCTTGGATGATTGACGCCTTTGGAAACAAGGAACAAAGGTCTAAATGGATTCCAAAGCTGGCGTCGATGGACAAATTTGCGTCGTATTGTCTCACTGAACCTGGTGCAGGGTCAGATGCCGCAAATTTATCCTTAAATGCGAAAAAGGAGGGGGATTTTTATGTGCTAAATGGTTCAAAGGTGGGTGGGTGCGTGTAATACAACATACACTAAAATGATTTTTTACATTTGCATGTTTTGCATGCAGGCATTTATCAGCGGTGCTGGTGAGTCTGAAGTGTATGTAGTCATGTGTCGAACGGGGTCAGGTGGATCGAAAGGAATCTCTTGTATGGTTGTGGAAAAGGGGACGCCAGGTACGTAGGTAAATCAAGTAGTTAATGTTTAGTAAAAGTGAATACGGATAACTGACTCGATTTTTTGTCCATGTAGGATTATCATTTGGCAAGAAGGAAAAGAAAGTCGGATGGAACTCTCAACCTACACGTGCCGTAATTTTTGAAGATTGCAAAGTTCCAGTAAAAAATTTGATTGGGGAAGAGGGTCAAGGTTTTCTAATAGCGATGAAGGGTCTCAATGGGGGAAGACTAAATATAGGTACAGATTTATCATAAATTATTTAATTTCACCACTAATTAACAAGATTACATTAAACAATTACAGCAAGTTGCTCTCTTGGAGCGGCCGAGGCAAGTTTGCAAGCCGCAAAGAGTCATTTAATTGTTCGAAAACAGTTTGGCAAACCTCTTGCTAGTTTCCAGGTAATAAAATTAGTTTAAACTGATTAAGTACCTTAATTTAATTACCTATTACATATTATGAATTTCTCAAATTTAGCACAATCAGTTTAAATTTGCGCAAATGGCGTCAGACATTGTTGCATGCCGACTCATGGTCCGCAACGCTGCCAAAGCTTTAGATATCCAACACAAGGACGTCGTTACGTTGTGTTGCATGGCAAAACTTTTTGTAACGGACAAGTGTTTCGACGTAAAGAAATTAAATATTTTGAACACTCATTTATCTTATTGTCAATAGATAATGTTTACCATTTAATTTCCAGATCGTTAACACGGCTTTACAGATGCACGGTGGATATGGTTACTTAAAAGACTACCCTGTGCAACAATATCTGAGAGATATCCGAGTACATCAAATTTTAGAAGGAACTAACGAAGTCATGCAGATTGTTATTTCAAAGAATCTTTTAAATGAGTGATTGACTTAAACATGAGATTTTTAGTCTATTTAATAAAGTCGTTATTTTTCGTAACTAAATCAGCCTAAGCATTATTAAATTAAATTAAATTAAATTAAAAATTAAAGAAATGCAAAATGAGACAAAATCTTACTCCACTGATTCGTCTCACCTTCTCGAGCCGGCAACTGATTTCTTTCTGTTTGCTTGCTGCTCGCTCACAACAGAGCAGAGCAGAGCACGAACGTAAACACACCCATCACCACTTCTGTACAGCCAAATTAATTGATTATTAATTAATTTCGTTTTGTTTACTAAAAAGAGTTTAATATTTTAGTCACATGACGAGGACCGCAACTGATACGTGGTTTAGACGAGGCCCCGAATTTTTGTCGGAAAAGGATAGTGCATTTAACATTTCGATTGACAGTAGCATTGTAAAGAAGGTCCCAGCCACGATGGAAGCAGAGAACAACGACGATATCGAAATAGACGATGAACCTAGGGGGGCAAAGATCAAGGCTTTTATCAAGTTGGCGACTATTGTTATCTGCTATGCCACCGCGTTCGTGTCGCTGGTACAGTTAGGTTTTTGGTTGGTGCATGACCCTGAATTTGGTCCAGTGATCCTGCACACTCCTGTTATGAGTAAGTTTTTCGGTGGTTTACTTGATATTTTTATAGCTGGCATTTCATTAAGATTAACTTTGATACAATTGCGTAATAATAATAATTGTAGCATGGTTCGAAACCAAATGGACTCATGGAGTTTGGTGGGACTCTGTGACATACGGAATGATCTGTAATTTTGGTCTACTCCTCACATTTTGTGTCCAGCATAGTCTCTTGTCGAAACGAAACTTGGAAAGTACCGCAATTTGGATGCGACTTCACTACTCGTATCAGATTGATCGACCCTTGTACATCCTTGGAACAGGTCTTGTCCTTCAGGTGAGTGCATGATTCATATAAGAGAAAACCCAACGGGATTTTTTGTTAAGATATTAAATTTTGTGTCTTAATAAATGTGCAGGTCATAATTCGAGGCTGGACAACAGTGCCCGTCGTAATTTGGAGTGATGTGCCCTGGGTGAAGGACTACTATCACTATGCTCACATTTTGGCCTGGGTTTCCCTCTACGGGACAAGTCTGATGCTGGATCTTCCTGATATGGTTGGATTCAATCAGGTAGTCCATAAAAATAAACCTTAAAATTCAATTGGAATTATGTTGCCTTCGACCTTAATTTATTATCATCGCCGTGTCCAGGTTGTCATCAGCAGTCCCACCGTGACACAAAAGTCCCCCGATTTACAAATAATGCACAACACGCAACGGCATATGGGACTCTTACCTTTCACAATAATTCTCTTGATCCATCCTACCATGACGTAAGGAAATTTATCAATTTTATGATGGATTACTAAATTATGCACGATAGGATAAGATTAAATGTTTAAAAATATTTAATGATTGATAAGATCAATGACATATACCATTCCAATTGTTATAGACTTGATCGATTCCTACTCACCATTTGCACTGGGTTGTACACCTACCTCGCCTGGAGGTCGAATGGATCTTATGAATATGCCAGTCGTATGAAGCAAATGAAGAAGCATCGTTTGTAAATGACATCAACAACTAAACTCTAACCCGCACTCTATTTATAGAATAGATAAGTATTACTAAGTTTACTACTTTTGGCAGAATTGACCCTTGTCAAGTTGTAAAGTTATTTATTTTTGGTTATTACTTTAAAAGAAGACACGGTTCTCTGCCGATCGTTGAGTACTTATAACTATTAATATGCCGATTGTTTCTCTTATCCTTTCCTAATTTTGGTCTTCAAGATTTGTCTGGTCAACTTTAAAACCGTGCTGCTGCTTATTCTTTTAGCAACTTACTTACCTCATCTTATATACTTACACCATCACCACCACAAATCGCTGATCTCCTTTCACACAAGTTCAAGTGTTCAAGTCTAGTGTTACTACTTACAAGAAAGTTTAATTATTCAGTTTTTTTTGTTAATATTTCATGACTAACCCAGACTGAAATAAAATAAAAACCATATTCATTATGTGAAATGCAAGTTATCCTATTTTTCAACTCGATCATCATCGAATATACGTGCAGAAAATTCAAGATATGCAAATTAAATGTAAAAAAAGGTGCCGAAATTTGTTTTTTACTTTTCAACTCAATGTATTCATCATTGTAATTTATGTGAAACAAACTCATTTCATTAAATATTGCAATTGTTGCTCACGCATTTTCTATTCAGAGTCAACTCCATAGATCTGTCGACTCACATTTGCATATGTATGTAATTCTCACATGTAGTGTCAATATTAATTTAATCTCGGTCTGCGACCACATTGTACAAATGTTTTTTTGCGAAACAATTAAACTTTTCTTAAGTTACTCATCTCTCTTAATACATAAGTTTAAAATCTGCATGCATTAACTAGCCACCTAACTAACCGAAGCTAACAATGGAAATCAGTCAAATTTAAAAATCACAATAATATCTCCAGCGTATCGGAGTAGCAGCATTACTAAATCTCTAAGTACTAATTAAAATAGTAGAAATAACAATATTTCTACTTGTTGCTGTCTAAATTTATATATATTTATATACTCAGGCGGCGACATAAACAAAATTGTTTTCATGTTGATTGTTTATTGGGATTTGTTCTTGTTGTTTATGTGTATTTTTTATCTTTCATGTTCCCCACTTATCTCATGGCGATATGCCTTCGAAATTCACGTAGTAAGTTATAAATACTAGGAGAGCAGCGAGACTATGTTGTGGGTTATGTATGAGTGAATCATCATCACATTGTATTGTATTGCGTATAAATTAAACAGAAGATTATGTAATCGAATCATCATCTACTTAGTCGGGAAATTTTGACACTTTTGTGGTTATCTTGTACGAGTAGATAGTTAACGTTATGTAAAATTCACCCTTGAGGTATATTAAACACCTTGGATCAATTAAGTTGGCGGCTCAGTATAAAGTGAATGGGAGGAATACAATTAGTGTTAGCAGCTCATCATAGTCATCATCATGAATGAATGAATGTGTGTATGTCCTAATTGTCAATATAATATGTAATTTCTATAGTTCATGGTCACTACTTGAACCTTGGATTTCGTTTTAAATAAAAGAAAGCTTTGATGAAAGCCGGGGAGTAAAAAAAAATGTGGATGGAATGCGAGAAAGAAGATGAAATAGTTAGTCATGGGGAAATTAGTCGACGAGGAGGACTTGGGCGACGGAGACGAGTTGTTCTTTGAGGAGTCGGAATGAAGGTCTTTCATCCTGTAAAGAGAAAAAAAATGCATGAGTGTATTTATTCCCATGAAAAATGCGAGTGGGGTTCAAATGAAGTTTCTACTATTTGATAAGACAGGAAATCCTACATTTAAACAATTTAATCCTACTCATTAAATTATTTGTTTGTTACTTACCGGATGGAGGGCCCAGCACTTTTTCATCGTTTCGTACACCTCTTTGGGACAGGTTTTTGGTTTTTCTAGTACGATCCCACGCTGGACTCGTTCGACAACTTCGGTATTCTTCAACCTCCCGTATGGCATTTTTCCACAGGTGAACACCTCCCACATGAGGACACCTTTATGACAAAATATTTTAGGAAACGTAAACAAAAATAGGAAAGTATTTTTCACCAACCGTAAGCCCAAACATCAGACTTGCTCGAGAATCTGGTATAGTTTAGAACTTCTGGAGGAGCCCATTTTATAGGGAATTTAGTTCCACCGGAACTAGTGTACTGGTCATCTAGAACATATCTGTGACACGGGTTCAGACAATTGTTAGCAATTTAACGTTATTGTAAAAATAGTGTGTGTGCCAACCTCGCAAGCCCGAAGTCTGCCACTTTCACCACATTATCCAACCCGACAAGACAATTTCTCGCTGCAAGGTCGCGATGAATGTAATTGTGTCGTTCCAAGTATGCCATCCCTTTGCAAACCTGTCTCAAAATAAGGTATGCATTATATTAAAACACTCTAAATTTAGGATCCGAGTGATTTTTGGATATTTCTTCCACCTGAGTGCACATATCCAGGAGGGCGTCAAGATTGACTTGAAGATTTGTTTCATTTCTGCGCAAGTAGTTGAGAAGAGCACCATGTTTCATGTATTCAGTGATAATGTAGATCGGTCTATGCTTGCTGCACACACCGTACAATTGAACGAGATTCGTGTGTTGGAGTTTACTACACAGGTATTTAAAATAAGTTAGTAAGCGTGTTTATTAAAAAAATGCATGTTCGCGTGCACGTACGTCATAACTTTAGCTTCTTCGATAAAGTCGTCTTCACTCATGGTCCCTTCTTTCATCATTTTGACCGCGACGTCCGTGGTGCCACGCCACTTGCCGCGACGAACGACACCAAACTGGCCAGAGCCCAACTCCTCGTGAAGCATGAGCTCGGAGGGGTCGATTTCCCATTTATCTATAATTTCAGCATAGCCGTCAGTACTAAAAGTAAGGATAATTTGAACCGTACTTGTTTATAAACTAACCGTGGGAAAGTCCAGCTGTGGCAGGGGCACATCTTTCCGCCGAAGGAGGATGCTTTAGACGTGACGCCAAACCGCCACTGTTGTGTCGGTGATAATTGATCAGATCGGGAATGGAGGAACAGCAATGTTTCTCTGACAAGAAAAACTCGTTCCTTGGATTTTGTTTGATGTGATAGTGCTTCACTTGAGGGTGTGGACTAAAAGTAGAGTTGACAGTAAGTACACATAGCATATTGTATTTCTCAAGTGATCTTACACTTTGGTGTAGAGGGACAATGTGTATAATCCTTTCGTGGAAGAGTTCCGAACAACGAAACAACCTTCCTTGTCATCGTAGCGGAGTAAGGTTTCAGCCCGTTGGCGGGACATGTCACCAACATACCAGCTATTTAACAAAATAAGCCATCGTGTTATCTCATCATAAAAAACCAACAAATTACAAGACTACTCACTCGTATTTCTGGAGACCCAAAAGCTCCTTTTCTTTCACGTAATTACTAGGAATGTAACCTGCAGATCTGGAAAACATCCCGAAAACATACGTCTTCAAATTTTTTGCTATTTCTTGTACAAACATTATAGCTAATTTGCACCATAAAACTTACCCGCTCTTGTTCCGAACTTGCCACCAATGTTCCTGCGTATCATCTACGATCTCGTACTCCTCACCCTGGTAAATTAGAGCGTGAAAAAGTTAGGGAGTGTGTGCGAGTTGGTTCATTGCTTACGAGGGAACCTTTTATAGTGCCCGGAGCTCCCAGCATATCCACTATATACATTAGACGCAGTTTTTAATACTAGTCGTATGATGTGACAAAATTTCCGTGTCAAAATGACATTTGGTCAAGCGGTGACGATTTTAGTGACGCGCCGAACGGTCACTTTCTCCCATGATTTCAATAGTGCAGCTACTTTTCGCCATACGCTCCTCATCTTGCTACTAAATTCTCAACTCAACTCAATGAGCACACTTGTACTTGATTTAACTATATTTACAATATCATTAAAATTTACTATTTATAGCTTATCAATATTATTTTTCCTTTCGAATTTAAAAGTTACAAAATGTTCACGCGTACTTTTGCAGAACAAATCCCTCTACATTCATAAGAAGTTGCTATGTTTTTCCGAATAGTTTTTAAACTCCAATATTTGAAAGAAAAAAAACAATATTGAAAACTTGTAAATGGTAAATAAATTGTAATGATATTGTAAATATACATAGTTAAATTAGATGCCAGTTTCATCGGTGAACAAATGAGTTGAGATTTCAGTGAGATGAGCGGGGAGCGTGTAGTGAAGAGGTGGAAGGGTACCTGCACTACTAAAAGCATGGCGACCGTGACCGTTCCGCGCGTCACTAAAGTCGTCACCACGTGACCAAATGTCATTTTGACACGAAAATTTTGTTACATCACTGGGCTAGTATTAAAAACTGCGTCTAATGTATATAGTGGATATGCTGGGAGCTCCGGGCACTATAAAAGGTTCCCTCGTTAGTGGCGTTGTTTGGGTTACCTTTTCCAGCGAGAGATCCCCGGACTCGATAGCTTTGAAGGGGTACAGTGCCACCACGAGTCGTCGGGCTGTCGGATCCTGCTCGTCAATTACGGTGCATAATCAGTATTCCGAAAAAAAGTTAATAAAATCAAGGGTCAAACTGTATACTCACTCTCGCCTTGTTCACTGGGGTGCCCGGAGTCGTTTGAGCCTCCATTTCGGGAGAACCTACACAAACAACATCCAAACTTGTTGATGATGATAAAAATAACACTTCGTTCTTGGAACCACTCCCACCCGTCGTCACAGCAGCAGCAGCAGCCATCTAACCACTACGTAGAGCCATATTCCTTATAATTTTTAGCGTAATAATGGACCAATCACCACCATCAGAATTGAGAAATCTCCTAACTCCACTAATTCATCCCTAGCCAACAAATCTATCATGACGTGACTGATTTTGTCATCATCCCAACTTGGCAAAGACTTAAGAATTTAAATTAATAATAATTCAAACATCCAGCCTAACTAATAAATAACAAACAACTAACGAGTGAGAGGTGGACGGAAGTGAATGTGGCACAAAAGTAATAAAGTGGTATTCTACACACACTGTAAAAAACAACATTATAGAAGAAACCACCACCACCACCACAACGCTCTCGTGTATATCTTCGTAGTACAAAATCGTATCGTCCTAACGTAACGTTGCCCAACAAGCAAAGAAGAAGAAGAAGAGTTCGTGTGCGCTGCGTTGCGTCACAACCTCCTCACATTCTGCTACCAACGACAATCGCTAACTCTTAAGCGTATGGAATAATGCACAGCAAAATTCTATCCCAGAGGGAACAATCACGCTCTGCTGGGGTGACCTTGGACACAATTAGCTCGACATCATCCTCTCCTCGGATTAAAATAATGCACATGCGATTCAATACCACCATCACTGCTGGCACCTCACTTACCCTTATTGCTGCCGGATCCTTTGGGAGCCCCCTTCCCACCAACGACGGTGGGGAGTCCTACTACTGACGACTCTGTCAATGGAACGCTAATACTGGAAAGAAGCGTCCCCACTGCAGACGATCTGGGGACCACACCACTCAAATCCGCACCACTCCCACCAGCAGAAGAGGACTTTCCCCCTCCTCGAGAGAGAAAGCTCACATTTTGCAGCAGCTTGTTGAACACCATTTCAAGTTGGAGAGAAGGTTATTAATAGCTATCACTGCTCATCACTGCCGCCGTCTCCACCGACTTGGAACCACACAGTAGTCTACATTTTGCCTAGATATTTAGACGGAAAAAGAGATGAGTCGATTCGCCTGGAGAGAGAGATGGTTCGTTGGAATGGATTGTTACTAGGAATTGTTACTAGGAATGCGAGTTTGACGACGAAAAAAAACCTGCCACAGCCGATCGAGTGAGACTTCAGCTTGTACTGCCATTTAGTTTACCACTGATGGATGAGATGAGATGAGGAGATGAACAAGTGAAAGAAAAAGATGAGCTATACATAAGCAATCCATCCAAAATCCACCTGTCCATGGGAATAACAGGTACCATCTCCACAAGACCAGACCACCAATAATACCACCATCACCATCACCATCACCAACGTCGCCCCCAACTCCTAGTAGTACTCGTGTAATCGCAGTAATGTAAAAAATTACTGCTGCACTTTTTCTTCTAGTTGTAGTAGCAGCCAGTCGTCGTAGTTGGTACCGACCAACACACGCATTATTACATCTCTGCAATGATAATAATCATGTTCAGCTATTCATGCTGCATGTATTTTACCCTTTCTCTCTCAAATTCATGCATGATCAACAATGAGGCAATGTCAATCGCAACAGCAATATCGTGGTGGTGATTCGCGGTGGTGGAGGATGCATTTCGATGTCATGATTCATACCGGAGAAAGCTGGCCAATTCGAATTCATGAAATATAATGTAATAGAATTAATTACTCATGAGTATGTTGTTTCCTTTATTGTTATGACCTTGCTGGGGAATTGGATGTGGCGGAAGTCCAATCAACGGTAACGGATGGGGTGGCGACGTATGAGCGAGCAAATTGTTATTCCCACCACCTCCTCGATTATTAATATTCTTATTGAGTTGCTGTTGCCCGTTGACGGGAGGAAGTCCGATAATGGTTACGCCGGGCTCCTTCTTTCTCGGCGGTTGAGGGTGGCTATTGCTCACACTCACGCTTCCCAAGGAGGGCCCCGTGTGCACCAAGCTTGCCGGTGCACCCCCCGTGAGCAGATTGTGGTGGGAGAGAGACTTGAGGCTGAGAGGGACTACGGCCGGATTATTGTTCAAACAGTTGAGTTGATTGATCGACGGACTTTTCACGGTTGGTTTGGTCGGCGGCTGTGGGGGCGAATCTGAGAGGGCAGACGTTTGCCTCGTATGAAAATGACCCCCGTTATTATTGTGGTTATGATGATGGTGGTGTTGTTGCTGTTGTTGAGTTTGCGTTTGGGACGACGATCCAGAAGAGTTTGACCGACTTACGACCCCATTCGTACTATTCGAGGTCGGTAGTGTTGAGGGGAGGGACGAGTTTGAGCTTGACGAGGAGGAAGAGGGCGAGTGGAACACGTTGCTATTATTATTCCCACCACTGTTATTATTGGCAGTGTTACTATTAGCACTGTTGGAGCTGAACAGTTCACAACCCGGGCACTCACGGTCACGACCGCAGCACGTCCACCTTTCTGCAGCGATGGACCACACACCACGGTGATAAAGAGGGAGGGAAGATGGTGACGATGAACTATTGTTGGATTCACAGGGCAGTGATTTACCGGGATGTTCTGGCGTCGTAGTTGCGGAGTTTGGGTTGGTTGACGTGCTGCTCCCACAGCGAAGAGGACTACTGTTTTTATTTCCGTTTAAACCTGGACAACATAATGAAATAATTTTGCTAATTAAAAAATATCGAATTTGTAATGCATTTTATAGTTTAACTTACAATGATTAATGGCATCCACCCAAGAGTCACGGTCCCCGTCGTCGATTGCCTGAAGGTGCAAGATCCTCGTCTTTGATTCGACCAGATAGGCAACCTGCATTGCAATGGAAACCCATTGTTATTATTATCAATTCCGCAGCACCGTGTAATTCACTAAGCTCTGGCTTAACGAAGACTGACAAACAAATGACAAATGACATTCTTATTTCGAGTTATATCACTCGAATCGAAAAATGGGGAAATATTAACTTGATTGAACTCACACCACCACCAACCAACTACAAACTACATATACCACCATTCGTGCACTCTTATCATAATCTGGCCGGATTTAACACTGACATTCGTGTATGACACATTATTTATTAATGATGGATGGTGGATAACCGAACACTGATAAGAGTGGACAAACAGAGACGTTGTTGGCTCCAAGTGAAACAAGTTGACAAGCTCGACATCAGTGTTGGATCGAGTCGAGTATGATGGATTTCTACGTGCGTATTTTATTTATTGTGACGACGGTGACCATCGAATATCGAAATACCTGAAAGACGAAGGAGTGATTGTGATAATGCGGAGAAGGGAGGCAAGAGCCAAATTCAGTCGTGGGGGGTTCTCCACCTAGCTCGGCTTTCTCCACCCAAGAACATGCGTCGAGTCGGATGCGGCCTTTCACTCGGATGGGCTGTGAAAATTGTAAATAAATTATCACTTAATTGGTCAATAGACGAGACACATTTGGCTCATGCAGAATAGTGAGGATGAGTCATTACCTCAGTTTAGAGGGAGGAGGAACTGTGCATACCACAGAAGAAGAAGCAACAATAGACCACCCAGAGAGATGAAATATTTAGAGAGACAGAGAGAGAAGGACAGAGACAGAGAAAAATAGATCATTTCAGACTTACGGGAAAGATAACCCCACAAAGCTCACATTTCCCATACAAACTACGTGATTACCTCTTTGTCATTCAAGGCGTAAATTAATTCCGTCTGCGTTAAAGTGAACCAGCGAAGGTTGAAAGAGACACCTCCAAAACGAGTCCGACTTGCCGACTTTTTCCCCAAAAATCCTTGACGAATAACGACATTTTTGTTGTTCTTGGAAGAAATGCCTTCCGTTGTGGCCATGCTCATCCACTCGTCCTCCCAAAAGTCCCACGCACTTAGGCGACGACGATTATTACTTCCATTAGTAGTCCCACTAGGATAACTCCCTTCTCGTCCTCTATCTCGTCCACTATCTGCAACACAACATCCGAATGAAAACATGGTGATATCCGTTAATTACAGCGAGTATCAGATTAATTAGCGATGAGTCTACGTTCGTATGTAACGATATACACCCATCTACACGTATGTGCAAGAAATAGTGAAATCGTTCCAGACATTAAACTGGGTCAATTAGAACAATGCCTAATTTCCTATCGTCGCAAAAAGACGGTTTTATTTTTAGAATAAAGTAACAACAAATAACAATATACGGCTTCCACATAATTGTTGTTGATTAAATTACCAAGGAACGCTTTCCTGTATTTCCATTCAACTTACTTGCCCAATAGTTTAACGTTTTATAACAAACCACCCGATTCACTAACTGCACAACCGTGACTTGTCCGATCACTAATTGTTACACGGAATGAAATGGTCCCGGAAAGAAGTAGGAGTAACAGCGAATTGGTCCCAACCGAAAAATATGACATATCATGTCGCGTTTTGAAGTACAAATCCGATTTTGGATGGAGAGATCAAGGTCAAGTTTATCAAGAAAGTAGTTTTTTTAAGCCGGAGAGTAGCAGTTTTCGTCTTCTGAGAAGGATCCAGTCTTATTCTGAGTCAGTTCGTTATTTGAGCTGCTGCTGCTTTGTGTTCGAATCGTGCTCTGAGCGAATGGAATGTGGAGAGTTCCCTTCAGGGTCTGATTTTCGAAGGGACTTCTCGTCCTGCACTGCTCTCTCCTTGGCCACACCAAATCTCTGAGCTCCTTTTTCCTACATAATATAATTCTGCACTTCTTCTTTGTTGGGGATCCGTCGTTCAGAGATTCAATAGCGGAGCAAACACCTACATCGGAGCTTAACCCTTTCCTCTCAGACCAGGATAGCCAAATGTCATCCATAGAAATGCACAACCCTCGCCAAGAATGATCAATAATATCATATACTGGTCAGTAGGAGAAGAAGCAGTCGTGATTCGACGGTTGCTGCTGCTGCTGCTGCTGGCTAAAACTCCGAGCTCGTATATATATTTTCTATAAATGATCAACTTTTTGGTGGCGCATGTTCAACAATGAGAATGACATGACATTGATGTAGTTTTCATTCCTGGAAATTTTTGCGACAAAATGTTTCATCTCATTCATTTGAGATTAGGATTTCTTAAATTAGATTGGGCATGCATACGGTGCTTATTGGTGGTGCAGACAGATATACAGTTATTCATCAGCGATGTGGTATTACGATTAATTACCGTAATTTGATCTCAATCTGCCCCTACGTCATTTAATTACCTTCTTATCAATGCTTAACACTGTGTGACTGGTGTATCGTCATCAATGTAAAAGTTTTGTCTGACTCTGGCCTGGCTGGATTTTCTTGGCAAGCAATGAATAACTCGAGCTGATTGTTGTGGCGATAAATTTATTTATTACAATTTCCCCATGTCTTTCCAGTGTAAGCATTTCTTAGTAAATACGCCTAATAAGACATATGTACAAAATTATAAATATGTACAAGAATGTGACGCTTACATGTGTAGTATGTACTTCTGGGCTTTGCATGTGGTGTCAACTAATCAATCAACACCAGCATCATCATTATGCTATTCGACCGTATCATCTTCTTAATGGAAATGGATGGAGCAGCTCCTTCAGAGTGTGAAGGAATACACGAGATTTTTATGTTATTTCTCACTCTGCTTATCACTTGGTCGTAATCAATTAGTCGTTCCACTTTTCGATTTACTCTTTTGCATTCACTGGGTGCTAATTTCTCGACCCCTGGTCTTCATCAGCATTTCATACACATATTCTCCGTGGCTTATTAGTAAGAGTTGAGTCATCTTAATTAACAAGTTTCTCTCTCATGTACATCTGCTTAATTATCGTTTCTTGCCAGATTATATCTGAAAAATATCGCATCGCCACCATTTACTTCATTTCTCACTGAGACACCACTTTTACCAGTCCACTTACATCAACCATCGGATCACAAATCATGGAGAACACCACGCTGGATGACATCAGTAAGTATATAATACATACACAGCCTCAACATTCTCAACGTACCCCCAGCTCCCTAAAATCTCACCTTAGTCCACTTAATTAATCACACAACTATATCCTTCTTATAGAAGACGCTAGTGTTCGAAGTCTGCTCGAAACCTCCGCCCTCGCCAGGTCCAAGGCGTACATTCCTTACTCCAAATTCGCCGTGGGTGCAGCCCTGCTCGCCACTTCGGGCCAAGTCGTGACGGGCTGCAACGTGGAGAACGTCTCCTTCGGTCTGACCATATGTGCTGAGAGGACCGCGATTGTAAAAGCTGTGTCCGAAGGGGTCACAACCTTCTCGGCCATCGCGGTCAGCGCCGTGAGCAAGAACGAGTTTATCGTCTCCCCGTGCGGCGCGTGTCGCCAAGTTCTCGCCGAGTTCAACGCCAACCTCCCCGTCTACTTGTACAATCCGGAGAATGGGAAGGTGTGCATTACTTCTATGACCGTCCTCCTCCCCGCCGCCGTTCTGCCCGCTAACCTTAACGATGCTTTGTTTGGAAATTAAATTGACAATTTTTTAGCATTGAAATGAATAAAGAAACCCTGAGGGTGATGAGTAGTTGAATTAGTAATGCTTACATGGAGCGACATTGTTATTTCGAAATCATTGTCATACGATTAGTGTCAGTGTCATCGTGGTCGGCATACTTTCAATTAAGCATCCTTGTAGGCGTAGAAAGCTGTTTGTAGTTGTCTTCCTGTTACAGTAACCAGTTCGGAAGTGAACCGTGTGGCATCCTTCCGTAGTGTCAGAGAAACAACAAAGGGTGACGGATGGCCTCATGCTTTTAGGCAATTGCCACCACGACTTTCACCATGCTGCAATTCGTTGCAAGAAGCAGGATTGACCTGACCAGTCAGCTTGGCTTCAGATATTATTAGGGGCAAAGGTGGAATTCATTCCCAGAGATTTTGCTTTAGTACCTTGTGCGCACGATTACTTATAACGCTTGGCTGCACAAAATTTTGCATAACGGGACACAAGTTCTTGTACAACTCAAAACTCATAAGTGGTATTGAGAGCAAAGCAACGTTATTGTTGGCAGACCGACTTTCTTTCTTTCTTGCTTGCTTTCCCTGCTGTGCTTTGATTGCAAGGAATGGATTCCAAGTATTCATGCGGTGGGTGAATGAGTTAGTGAGTTGTTGGGTCCTATGTACAACATGGTGGGAGTCGTCGAGGTCTAATTATGAGAAATAAATCTTGGCCGACCGACTACTACAAAACTACACTCCTGGTCACCCATTGGAAAAGCACCACCACGTCGTCTTATTAGTCTCATTCCATGCACCTGGCCAAATCACAGCTCAAAGCTTCTGACCTCATTTAGACGTTGGCCCTCCACCACGCTTGCTTTCTTTCTCTCCACAAACGAGACATCATTATGGGGCAACAGGAGAGAGGAACGCTGTTCTCGTGGTCCCTTAATTAAGATAAGTTCCTTACCTACCTACTTATCTCACCACCACCGTGGTGATTACAGTGCTCAGTGGAAGTGAGTGTCGTTTAGAGAAAACATAGCAGAAAAAATGGCGTGGGTCATTATTATGTCATCATCATCATCACTATTTTAACGAATACTGCAAGAAATAGGCAACAACACCAAAATGTCGAATAATTCTCCCATGAACGTGCCCAAGTCCAAAATCCCTGTCCTCGAGCCACCCTACCTCAACTCCACACGGACCGGGTTCCTCTCAGACCTGAGTGACCACGTCTTTTTCGACAAACCGCCACCCGTCCTCCCATACTCGTACGGACCGCGGGGCATCCTTCATACCAATACGAACACGGTCACCACACCCATCGCCGCCAGACCCTCGCCCAGCCACAGACCGTCTCCGAGAAAGGACTATGTCGACTACAGATTGGAACAATTGCTAGGACCCACGTCACCCATGGACCTCATTGAGGACAGCGTGGACGATATTTTGCTCCATTCCATGAAGCAGTCACGGTAAGCAGAAGTCATAATTATTCATAATTCGTAACTATTTTGGAGGGTGTGATTCCCACTTTTTTAAAACTAAACATTAGAAAAACTGTTCTACTTAAAAAATCCTTAATCGTTAATTCGTGCATGCCCACGCGCTCCTGCTTTTCCATGTTTTCACCACAAACATTCAAAAAATAAGCTATAATGTACATTAAGTAGTTTCACATGATGATGACGAATGCATACATACAACATGCCAACCGGATACATTCGTCCTTTTCCAAGTTTTTTGGCAAGAAACGCTAAATCATAAAAATGAAAGGGCTGCAGTAAATAGTTGCAGTGGGGAACGGATATGGATTGCATATTTGCTTGTGTACACACACGACATTCACCGATACTCAAGTTTTCTTGGGAGAAAACTGCATCAGCAGCAGCTACTGACTTGAGATTCATAATGATGATAACAATTTATGCAACTTATCTTTTCACGGTCAACGATAGGTCGATAGAGAATATCGCTCGAAGTCGAAACCACAGTCAGCAGAGTGGTTCGAGTCGCAACTTAATGATGGACGATGATCCTGAAGAAATTCCAATCCCATTTCGACGACTCTCTGACCGCATAGATCGTAAAAAGATGGAACAAACCTCCCCCATCAGAAGTAATCTTATTCTACCGAGTCACGACGATATTGCTGTGGGGCCTTCACCCACCAAGAAACCACGCTCTCGTCAAAGCAGCAGGGAAAATATTCACTACCAACAACAAATCCCACTCGGAGTAAGCTCATCGCCTAATAAGTCACCTAAAAAATCACCAAAATCACCAACCAAAGCATCCCCAGCAGCACATCAGTCTCCAGCCAAGGCCACCCCCTCCACCTCCACCTCCACGACCACCACCGGAAAAGGGGTGAGTCTTCCCATTAACAGTACCACCAACAAGACAAACGAACCTGCCAGTAAGAAAGAAGTCAAGATTACGACCACCAAAGGGGCTCCTCCACCCACTGGAAAATCTGAGCAACCCGCCCTCGTCAAAGCAGCCCCTGCCAATGCATCCACATCCGCTCAAAAATCATCTCCCATGAAAGACAAACCCCCCGAATCCTCCAGTCTCACAGCTGCCAAAGCAGCTCCCAGTGGAACTAAAACACCAGCAGCAGGGTCACCAGCCAAACCTTCGAAACCAGGGGCACCAGCCGCCACGAAGGGAGGCGTCGCTGCAGCCGCCGTCCCCGTTGGTGCGGCCGTAGCTGCCGGAGCTGCTGCCGCTGTTGTGGCAGGTTCCAGCAAGAATTCGACCCCCTCCAAACCCGCATTTGCTGGGACTGATGTCACAGGATCGGAAATCGCCCTCTTGGCCAAAGCTGAAGAGAAAAAGCAAGAACTTCTCCGCGACACGGCGGCCGCCTTTAAAATGCTGGCTCTTTGTCAAAAGGGCGATTGGCACGCGGTGGAGGCACAGTTGAGATATTTTGAAAAATCAATCCAAGCCGGAACTGGAGAGACGCGTCCCTTGGCTGGAATATATGACGAGGTGGGTTACTTATTCAGTTGCTTTGCCAAGGTTGTAGCCGATTTTTTTGCACATTATTATGCATCATCGCTATTATAATAAAATTATAATATGCAGGAGTCGGGATGGACGCCACTCATGTTTGTCGTGAAGGACAACCGGATCCCTTTAGGCGACCGGATGATCGATTTGGGCTGCGATGTCAACCACAGAAATAAGGTCTGTCGTCCTCTCATTCAACAAAACATAACTAACTCACGTGATCAATCACATTTAGCTTCAGCCACCTAACTCACTTACCCACCTACATACCTACATACTCACCTACTGCCTACACATCCACACATTAGCTGTGCATGGAGAGATTGAAAGAAAGAGGGTGAAAGAAAAAGCAATAAATAATACGAGAGAGAGAGGGAGGGAAGCAAAGTGAAACGAGAACGGGGCATTTTTTCCTCAGAATTATGAACCCTTCCAAGGTTTATGTCGTCGTCGTCGTGGTCGTTAGTGGGCCAAATGTTTCGTTTGCATGACGGTAGCAGTACTGAGTTCTCTTCTGTGTAGGAATGTGGGTCAAAGTGTAGCGTCATCTCTTCCGCCGTCTCTCGTGTTGTTTGTGCCCCTCAAAAAAGTTCCAACAACGCACCACCACCTCCTCCTCCCTCCCGTTGACAGCTAAACTCTCAGTCATTAAGGGAGGTCGTCATAAATAAGGTCGTAAACGTGCTCGGACACAGTTTTAGCAGCTCGTAACGTGTACAATTGGGGAAGAATTGTGACACTGCTACTCCCGAGAGCGATGGGCATATGCACGTCCTCTTTCATGCACAGCGTTCCAATATTATCGGTCAAGTCCTGCCATTCTGCTTGCTTTCTTTATTTCTGAGTCATTAATTTCTGCATGCATGACAAGTGCAGCTTTACATATTCCGTATTGTTTTTATGCCATGTTATTATTTCCATCAATTGAAATACATAACTACACTCGTGACTCTTCTACTACGACGACGAGATGAGATGACCTCCTTAGATTACTCTGGTTCACTTATTCTGCCAGCCAGCCAGCCCCACAGGACGAACTCATGCTTACGTAGCTCTATACTTTCACCCACTAATTCTGGGTTACGCAAGCACTAAGAAGCGCGAGAGTTGGGCTGGATATACGTGCGTGGTGGTTGGGGTGTAAGAAAAAGCCGTGATTTCTTTGTCAAGAAATATACAAACACAATGCAGACCGAGACCTATTGTGTTAACGTGATCAATAGCTGCATGACGATGATGATGACTGCTGCTGCTGGACTGCATGAGTCAACTACTTTCACCGCAACTATGTACGAGACGAGAACCCGGAGAGTTTATGTGTGTGGAATGTTTTTACACTTATTGTTCCCTCACCAACCACCACCGATTTTCACAGGCGATACTCACTTTCTACTCTAAAGTCCTGCTGCTGCACAGCCCCCAATTAACCTGACCGACCACCAACCTGCAAAGCCAAACCTACAGCACGGCACTATACAACAAACGAGCCTCTGCTGGCCACTCTTGCCCACTTCCTGAACCAGGATCCGGGTCACAACATACTTTCTCTTTTATTAAAAACCTGACTCGATCGCCTCATTTCGTCGACTGTTCGAGATATTAGCAATTTGTGGCTAATAATAAAATGGATGTTATCTTAATATAAATCTGATGTTGTCGTTTCTTCCTGTAACAGGAATCCCACACTCCGATGCATATCGCAGCCATGTACGGAAGGGATGAGACGATCCGATTCCTCGTCTTTAAGAAGGCCGATATCACTGCGGTTACGGAGGTGCAATATTCATGATGATGACGATGTGTTAAACTCGATTGAAATTTGACAATGCTTTTTCTTATCAATTCTTATCAAGGGCAAGAAACAGAACGTTCTCCATCTCGCGTGTAATCGAACCGGGGCAAATAATACGGCCATTCTGCGTGCCATTTTAGCCGTGGCGCCGAAGGATGCGCGACTTCAGCGAGATTCGGTACGAATTTAGTTTTTTATGGCCCAACACGACGTACTTAATTCAAATGCGACGATGAAAATTTTCCAAATTTTTCCATCTGATCGCGTAGGAGGGAAATATTCCGCTTTTCGTAGCAATGAACAATGGATCTCGAGGCGCTTGTCAGGAACTTCTCACGGCCCAAGCTCACGAACAAATGAGGATGCAGACCGGCCCCCAAAAAGACACCCCGCTGCATCTCGCCGTACGGAAAAGGGATTTGGAAATGGCGAGGATATTTGTCGATGCGAGTGCCAATGTTGATGCGAAAAATGTAAATGAGAAAAGTTTCACATAAAGTTTGGAAAGGACAGAAGCAGTAAAATATACGAACTCAAATATTGTTACAGGGTCAGTGGCAGACGCCTCTGCACATCGCGGCTGAAGCTGGTGATGAAAATTTGGTCAAGTTTTTCTACCTGTGCAAGGCTAATCCGAACATTGCGGACAAGGAGGGTAAATTAATTGCAAATAATGCAGTAATGCATATCTCAACTATAATTTAAATTATTTTTTAGACCGCACCCCAATGTACCTGGCAGCCATGAATGGTCACACACAAATTATCGAGTTGCTCGCCGACAAATTTAAAGTGTCCGTGTTTGAGAGGACGCGAGATGGGAGCACTCTGATGCACATTGCATCCCTTCACGGTCACCCGGAAACGGCAATGGCCCTTTTCCGCAAGGGTGTTCCACTTCAGATGCCAAACAAGGTGAATAAAATTTATGTTTAATATATTATTATTGACCACGAGTTAGTTAAAATAATTGCGCACATAGGGCGGAGCACGAAGTTTACACATTGCTGCTCGACACGGTCACGCCGCCATGATTAGCAAACTGCTCGAGAAAGGGGAACGTGTCGACGCCGTGACGAACGAGAACTATACAGCGTTACACATCGCGGTGGAAAGTGGGAGGCCCAACGTGGTAGAAACGCTGCTGGGTCATGGTGCTCAGGTTCATATTAAAGGTGACCTCGCTTTTTCCATAACAAGTTAGCTATTTTTTAATAAGTGAGTTGACCTTGCCCTTTTTTTAATGATGGTCAGGCGGAAAAGCCCAAGAGACTCCGCTCCACATTGCCGCCAGGGTCGATGAAGGGGAAAAATGTGCCCAAATGCTTCTTAAATCTGGAGCTGATCCAAATATTACAATGGAAAATGGGGAGACGCCACTCCACGTGGCAGCCAGGCATGGAAGGCTCCGCATCATTCGACTCCTTCTCCAAGATGGGGCAAATTTGCAGAAGACTTCAAAGGTTCCACTTGCAATAAAATGCTTATTTGCAACTATTGGACAAATAACTAACAGATAAACCATCGCATTTTTTACCTAGGACGGTGAGACCCCACTGCACCTTGCCGCGAGACACGGCCATTTCCGGGTCGTGAAAGAGCTCCTTCAATACATCAAGAGGGACAAGGGCGAAGCTGACATGAGTCTGTACATTAATCACATCACGTTGAAAGGTGAAAGTGCCCTGCATTATGCCGCCCAACTGACAAAAGATCCCGACGAGGTGGCCGTCGTGGATAAATCAGGGAAGGAATCCCACCCTGGGAAGGATATCGCCAAGATGTTGTTAGATGGTGGTGCATCCGTGTCAAAGCCAACGAAGGAGGTACATTTACTGATTAATTATTCAATTAATTAATTAGTAATTAATTACCAACGAATTTAATTCAGTTCCAAGAGACACCTTTCCACTACTGTGCCAGAGAAGGGAATAACGACATTTTGCTCGAGATGTTGAGCCGGATGACGCAAGTAGAATGCCAACGTGCCGTGAATAAGCAGTCGTCCAAGGGCTGGTCTCCCCTCCTCATCGCGTGCCATAAGGGTCACACCCCAGTCGTGAGGACGCTGCTGGAAAATCATGCCAGGGTGGACGTCTTTGATAATGAGGGTCGCTCTGCGCTCCATTTAGCGGCAGAGAATGGATATCAGGTGCGTATTTGTGGTGGATGCTGAAATTCGTCTTCATAACTATTATGACATGTGACATTTTTTATTGCTTGTGTATTAATTTTCATGATCAGGAAATTTGCGGCATCCTTCTCAAACATAAGGCCTTCATCAATGCCAAGTCTCGCGTGGGTTTCACCGCCCTTCACCTCGCGGCGACCAAAGGGTATACGAAATTGTGCCTTTTCCTCATTCAGGAACATGGCGCTTCAGTGGATGCCGTCACACTGGTGAGTTATATTTTAGTTGAAGGTGACGACCACTATTTGTGACATTTATGCGGCTTGATTAGAAAAAACAAACGCCGCTGCATCTCGCCGCGGAGGCGGGTCAGCTGGAGGTGTGTCGCCTCCTCATGGGACTCCGCGCCAGTCCGGACGCAGCGGACGAACGAGGTCAAAAACCAATCCATCTCGCTGCTCAAAACAATCACTCAGATGTCATTAAATTGTTCCTGAAACATCAAAATTCTCTAGTAGCCAGTGCCACCCGGGTAAAAAAACTAGCACAAGAATGGAGCATGTCACGTTGAAATCCCTCTTTAATATTTCTTGTTGACCTCTAGGACGGTAGCACTTGCGCCCACTTGGCCGCCATGCAAGGCTCCGTCGCAGTATTAGAAGAACTTATGAAATTCGACAAGCAGGGCGTCATCTCGGCCAGAAATAGAAGCACGGACTCAACTGCGCTTCAACTCGCAGCGGAAGGAGGTCACGCCGAACTTGTCAAAGCGCTCATCGATGCGGGGGCGAATCCAAGTGATGAGAACAGAGTGAGTTTTACTTTTTAGAGCATTCTCAGTTTCGTACTGGTATTTTTGGTACAATAAATGTGGGAATTCGTGTCATACTTCAGGCTGGCTACGCAGCGATCCACCTTGCCGCCAAGAATGGTCATACGAACGTGTTGGATGCACTGAAAGGGAGTGAAGAGGCGATTAAGCTCACCAGTCGGAAACTTGGTTTAACTGCGGTGCACATTGCGGCATATTATGGCCAGACAGGTATGCGCTATGCAATACTTTGACAAAAAAATCTACAAAGATCCACGTTTTAAAATGTTTTATCTTTGGTCCAGAAATGGTCCGAGAACTGTTGCCTTACGTTTCCGGCAAGACGCCGTCCGAACCACCAATTTCAATCGTGTCATCTTTCATCAAAGAACTCGGAACCGAGTCTGGCCTCACTCCTTTGCACATGGCATCCTATTCTGGAGAAGAAAATGTGGTGCGACTTCTCCTTAACTCGCAAGGTGTCCAGGTGGACGCACCCACCACGAATTTAGTGAGTTGATATTCCTATAATGAAGATTATTTTGTGTTTTCATCTTAAAATTGACAATTTCATTTGCTTTTATTTGCTATTTAGGGGTTCAACTCTCTCCATCTCGCTTGTCGTGGGGGTCACACGACTGTGGTGAGTCTGCTGCTGAGTCGTTCCTCAGAGCTGCTCGAGAGTAAGGATGCTTCCGGAAAATCCAGTCTGCATATTGCCGCAATCCATGGTCATATCCAAATGGTGGAGGTCCTTTTGGGTCAAGGGGCAGAGATTGATGCGATTGACAAGGTAAATGTCAACCGTAATGCAGCGTTTGTTTAATTTATCCGCATACAAATAGAACAAGTCGTGCTATGTTTTCTCTCAGGAATTGTGGACGCCATTAATCTGTGCGTCGAAAGCTGGTCATCTGGACGTTGTCAAGTTACTCGTGGAAAGCCAAGCGTCTCCTTTAGCCAAGACGTCCAAGGGCCACTCTCCCATTTGGTTCGCTGCTGCAGAAAATCACATCGTCGTCCTCAGCTACCTCATGAAGAAGGAGCATGACACGTATGGGCTGATGGATGATAAAGAATTCGTCTACAATCTCACAGTGTGTGGCAAAAATACTAATAACGAGCCCATCGATGAGTTTGTATTATCCTCTCCCGCACCTGTGGACGTGTCAGCGAAATTGTCCAACATTTTGATCAATTTGTCGACAAAGGTTAGCTAAATTTCGTACCACTTCAAACCACCAACTTTTCATAATTCATGTCATGAAATTTGCATATTAATAAATTAACAGGAGAAGGAGAGAGCGAAAGACTTGGTCCACGCCTCGAAACATTGTGAATCCATGGCGGCTGAGTTACTCGCTTTATCTTCCGCGACAGAGTCGGCCGGAAAGATTTTGGAATCCGTTGACCGAAAAGGGGTAGAATTTTTAGACGTCTTAATCGAAAACGAGCAGAAGGAGGTCATTGCTCACACCGTCGTTCAACGCTATCTCTCTGAACTCTGGGTGGGCAGTCTGACCTGGGCGAACTGGAAACTGCTCCTCCTCTTCTTCTCGTTCATTGTATGTCCGCCGATCTGGGTCATATTTTCACTCCCATTAGGTAACTCAATTAACTAAAATTATATGACTTATGTATGTTCTAAAATGTACGTGAGCTTACTAATAGGTATTTTTTTATGTCTTTTTGAATCGTAGGTCATCGCTACTACAAAATTCCCATCATAAAATTCATGTCGTACCTGACGTCCCACATCCACCTTATGATCCTCCTCTGTCTCACCTCCGTCACTCCGATCTATCCCATACTCCCAATTCGGACTGACCTGTTTCCCTACGTTTTCGAATGGCTCCTGCTCGCCTGGTTGACGGGGCTTATAATTTCCGAGATAGCCAACCCTTCAGACAAAGCGGGGCTCGGTTGGATCAAGGTGGCCGTCCTAGTTTTCAGTATTATGGGCGTCATCCTCCACTGTGTCGGGTTTTTTATGCACAAATCCATATACGGGACGCTTCTCTACTTGAGGAATCAATTATTTGGGATGGCTGTGCTCCTCGCTTGCGTCCAAATCCTTGACTTTCTCTCTTTTCACTATCTCTTCGGTCCATGGGCCATCATCATTGGAAACTTAATGAAGGACTTGGCCAGATTTTTGGCCGTGTTGGCGATTTTCATGGTGGGATTTTCACTCGTCATGGCTGCCCTCAATTCGCCCATTCATCCGAGGAGGGAGCCCACCGCGGATGATAAGCCGCCAAAAACACTCACTAACGGCCTGCCCTCCGGAGGTGAGTGTAGTAGTCAGGATATTTCATGTACATATTAAGTAATAGTAATAATGAAATGGCCTTATCGTGGTAAATTACAGTGAAAGTGACCCCCATCGACGCATTTGAACTGTTGTTCTTCGCCCTGTTTGGTCTCAACGGGGCTGGCGAGTTAAAAATTGAGACGTTGGGACAGCCCGAGTGGACCTTGATCCTGTTCAAAATCTTTTTTGGGGTGTACATGTTGGTCACGGTGGTCGTGCTGATCAATCTCCTCATTGCCATGATGTCAGACACATATCAGAGGATCCAAGCCCAGTCGGATATCGAGTGGAAATATGGACTGGCCAAACTGATTCGAAATATGCATCGAACTTCTGCGACCCCATCGCCAATCAATCTTTTCACATCGTGGATTATGTGGATTTACGAAAAGTGTAAAAAGCGACGAGAAAAAGGTACAATTTTTTTATATTCCGTCGGCTTGAACGAGTTTATTCTTAGGTGAGGCTATGGTTACAGCAAAAAATACCTAAGTAAGCATTCCATGACGGTCTGAAAAGTGACCACAGGCCATTACTTTTTCATTTCTCAACCGATTTTTATCAAATAAAAACCCAGAGTTATGACTGTGCTTTATCATAATTGCTTTCTCTCGGTCCAGATTTCATACGACTTGTTTAGTTATCCAGGAAAAACCGTTGCTAGGGTCGCTTTTTGGCTTATTATAAAAATGTGGATGGGGTGATCATCGCCATTTCATTAAAATAATGTGATAAATTCACTTATCTTTCATATAAAACTGGGATGAACAAAATCGGCTGAGAAATGAAAAAGTTTTCCCCTTGGCATAAAAGTCATGTATGACTTTTGATCCGGTAGAGTCATACCAGGATTTTTTTAGTTTGGTTGATTGATTTCGAACCTCCATAAAATTTTCAATTAAAAACTTAAAATAAACTAAACCTTAAAAAGGATTGCTTAGGTGAGACTGCAATTAGAAGGATGAAATAATCCCCTCCCTCCTCCCACGCTGGGGAGAAGGTGTTGGTAAGGTGAGCATCACCGCCCTGGGAATTGTGCAAAAATTGTAGGAAGGATGATGTATCCCAATTTTGCACATCCCATCACACCACAAGAGTTAAACGCTGATTAATATCAACTCAGTTTTTCTTTTCCATCCCGCGCTGGTATCCTTCCCATGCTATTAGTATGGTAGGGATACGAAGCGGGAATCAAATTTTTGGTGAAGTAATTCTGAGTAAGTAGTAATTGATTCTGGGGTGTGTAATGAAATGTATACGTAAGCTCCCGCCTACACTTTCAAATAAGATACTTAAAGTATTCGAGTTTAATTTGATTTTGACAAATTCTGTGATGTATGCATATATATCCTATATATAAGCATACAAAAATATTTCTCCGTCATTTCCAGGGCGGTGATGCTCACTTTACCAACACCTTCTCCCCAGTGTGGGAGGAGGGAGGGGATTATTTCATCCTTTTAATCGCAGTCTCACCTAAGCAATCCTTTTTAAGGTTTAGTTTATTTGTATATGAAAGTAATGAATTTGTTATCATTTATGTAGAATCACTGAATCCGTTTAAACGGAGTGGGAAAGGAGGCTCCAAAGTGGGGCCCTCCAACCTCTTCCCATTCGGGAAACCAACGCCGAAACAAAGGTGGAAAGCAGTGTTCAAAAAGACGCAGATGACTCCAAGAGGTAACTTTTTATCCCTCCAATTTATTAATAGTGCTTTTTCTCGAACGTTACAATGTTGGGATAATTTCTGTAAATAGTGTCGGACATAATGCGCCTAAGCGTTGCGCAAGTGAGTCCAATGGGTCCTGGAAGTCCGCTCCAAGCCTTCGGTTCCTCACTCAGCATAGGAAATCAGCAACGCATCGAAACTGTGACCGACTGGCCCATGATTGCCAGAAAATATCGCATTCTCGTCGGAAAGGAGGAACCTCACATGTTGTCGGAAGAAGGCCAAATCCTTCAGCAAGGGTCAAGCGTTAACATCCAGCAACAGCCGAACCAGCAATTGACAGTTTGAAATTAATAGTTTTAGACAATTATAAATTAATAGTATGATAACTGATGATAGGTAGTTACATACTTGTTCTTGTACTCGTTGCGTAATTCTATCATATTTTTCTATCCATAATAACAAATCAAATTAAATGAATGAAATGATTTACTTATTTATTTTTAATCACCTTAATACTAGATTTTCAAGTGAGAACTCAAGTTCAATATCATAAATACAAAAGAATTAGCTATTAAATATTTATACATGTTTGCGTATGAAAGTGTTGTGTAAATTTCATAAATGTTATTATGCAGCTCAAATGTAAGTTTGGACAGAATTGCAATAAAATGTTTCAAGTTCATGATCCGATAATGGTAAAATTTAAGTAAACAACTTCATTAATTAATAACAACCTTATGGAATGGAATTCATGCATCAATGTATTAATGATCACAAAAAACCAGTTGATTTAATGGAATGGTAAAAGTATGTTTATTTGGAGCAGAGATGACATTGACGATTGATAGTAGTTATTTATTTAGTGATAGGATAAGGAATCAGCAGTGAAATGAAATTAAATGATATCTTGTGGATACACAACGTCCACGGCTTTTCGGATCGATTGCATAATTTCAGCAATCCTGAGAGTTTCTTTGTGAGACACGGTCGGACTCTCGAGCATGCCTGAAGATAACCAATTAGAATATGCAATTAGGATTTTTATATGTTTGCGATTAGCAATCATTCATTTCAAGTTTAATTAATTACCGGCATTGATGCAGCGTCGAACTTCACTCATTTCGTACGAAAGTCCCATGCTTCTGAAGAATTTTGTGGCCTTTCCCGGTGGGAGAGGAAACTCGTGCGTCTTGCCGTCCGCAAGGGTGAGGTGGGTGGGACACCAGAATGGGCATTCAAGCTAATGAGTCAATAATAAACAATAAAACTTGAACGGTAACGATGATGGATAATACATATGTAACTATGTATTAGGCAGATTAATTAATTAGTTTACCTTCAAAGTACCCTTTGTCCCAATTATGCACGCCTCATTAGGCATTTGACATTTTGTGTGCGTCACCAACGTAGCGGTACGTCCGTTAGTATACAAAAGCGTGGTTGACGTGCTCTCGTCTACCAAATTCTCGTTGAGATGGCCTCCGGAAATGATCTTGACAGGGTTGTCTCCTCCGAACACATATTGCGCCAGCTGGACACAGTAAATCCCGATATCAAGAACACTGCCGCCACCAAATTCTTTCTTTCTATTTGTGAAAAGATGGAATTTTATATAAATACTGAATCTTGCAAACTTAGGATTAGTACTTGCATCTGGCAATGAAAATTGGAAATTGTAAGTACTTACTTGATCCTATCAACTTCAGAAATTGGCACACCGAAGGAGACAAAAACTTGAAGAACGTCGCCAATCGAGCCCTTATCGATTTCCTCCCTGAGCCGCATGTACGTGGGGAAAAAACGACTCCAAATCCCCTCCATGAGAAACAGACCTAATAGTAGTTATATTAAGTACTTATATTCAATATGTACCTAAATACCAAACAAACAACACAAACAACTTTAAAAAATACCTTTCTCTCTCGCATAGTCAATAAGCTCCTTCGTTTCACGGACGTTCATCCCAAGGGGCTTTTCACAAAGGACATGCTTCCCATGGCTCAAGGCCAACTTTCCCAGCTCAAGATGGAACGGATTGAGCGTCCCGATGTAACAAACGTCTGCAAGGAAATACCCACTAAATCAATAACCCCCATGACCGCAATGTTTACTTTTCACCCCTTACCAATTTCCGGATCTTGCACCAACTCTTCATAACTTCCGTACGCTTTTGGAATCTTGAACTCATCTGCAAACTCCCTCGCACTTTCCAGCGATCTTGCCGCAATGGCCGCAATGAAATGTTCCTTCGGGGACAAGGCCGCAGAAGCTGTTGCCATGTCGTAGCTGATTTTACCAGCAGCCATGATCCCCCACCGTAAAGGACCCATTTTTAAGGCTTATCTTTTAATTATTGTAACTTATTGATGAGCGATTTTGATTCTCTTGCTCCTGGTCTGATTCCACTTTCGCATCTGATCTGCTCACTTCTCCGGCCGGTTTTATGCTCTCCCATTACATTCATTTGCATGGTTTGCATGACAACAACATTGTCACCGCCACCACCACCACGCACTTAACTAATGGTAAACAACCACTTCGGGTCAACTAATAAGTAAGCATATCACTCACTACCACCCAGCTATACGACCAGTAACCAACCAATTCGTAACTGGAACTGGAACAAGAACACGAGCCTCATGCATGAACCAGAACAATGACATGCATCAATGCCATCACGGTTGATAAAAAAAGTACTCACTCGAGTGGGTGACACTTTAAATTAATGACGACACAAATTAATTAACCGATATGCGACGTAATTGATAAGTAACTCTTGATTTATTTCTTTGTCAATCAATAGCAATAAATAATAAAAATAAATAGGATGATTTCGAGTCCATCAGTCTGATTTAGAATTACAAAAGTACAAAATGAAGAAATCGGGCGAAATTAGTTTGAGATTTTGGCCGGAAGTGTGAAGCAGACGACGGGGGTCTTGTTGTCGTTGAGACCGTATTGGACGCTGACACTGACGGCTGGATAAGATTTCAAGATTGGGAAAGAATTGGAATAAGTGTACACCTCATTGGGCTCGATTGGACAACCCTTTAAAAATTCGTAAAATTTCGTAAATAAAAACAATAAAAATAAGAATAAAATTTAAAAAATATATATACCTTCTTTCCGTCACTTTTTCGCTTAATATCCTTGCAAGCGTCCATACCGTGAACTTCTCGGAATGGGACACGAACAATGCCGATACCACCGAAAACTTGGGTGGTTAACTTTTCATAAGTTTTGTCTAATAAAAACATGAGGCATTATTATTAGTTAAGTTATATCAGTCAGATCTGGTCAATTAAATTCATATGTATTTAAATACCTGGCGTGAAGTCAAACTCGATCGTGGCTTCGGATCCTTTCCTCAATTTGCATGGAGATTCGGCACAATCTGTGACTCGGACATCTTGGATGCTTCCCAGACCGTTGGATCCTCCTCGGGCAGCGACACCATCTACGTATCACGAATTAAAAAATATTTTCATTAGACGGTTGCATAAGAACTTGTTAAAAATGCAGCGTTCTAATTCCCAAGGGATCTTTATAGAAATTGTGTAAAGTTCACTCCTTGTGAGGAAATTCTCGTGTCGCAATCCTGCACTCCCACGCGCTCAACATCACCACGACACCGTTTGTTAGTATTAAACTGACCTTTACACTTGTCTACGTGAATAGCGCTGGCAAGGACGCAGCAGAGAAGGGCGACTCCCACGCTCTTGAACATGTTGATGTTTCTTCTGGGGTTGAGATTTCTACAAATTTGTTTTTCGTCTGTGTTCACGAAAGGTGACAAAGGGCGAGTGTTGGCAGGGCTGGTGTGATCGAGCTCCTTTTATCGAATGCCTCAGCACAGCGGGTGGAGACCACTTGCTAACAAAGTGACGCAACAATTAAACCTTTGACTACCTTTGCTTGCTTGGGGGTCCTCCGTGTCGTGTATTGCATAGTCGTTATCAAGTAGGAGGTATGGCGTAAAGCATAATTTGTGATATACTAATTCCGCTGGAAACAATATGTGTAAGATCACTGCATGCAACAATAAGATCTCAACAGTAGAGTAGTAGCCCTGGTTCGACATCAAAAAGTATAAATACAACACCAACCATTATCACCAGACCACCAACAACTTGTTGGGCCTTTCCCATTATTGCTCCTCCATTATTATGACATAATAACGGTAATAATGAGTGGACAATGGTTGTATACTTACCCATGGAAGGATACTATATAGTATCCTTCCGTGAGTGAGTATATGTACTCACCTTGGAGTTTCATGACCAGTAATACTATTATTTACTTACCAAACTTGTGATAAGTGCGAAAAGTGAAATCTCATCTGCATATTATCTGCAAACAAAATATCCAGAACTCTCATGAACATAATACCCGTCTGTCCATTTTACATTTAACACCGACACCGGATGGATGAATAAATTAATAGACTATGATTACGATGCACGCATAATGTACATATTTATTTAGCCACTTAGAAAAATGAACACCTTGCTAATTGCCATTGTGCATTTTGATGTATATTTTATGAGCCTTGGACAATGGACTTGAGGCATCTTTGCTAACGCTGATTGATGGTGTAGTCCTCCTTGGGCTTTGAGGAGAAGAATCCACTGTTGCGGGTCAACGTCATGGTCATCGTCTAATAGCCATCATTATCTCCTCAATGCTAATAAATAAGATCTGAATTAATGTGACAGAAAAACAAACACAAAGCACTACGATCCAATGAGCACATTTAATGCGTTGTCCAATCCAACAATATTTTCATTTGCTTGCGTAAGCACCGAAAGGTAAATGCATGACATGCACGTTGGCTGTTCTAAATTATGTGACGACTTGTGCAAAATATGGAAACAATTTGCAACAATAAAAAATGAAGTCATCCCATTGACGACGCAGCTCAGTAAGTCAGCAGAAGAAATGTATTTAATTGCGAACTCCTGACTCATAATAAATGGAACAATTGATGATAAACGTAATAAAGTAGGAAATCCTAAAATTGGCTCGTACGAGATTTGCAATATATTGGCACAGGTTCAATATCAGGTGCGAATGGATGGTATTAATTGAGCAATATTGAATATATAATAACAGAAACCCGTAAGGATTAGCTTGCCGGCTTATGAGGTCCAATAAGGTGGATTTATAAGGAGTAGATAACACCTTATCTACATTTATGCTCACTAATAATAAAGGTCGTATAAATTCCAACCCTCTTATCACCAAGAATTGTTAGTCCGTGGGATAACGGGAGGATTTCGAGGAGGCCGTGATTCACAAAGTGAAAGCAATCTTCCAGGTCACTCCACGTTATACAGCGTCCCAGCCAACACCCACTTGAACACAGTGGTCACACTTACTTTGTGATTAATAAATTTGAAATGTGGTCAACCAGAGAAGGGTTTCACTCCCTCATCGCGACGACAACACTTGTGGTGACAATTTTCCTCCACACGTCCCACGCAATCCCTCCCCTCTTCCCCCAACCGCCAGACTTTGGAGGTGAGGTTGACCTCGCGAGGGCCCCGACGCCTGCGGATCGCCTTCCAAAAACGCTAACTCCGTACCATTATTGGTTGGAGCTTCGACCAATTATCGACGATGGGACTGGAACCGGGGAAAGATTTACGGCTCCGGGTAAAATCTCAATTAAAACGATTAGAAGCCTTGAGTCTGGAAATGGAAATACCATCACGTTCCACTCTCTGAATAATGCGATCAATGAAACAACAGTGTCGGTAAGCATTTCCAGGTTTTTGGGTTAATTTTAGAAAATCTCATTGGAATATCTTGCATTAAAATTAGGTGGTCGACGACACCGATGGAACCAGTTTGACCATTGACTACTTTGTAATCAGCCTTTCGTCCCACTGGTTCACGATCGTCATGGCGAGTAATTCCACCCTCGTAGCGGGGAAGAACTACACGTTGTCGATGGAATTCGTGAGCAAGATCAACACGCAGGACGCCATTGGACTCTACACCTCCGTGTATAAAGGTGCCGATAACTCGACGAAATATTTGGTTTCGACCGATTTTCAAGCGCCCGACGCGCGAATGGCGTTCCCCTGTTTTGACGAGCCCCATATGAAGGCTGTCTGGGAAATTGATATCATTCGACAAACGCATTACCACAGTTTGGCCAACATGCCCCTTGCAGATTCAACCCCAGTGTAAGTGGTTTCTCTCGAAGAGTTAACACCCAATTAATTGCCCAACTAAATATATTTTTCCTACAAGAACAGACCAGAACTGCCAGGCTGGGTACGAGACCGTTACCTTCCCACTGTTCCGATGAGCTCTTACCTCATTTGCTTCGCCGTGTCCGACTTTACAATGGAGGCTGCCAACACCTCCATCTACTCCAAACCAGTCCACGTCTGGGGTCCACCGCCCCTCATGGAACGAGGAAATGGACGCTTTTCTCCAGATTTCTCAGCAAAATTGATGTCATTCTTCGAAACATATTACAGGATTGAGTATGCGTTGCCGAAAATGGATAAGATTTCGATCCCTGACTATTCTTCTGGAGGTGAGAATATATACTCTAATATAATAATATACTCGAATATATCTCTAATAAAGGATTTAATAACAATGGTTAATAATTTTAAATAATTTTGTTCACCGTTCGCTCTACAGCGATGGAAAACTGGGGACTCAACACGTACAGGGATACGAGGCTGTTGTATGAGGAAGGAATTTCCACAGCACAAGACATGTTTTCAATGACGAACACCATTTCACACGAATTGGTATGACAGAAACACCTGAATCTTAATAATTTGTGTAATCTGTTTAAATTTTCTAGGTTCATCAATGGTGGGGAAACTTGGTGACATGCGAGTGGTGGTCTGACCTGTGGATTCAGGAAGGGGCGGCCACATATTATGCTCCAATTGGTGTCGCTGGCGTGGGCATGGGGGATCTTCTACCAATGGAGACACTCATCACAGCCTCAATCCAACGCTCCTTCGACTTCGATGCCAACAAGGGGCTCACACATCCCATCCACCTTGAAAACATCGACCCTACCAACGTGGCCTTGCTATTTGACACTCTGACCTATCACAAAGGCGCCTCGCTGATCAGGATGATGAACGCCATCGTCTCCACGAACACGTATAACACCGCAATGACCAGATTTTTGCATAGATATTCGTACAGCACCGCGACTCAGGGTGACATGTTTGCCGTGTTGGATGAGGTATGTAAATACATAGATTGATAAAAAATGGTAAAAATTATGGTATGTTGAATTATGAGTCTGGATTTTAAGGTGATTGCTGAAACACCAGCGTCCTCCCCACTTCCCGCGAATGTCAACCTGACTCAGATCATGGAGACGTGGACGCTACAGTCCGGTTACCCTGTCGTGTCCGTGGAGAGAAGTCAATTTTCAAACAATGTTACATTTACTCAGGTAGATTACAATTTCATACATCGTGAGGAAGATGTATATAACGTGTTTGCCATGCTTAGGAACGCTTTTTTCAACGCATCGCGGACGGCGTAGGGGACACAACCAGGTGGCACATCCCTCTCACAGTTCAACGTCCAACGGACGTCCTAATTCCAGTCCGACCAGAACGATGGTTGACGGCAGACCGGGCGCAGACGTCCCTCATCCCAGTATCTGGAGCGTGGATTATTGTAAATCCGCAAAGTCATGGTATTTTCAAGACCACATTTTTATCAATAAAGCATTTTTTAAATTTAACTATTTTACAGGATACTATCGCGTCCATTACAAAAACGCGTTGCTCGACGCCATCATTGACCAATTATGGAGGGATCATACCGTTTTTGACGTGCAAGTCCGGAGCACATTGGTGGATGACAATATCAATCTGGGTTATGCTGGTTGGTGTACCGTCCGTATAAAAAATTATGGCCAGATTAAACTTAACTAATGATAATAACTTATCTGTAGGCTATCTCGACCTCGGAAAGGCGCTCAACCTTACCTTATACTTGCGCAACGAGCGAGTCCTGTTCCCTTGGCAGAGCTTCTTCACCAACATGGCCCTCCCGTACAGAATGTACGCTCGTTCTTCTCCATTCAGCTCGTTCAAGGTTTCCATCATTTATCTAATTGTCCTCGAAACGTTGAAACTATGACCTTCTCATCACCCATTTTTATTTTCTCATTCATCATGTAGAAATACGTTCTCGATCTGACAGCTGATGCCTTGACCGCAATAAATATTCAACCACAACCGAGTGACGACAACCCTACAACGCTCCTGAGAACATTGCTCGTCACGTGGCGTTGCAACCTTGGGGACGCGGCCTGCATTACGTATTCCATTGGTCGCTTTTCCGCCTGGATGAACAACCCGAGCAACACCTCAATGTGAGTTGGTTGCGATAAGGACGAAATACATAGAATTTTGAAATATTATAATTGTCGACTTCCTTTCTAGAGTCGCACCCGACCTTCAGCCCAGCGTATATTGTACAGCCATCGCCAACGGGGGAGATTCGGAGTGGAATTTTGTATGGAGTCAGTATCTCATGGCGGACAGAGACGTCATTCAAACGAGTTTAATTCGAGCGTTGGCTTGTTCCAAGACGAGCTTCAGGCTTAACACGTTAGTTGATCGTATATTGATGCCATGATCGTACATGTAACTTAATTGATATATCGTCACTTGCAGTTTATTGGAGATGGCCTTTGATCTTAATTCCGGGGTACGTGGGAAGCACCGCACCTTGACTGTGCAAGCTGTGGCTGGAAACTCGGCCGGTGTCAATTTGGCATTTTCATTTCTGAGGGCGAATTGGGAGGCTATGATTCGAAGGTGGGTGAATCCACCAGGCTGAATTTAGCAACAAATTTGGATAATAATTACAAGTTTGTCATGACAGGTATGGAGCCTCAATGCCCAGCGGGATCATTACCACTTTGTCAACCCAGCTCATTAGTGCGTTGGAGAGGAAAAATGTATAAAAACACGCTATCTGATAACTACCATAACTTAAATTGATGACATTTAATCAATTATTTTACTTAATGTGAGTAGTTGGAGGACTTTGTTGCTTCGACGGGGGCACAACTTCAATTGTCAGCAGGAGCGGTGGAGAATCTGGACAAAGGGGCGCATTGGAGGACAACAATTGAGGGAAACTTCACCACATTCATCCGGTCATTAACGCCATAGTGGCTGTGAAAATAAATTCTGATGCCACACCATATTTATGTATTTAGTTAGTGTAGAACTCTCTGGTGCTTATTTAAGATAGAAATTGAAACTTACATACTTATTAATTGAAACTTTTTTGAAATAGAAACAAAATTTTAGGATCTATGAAATTTTACTGTTTCAATTTGTGCAATTTATTTCTGTTTTTTGCGTTCATGCATTTTCGTTTATTATTTCGTGCAGTACTCCAAGCTTTATTATGCTCATCATTACATAAACACGGCAATTTATATGTCATCAAAGTCAACAATGACTGACTGCATGAACATCAAAATATGTGGAAAAATACGAATCCAAGTACACGGCAAACTGCACAAGAGTGCCTTTAATTTTATGCGAGCATATGGCAATTACAGACGCAGAAGATGAGATTATGCATTCGGATTATGTAGTAAAAAATAATTGTAATACAGTAGTTTTCAACAAGTATCAGATAACACAATGTGTATGTTAAATTTATTAAAAAACGGTATGAAAAGGCGGCATTATTGGTCGGATACATCATTCGTTATCCAATTCCAAATTTTGTCTTCTCTTTTATACGTTAACTTTTTATACGAGTCAGAAAACTTAAGCCAAAAACGATAACAACGTGTTGGTTAATTAAATTCTTAATTAGTAAATTAGTAAAAAACTTAATATATTTAAGTCCGGACGGGGTACATACATGATATAGCGTAGTGGCGTTTCTTGAAAATGTCCGGCCCATGGAATAATCTAAAGTACAGTTGCCAATGTACTCATTATAAATAGTAGCACAATTTTTTCCATCTTGACGCGATTTCACCCATTTGACATATTTTAGTAAAAACAATCGACACTACTTTCTGGAAATACGATAGAAAGCAAAAATTTTAATTGAATCTAAAGTGAATAGAAGTCGGAAGTCAAAATTTAGATTAACGTACAAAACCAAAAGTTTGTAAGCCGACAATACTCCAATTTTGTAATTCAAAACGAAACATTTAATGCAATGAATTGATCAGGGGGGTTTCGTACTACCAAGATTTCCATGGTTATTTTCTTGATATGCAAAAAAGGGCGGCGAGGCGTTTCTGGAATGACTTTTGTCCTGTACTTTACCCTCAACTGTGTCTTAAATGGTTTTGAGTTTCTTGACTCATAATTATTCACATCAGTATCATCTTATCAATCATTTTAAATAAATACGTGATCAGTTTTATTTTCATTGTAAAATAATTACAAATAAATACTGATTTAATTTATGTGGCCCCGGTACACATCCACCCTTTCGTAGATACGCCTCTGTTGGTAGTTAACCAAATTTTTAAGTTGGGAGTGAATTCTCAGCCTAGCCAACTCAAGGCTGCTAAACTTAACTAACCAAACTAGCATTTGAAAAATGTATAAAAACTGAGAGAAAAACGATTTAGTTAATATCATCATCAAAACTGTTAATTCTATAATGTTATTCCTGCTGCTTTTTCCTCCGGTTTCTAAGTATCATTATCTGAGGAAGGATAACAAACCGAATTGATATTAGTGTAGACGTGACCTGACGTAGGACATTGTTGTTTGTTTCTGACCAAGGACGAATTACAAATAGAGAAAATAAACTGAATATTAGTTTATCGATTCGAGTAGATCGAATTATGTATAGTACATACAAGGTGACTGTGATAATACTTTGTATTGTTTTGTTTAATGGACTAAATACTCTTGGTTAAATAGGTCTCCCTCCTTTGTAAACTTGACGTCGTCAGTCCAAGTCTAGCGGTGGTGGTTGTATTGTATTGGATGCTTGTCCTGTCTTTACACTCGCCTTATGCAGAATTGCTTTGTCGAAGGCACGTCTTTGTTTTTTAGGATTTTGACTTTCTAGTAAGTGACGTCTATCTAAGGCGGGGGTTACTCCAAGAGGTTCCAGCTCTCTGCGGGTCACCCACTCCCTGAAGATTAGCAGAAAAAATTGTATTTTACTATTAATCTGAGCGAAAATAGTTATTTACTCACCAGGTACTGCTCTTATCAAAAAAGAGGACCAAGTGAAACTCTTTCCCTGCCCGTTTCCGACCAGCGGGTGGTCTTCGATTTAGTACATCCACGGGTGGGACAGGGATGGTAACTCCATTCTTGTCTGGGGATGGAGATAAACCCACATTTTCCGGATTTACAATCAGAGCGGGGGACCAGGCTTCATGGGCGTAAGCCCACACTAATTGCATATGCTCCGGGATTAGTAAGGGAACTTTCTGTGTCTCTTCTGTAACTTGGCCATCGCTGGAGGAAGAACGAGAAGAGTGGGAAGACGATGCAGAGGAAGAAGATGAAGAAGAGTCACGACGACGGCGACGGCGACTTGTTCTACTGGCACGGTTTGATGAAACGTCAGTACTATTCGTTTTTCCACCACCTGAGGAAATGAAATATAAGATAACTATATGAAGTAAGGCAAATAAATAATTTATTTAAAAGTTAACAAGTACCTCGAGTCAAAACCCTATGCATATGGTGGTGATTTGTTGCTGCAGCGTCGGAAGACTCATCCGACACTTCGTCTTCCGAGGATGAGTCATCCCCTTCTGAAGACGAATCGTCATCCGTTTGGTCATCTTCATCTTCTTGTTCGTCTTCTTTTTCATCTTGTTCTTCTCCATCTGACGAATCTCGCTTTTCTTCTCTGTACAATAAATAAAAAATTGTCACTGTTTGACCAAAACATTATTAAAATTACACACGCTAGCCAACGCACCTGTATACAGAAAAAGAGTCCACTGGGACTGGTAGTCGTGGCTGCTGCTGCATCAGGGCAGCAGCCAAAACGGGATGAGCGTCGACTTCTCTTGACTTTTTCGCACTCTTAATCTTTTTATTGTTATTATTATTATTGTGGGTGTTGTTTCTTGTTCCGTTTCGCATTATCCCGTTGACCAAGGGTGATGCTTTGGTGGGTGTGGTATTAGTAGTGGAAGTAGGTGTTCCTAGCTGGGTACGAGTGACCCTTTGCTGCTGCTCCCCATCCACGCTAAGACGAGTCGTTCGACGGAGTGGAGTAGCAGGAACTGGAGTAGCCGGAGCAGCACAGGGAGCGTGATGATTCCTGGTGGGCGTTGCTGCGACGACGGCTGGATGAGTTGCTGGAGAACTATCTAACGTTCGGGACATTCTTCGTGTTTGCGTAACACTTGCTGTAGATTTTGCTTCCATTTGTTGAACTACACGACGCTTTGGTGGCCTTTCTTTGATGGCTTCGTCTCCATCGTCATCCTGGAGGTGGATATAATAAATATAACTCCGATACAAGTAATAGTCGATAATAGTATATTTCATAAATGAAAAAAAAAACTGAGCGAACCTTATTTTCGTGCTCGTCAGTTTGGTCAATTACTGACTTCCTCCTGAGCTTTCTTAAAGTCGGGGTAGGGGAAACGGACTGTCGACTTATTGGACTTGATGGATGAAGTTCTCTTTTTGGAGAACGAGGAGATTTAGGAGATGGATTTTCTAATCGACGAACCCTTTGAATTTCTCTGTATAACCGTTCGTATCTAAAATTGGAAAGACAATAATTAAGTTCACGTCTAATAGGTATTACTACGGTCATCAGTAAATTGAGTTGCACTGTAATAATATACCGTTTTTTTCTAGCACCAGTATGTTGAACAGTGACCACTTTATCCGCAATATCTTGAAGTTTGGCTACATGAACGTCGTGTGGAAGTTGAAGCCGGTCCTCGTCTTTCAGGAAAGCATCCATCTCTTCGAAAATGTGGTCGTCACTCCGTCGAGTTGTCGAAGCAGGAGTGGCAGAATTACTTGAAATGCTGAGAGTGGGTGCTTTATCCAAGTGAAGACCAGAATCAGGATCGTATCCAATTTGATCTTGTACTTTTTCAGCCTCACGGAAAATCATACTACCAGATTCTTGAAGTCGGAGACCGGTACGATGAAATATCTACGTAAAAATTGAAGAAAAACTTCAAATTATTAAAGCACGAAACCTAAGATTTAAAAATTCTTATTTAGAAATCAATTTTTCTAATATCCATACCGTTTCCTTGCTGTTGTACAAAAGACAATTATTAATCATAAGTTGAAAATCTTTCTTCATCTCGTTCAGAGAATCATAATGTAGTTGTTGTGCCCTTTGCCTCATTGTGCTCAGGTCCATGGGTGAGTGGATCACAGTATGGTAATCAGGAACGGCTTCAGCGTCAACGGGTTCAGCAAAAATGTTTTGCGGATCTCGACCCCCTATCTCGTTCAACACGGACAGAAGTAACTGAACAAAGGGCACCGTCTTAAACGACCATTCTTCCGTTCTTAGTGCGACTAATTCCCTTTTTTGTTTCTCTCGTTTTCGAATCAGTTCACAAAGAAGGCGGGCACGTTCCAAGTCCTGTAAAAGAAAAATTACCATATTTATTATTATACCATTTACAAAACTACTGCACTTATTGTCGTAATAATAACTCAAATAATTAATTAACTAATTCGAGCATCAACAAATTGCCCACCTGTCTGAGTCGCATTAGGAACTTCCATGCATGATCACTCTGACTTGGTGCTCCAATACTGGGATCGTGAATTAGTTGGGCTCTATGATGACCCGAACTGGGGGGATGGTTGGAAGCGGCTTGAAGTCGTCTGAGTAGTGGGACACCGTTTCTTTGAATACGTTTCAATTTCCAGTATGAGAGTAATCTTTTGATAAAAACGTTTTTCCGAGCAAACGAAACGGAAGATGAGATTTCTGTCACACGTTCTGGGGGAATGGTAGGAATAGACAAGGTGGGTTTAGCACTTCTTTTCTCAGCTAACATTTTCCGACACGCCTTCAGCTTTTGTCGTACTGTTGGGGAAGAATCGCCCTCACGAGTCTGCTGAGAGAATAATCCCACACATTTTAAATACAAGTGGAGTAATGAAATTTAAGTAAATGGCGTAGACATAAATGTTTTTATAAATATTTACTCGAATAAAATCTGGAGGGGCGTGATTATCGCAGTATGCCGTCTTTCGAACGGTGACCGTTGACCCGATACGGACCGTGTCCATGCGCATACAAAGTCCCGCATGTTGGGCGCAAGTGACATGGAATGCTATGTAACAGTTGGACTTGTGACACTGAAGCGAAACAAAAATAAAGAATATGTTAGGTTTTACTACTTATTAGTTATTATTATATATGCCAGATTTGAGTGTAAAACGTACCTGAATACAAGCCCCTCTGCCCTTATATTTGCAAATGAAACAACAAAGTCTCCACCTTGCTGGAGGGATGTTATTCACTGAGTCCACTGGTTCAAGAAAGACCGTATTTGCGAAGCACACCTCCGGAATCCAAATGGCACAAACAACGTGCGCCTAAATCATATAGTTAATTAATATGGAATTTCTCAACAAAGCTGTTGATTAGAAAATAACAGTGCACGTGCTTGTCGATCTAATTTCAAGATCTATCAAAGTGTCGATATTAATGTACAAATATATAAATAAAGCTCCTTACCCAGCGACCGTCGTCCGTTTGCTTGAAAGCACCTCCTTTATTGGGACATAGCACGCACTCCACCTCTCTATCGGTAAGGATATAAATTAAACATTTAGTTTATATCACGATTATAAAACATTGATCAACTCTCTCACCGTGACGGTGACTGAAGACATCTGCGACACAACCACTGTCCCTCAGGGATGTACGGAACCCCATAACACTCTTGGTGCACGGCAAGGTTGCACATGTCGCAGAAGAGGATAGCATTCGAATTTTGACACTCTCCATCCATGCAGATGCAACAAACCGCGTCGTCATCAATCACGGGTCGTTGGTCCAACCCGGAACTTTGCATTTGAAGATAACTTTCCTTCTCTAATCGATCCATGAGGAGTTCCATCACCTCGAGAGTGATCCCCACACCGTCACGACCACTATTAATGAGATCCAACCAGGCAGAGTCCTCCTCGTCGACGTGATATTCTACCTCTTCGCCCAATTCGACATCATCCATCCATCTGATGTAGGCATTCGGGAGGGGTGGCGCTTCATTCAGCGTGTATTCTTCTAGGAGATGGTAATTGGGTTGCGGGAGGGAACGATGTTCATCAGACTGCTGGACGATAGCGGGTAGGTCTGAGATTTGTTGGTCTTGTCCTTCTTCCTTACACTTTTTCTTCTTTTTGCTAGATAGGTCAACATCCTCATCCTATAATAACACAAATTTAGTGATTATGGTACAAATAATATCCTTCTTTGACAAATCTCTTAGTATATCCTCACCGGTTTCGAAGTGACAGGAATCTGATCATAAACCGACAGTCGCAGTTCTGCACCGCCGTGAAGAATAAACTGGACGAGCATGGGTGGCAAGGTAGGATTCGCGTTTGTAGGACTCATCAATTCCAAACTGTTGTTTCCACCTCCACCCACATTTTGCTTGAGCTGATGCCCACCGCCAGGGGTGGAAGAAGGTCTCTCCTTCTTTCGAGGCGAACCTTTGAACCATTTTTGACCTCCGGAGGATACTAACTTCCTCTTTCGACGGATGGGACTGCCTCCCAGCTCTGCAAAAATGATGCAATTTACACACCACAATTTACAAACGTTAGATGAATGTAAAAACATAAACGTTTTCGACTTACGCTTCAGGGCAGGCTCATGGACCGGACTCATACCGAGCGCTTCATGGGATTGCTTCAAAAGCGACGTAGTACGGTGGGCGCGTGACCGTGACAAATAAATTGAAAATAAATTCACAAAATGACGAGAAGAATCTGCCGTCGTCGTGGTATTTAAGTTTTGTTTAACTGCGCTAGTTTAGATATTGTTATATTATTTTGAGGATCGATCAACTCTCTTGGATCGGATAATAATAATATTGTTGGCTATGTTCCGTTCTGTGTTATGTTAGTGTGATGTGCTTTCAATCCAATTCGTTCGTGGTGGTGGTGGTAGAGCGAGGATGGAGGTGATTCAATCCGTATTCTTCGTTTTTATTATTCGGAGGGAATGGGTTGAGACGGGATTATCCCTCCAGAGGGCCCTCACTCTTGAAACCGTCCTCGTGAAGGGGACCCATCCGACCACACCCCAGTGGAACCACCCCCTCCATAAATTCAGCCAGGGTGGTGACATTGGTTTCCGAAATGTGGGGTGGTCCAGTAGGTGTGGCAGGGGCCGGGGCAAAACCGGTGCATTGGCCTCCTCAGGGCAATCTCAGACCCGCGCCAACCAACCGGGCAGAGAGACGTGGATGTGGATTTCACTCACTCACAATTTCCTAGTTAGTTGGTTCTAAATTTTGTCTGTCAAGTGATTGTCGGGGAGGATTGTAAATTACGTTTTGTAATTAATTAGGATGGCGACCTTTAATGTGGCGACGATCGATACGGGCCATGAGGACATGATTGTGAGTAGTGGGTTGATTTCATTAGGGAAAGTTGTGTGGTTTTAACATTTTTTGTCTTAATTTATTTAGCATGATGCCCAGATGGATTTTTTGGGGACGAAATTGGCTACTTGTTCCTGTGACAAGAATATTCGGATATTTGATTTGAACGTGCAGACAGGGACGCATACTTTTGTGGCGGAACTGAAGGGACATGAGGGACCAGTTTGGCAGGTGAGGAGAAATTATTTGAAAAATTTGAAGTACTTACATATAAATGACATATTTAATTTAATTCTTAACTTGTGAATTGTTAGCTGGCCTGGGCACATCCTCGTTTTGACACGTTACTAGCCTCGTGTTCGTACGATCGAAGGGTTATCATTTGGAAGGAGGTGCTAGATGTTAAACATGATGGGAGGAAAATCCCAAAGTGGGAGCCAATGTACACGTATGAAGGGCATGAGAGCTCTGGTAAGTGTGTCAGTTATTTACATTTGCTCATGATAAATTTATTATACTTAATAATTGATTTATATATACTTGTGTGCAGTTAATTCGGTGTGCTGGGCGCCTCCTGAATGGGGCCTTATGCTCGCTGCAGGTTCATCGGATGGGACCATCTCTGTCTTGTCGTATGTCAATGATCGCTGGGAGGCTAAGAAAATCCCAAGTGCACACACGGTAAAGCCAACATTTACAAAAATACTGACATATGTATATCTACAGTGACTTAGTAATTAGTATTTTTTTACCATGCTGGGTACTTTGGTTTGATACAGTTGGGCTGCAATGCTGTTACTTGGTCGCCTCCTACCGGGCCATCTTCGATGAGTGCTGGCGATCCGGGTAGCAATGCCATCACAGCCGTAAAGAGATTCGCGTCAGGAGGATGTGACAACTTGGTCAAGATCTGGAAGTTAGTAATGCTTATATTTAGAACGTTTTTTATTGTTTTTTTACTAATCCGCATTTCCCTACTAGAGAGGAGAACGAGGAATGGACTGAAGAGACCAAGCTGGAAGGTCACAGCGACTGGGTGCGTGATGTGGCGTGGTCACCGTCGGCTGGACTTACAAAGATGAAAATTGCATCTTGCTCTCAAGATCGTCGAGTCATTGTATGGAATAATCGTGAGAGTGATGGGGTCAGTTGGACTCCAGAATTGCTCCATGTCTTTGATGATGTCGTTTGGCATGTTTCATGGAACTTTGTGGGTGATGTATTAGCCGTGTCGGGTGGTGACAATCAGGTATGCAGTAATTTGTTCTCATCCAGTTAATGTCAGAATTCGTCATTAATTCAATTACACTTTATGTACTCAGGTGAGCCTTTGGAAAAAACGTGAATCCGAGAGTTGGGAATGTATCAGCGACTCTTCCAAATCGCAGCAACAACAACATCATCACTAGCATCGCCAACCAAATAGAGTTGAATTTAAAAAAAAAACGGAAAACACCATTCCTTCTTTCAACAAACTCATCATATATTATACTGTGTACTACACTACCATTTATAGATTTAATTATTATTTATAAAACCTTTGTGAGCTATAAAACCATACAGTTTCATGGGAAAATAGTGCGTATTTTTATTAGTGGTGCAAGCGTGAGCATGTCCTCCAATTGTAACGTATACTTTTGGTATGTGTTACGTTTTTCTCCACTAGAAGAGCAAAAAAATGTTTTCTATTCTCTCAAGAATCCCAAATTTTTACAAACAACTTCACACCCACCAACCAACTAATAACAACTGCCTGTTAAGCGCATAGGGGTTCGTAAATTATGTACATATTTCTCAAATTATTAAATATAGATGTAAAAAATAAAATAAATTTATTAAACAAGTTTAAATGCGGTTCCAAAGTTAAATGTTATTAAACGTTATAAATTATAATCATCGCTTCTTATCCATGTTGTCCCAAATTTGCGACGTGAGCCACTCAATTCCCTCCCCGAGTCCTTCCCCTGTGAGAGCATTCGACGCACAAATGTGCCACGGTTTGTTTCCAATCCGGTCAAGGGCAAGGGCGGCGGAAATTTTGACAGCGGACATGGCCTCCTTCATGTCCATCTTGTTGGCAAAGAATAAAATGGGAACACGCCTCCCCGCAATGTCAGGGTGTTGGAGGAGCGTCTCTAACTCGTCCTTTGCAACAACGAATCGCAACCTAAATTAATTAATCAGAATTTGAAATGAACAGAAAGTATTTTCAGGAATTAAAAAAAATTGACCAACTTGTCGGAAGAGTCGATGACGAAAATGATGCCTTGACAGTCTCTGTAGTAGTGCTCCCACAAGGGACGATATCTAATGTGGAAGGACACAATTCTCTTATAGTTTTTAAAATCATCATCAAATACGCAACTAGTATTTACCTCCCTTGACCGGACATGTCGAATGCAGTGAAGCCAACATTTTTATCTGAACAATCATTTCATTTAGTTCAAGTTGACAATTAATTACGTCAATCTGTGTAAAACTAACTCTGAAATTTTTCCACAGAGAATCCGATAGTGGGGACGGTATGCGTAGGACGGGCTTCATCCCCTTTAAAATGGTTGAGAAGTGTGGACTTCCCCGAATTGTCCAACCCCACCACGAGCACGTTGACTTCCTTGCGTCGCAGGGTGAGGAGACTGACTAAGCGGTCCACGAACCCCATCCGAATTTTTGTGGGTGGGTGTGGATCAAGAGATGACAAGTCTAACCACTTAACTACTTAAATAACTAGGGTGCGAAAAGGAGGCCGTTCTGCGAAAGTCAGAGAAGTCACCCAACTACTCAAGAAGATTCCTCTTCGTTGCCCGGAAACGTCGCGACACCACAAACTCCACCACCACCACCGAGACCGACGAAAGATGAGACGACGAGGGTAGCTTTCTCCAGGGTGCACACGTGTTATGTTAAACACATTCTCAAGGTGAATTTCATATGAAAAGCCCACTAATTATTTCACGCCTCTTTTTCACGTACACAACATGCGACAGGTGGTGTAATTGATGGTTCATTTAGTGAAAATAATTCATGGGCTTTAACCTTTTAGTAGCTTTATGGTCCCCATGCAATTTTCCAATCAACACCAATTTCATTATTTGGTATGACATACCAACGCTAATCAAGAAGGGTGCATATGAATAAGTAAATCTGTAAAGTCTGCAAGTCTCAATTTCAAGATTTGCTTGCTTGCCTGGGACAGTCTCAGATTCCCGTCTCATATTCGACTATTGACCATTCCATGAAACTGATGCTGGTGTTTGTTCGAAATAATTATACGATATCCCAACACGGCATTATAATATTCACCAACTCCTTTCATTTTCGCCAGTCGACAATGTCGAAACATGGCGTAAGGAGAAAGTCTCACTACTATTTACTAACTAGGCAAGCAAGACTATTCTCACTCTACGCGTGTCTCTTCTTTGGGTGCATATTACTTATCCTACTTACTTAAAACTCTCTTTGCGTGCTAGTGGCACGGCTTAAATAACTTTTGCCTCGGCTGCTTTGACTACTGAATTGGATGGATGTATGGATGGAGGATTTGCATGGTTGATTAGTTATGATTTGGGGTTGTTTTTACAACTAGCAGCGTTGGATTGTGTAGTTAGTTTAGCAGCAATAGTGGAGGTTTTCGTATGGAAGGATGATGATTGTGTCTCTTCCATTGATGTCCATTTCCATTCCTTGTATTGTGTTGGTCGTTGAAGGAGTAGTAAAGCAAAGTAGTAAACTGTTCACTAATATTAAGACTAAAGTGGTCCGTGCGTCTCACGGCCATCAGTTTAGCAGTATCATCATCATCAACTACCAACCTCCTCCCTCCCTCCCTCCCATCAAAATAACCATCTTTTCAACAAACACACAACTCGAACAGTCATCAACACCATCACAACCACAACAAAATTCTGTTTGATTCATATTCAGTCAGTCAGTCCGACTGTGAATCGCTGACCATGACGACGACTGCGGCGGCAGTGGCGGGATCTGACTCCTGGTGGTCCCCGGCCAGTACGGCCCACTCGGCGCTGCTCTACCTCGCTCTCCTCTTCCTCCTCTGCCACACCCACTGCATGCAACGTCGCCACCGAGTTAGGAGGAGAAATTCCAGCTTCAATTACGCCGTCTTCACCCTCCTTCATAACCACAATGCCTTTTGGCTCGTGACAATCACAATTCTGCTCCTCCATGTCGCCACGATGGTGGCGATTTGGTTGGGAGGCTCGTCGCCAAAGTTGCTCCTTGCGCCTGGACTTGGACTTCTCGCAGTGAGCACGGGTATGCAAAATAATTCGCAAGTCTTGGCTGTATTATCACTTTCCCCGTTTTATTATTACGAAGCTTTACATATGAAATAGTACTAAATAAATAATTTTGCAAATTTTGTGCACCTAAATTCTTCACACTCTTGCCTATATTTCATTGTACATGCGTAGGTGGTCTTGTCCATCGCGTCGTGGAATCTACCGGTGGTCACCCTGCCTGGCTGACCCCCCTCCTCGCCTACTATGCCGTCCTGGGTGTCATCATGTTACTGGAGTGGGGTCGAGATGAGATTGCGAGGGGTGTGCTTGCCCAGTTGGGGGTGAGTTTGGGTGTGGCCGGACTTTTGCAGGGGGCAATTCTCTTGATTTCTATCCTGAGAGGAAGACGACGAACAGGGAGGGAAGGCGGTGGTGGTTGTGGAGTCGAGGATGAAGGGGTGAGTGATCAATCGTCCTTCGCTACAAATATGTACAGAATTTTCATCAGTTATCACTTGCCTATTATTATTTTTGGCTCATTTACTTATTAATTAGCATATTTCATTAGCTCATGTAGTTAATTTGTTCTCTAAACTAATAGCCATTGTACATAAGTGGACATTGTACCAATCAGTCATTATTGCATTATTTTCATGATTGGATCTGAATCTGCATAAATTTTTGCAAATTTGACGAATCTCTTTCACTTTTTGTCTTATTACTTTGCACACACGAGAGACGATGAGTAAAGTGATGTGTCATGCGATAATAAATATTCCTACTTACTCAAACTCTCAGATGTAAAAGGTAGTTCTTTGTCTCGAGAATAATTGTCACGCAATGAGCAAAAGCAAACTTTAAAAAAACCAAAGCGAGACGGAGACGATGAAGAATTGGAGACGATGTGTGATGTGTATAGAGACGACGACAAGGTGCAAAAAATAGGGTAGTCGTGGTCGTTCGTGGTACTGCGATGAGGACGAGTTAGTCAGTTTTAGTGGTCTCTTCTCTCTGTCTCATTTTCTAATCACGCCATGCATTTCAATTCAACCATTCTATCGCTTCATGATCATCTCACTGCTCATCCACAGCCGTCTTTTTCGCTCTGGTCCCATTTTAATGAGCTCTAAGGATGCCACAGTTGGAGTTTGAGATGATGAGATGAGATGACTATTCATTCGTCTTGTTCCTTTTCCATTTTTTGCCGGATATGGCTGCCCTGAGGCTAATTATTGCCAATAACTAATCGATATAGCCCACACGACACCATGCACCGATGATCAAATCAAACACAGGAGGAAAAGTCAATAACTCGGCAGGAATGTCGTAGAGATTGGGATGGACGCTGAGCTAAATGATTTTTTTTTAAACTCTGTCTGTCTGCCTTTCTGACAGGGCGGACGTGATTGGGACACTCATTATGACGATGATGATCCGACCACCAAGGAAATTTATGCCCATGACCGTGCCCCCCTCTTGTCCCGACTGACATTCTTCTGGTTCACCAAACTCCTCCGAGTCGGCTACTCTACGCCGTTGGAGGAATCTCACCTTGGCCGACTCCCCCATCGCCACGGGACGGCCAACCAGCTCGCCCGATTCAGGAAAGCAAGGGAGGCTGGGAGGAAACTATTTTGGCCACTCTTGTGGACCGTGGTTGGTCCTAATATGGCCTTGGGTGGGGTGTTCCGGCTTCTGGCGGATTTGGCAGGATTTATCGCACCGTTGGGTAAGGGCGAGACTGACATTTAGGTGATGACCACACATTTATATTTTGAATGATGAAGTTAATTATTAGGGATCAAGACCATCGTCAACTGGTCTGGGCGGAATAGGACGATCTTCAATGTTTCACTGGTGAGCATTGACGAGGAAGAAATGTCACCACTCACTGCGTCTCAATTTATTGGGAATGGCTACGTCATGGTGGGCATCGTTCTCATGTCGTCCATCCTACAAGCAACTTTCTCTCAAATTTCGACATATCTCGTGAACACGGAGGGACTTCATGTCAAGGTGGCACTGCAGGTAAATGGCGTGTACGTTTTCCACAAACCAGCTACTTATGTATAGCAACTGTTAATGAACAGGGTCTCATTTACGAGAAATGTCTCCGTGTCGCGGGTCGTGGCGAAGAGACGGCGAATCTGGTCGGTGAAGATGCCAACAATGTGATGATGCTCTTTTGGATGGCTCACTTCGTTTGGGCGATTCCTCTCAAATTAGGCGTCCTAATGGCACTCTTGTGGGTGACTTTGGGCTGGTCAGCCCTCGTCGCTGCGGCTCTTTGCATCGTGATCATGATTCCGCTCCAGTTTCTGATCGCGAGGGCGATGGCTGCCAATTCAAAGTTATTGCTGGTGAGGTTCCACTACAATTCTGTGAAAATGCGACAGCAGTAAATTGGAATTTTCTGCAGGAACGGAGTGATGTGAGGTTGGGCTGGATGGGAGAAATGGTAGCGAACATGCGGCTTCTCAAGACCCACGCGTGGGAACATCTGTTTGGAACGAGGCTGAAGGAAATCCGTGGACGGGAGTTGAAACATTTGGACAACGACTTGTTGTACAGGTCAATTATGAGTGAGTCGTATGTGGCAGTTTTACTGTATAATGTGCAATCTAATTAGTGTGCAACTTTCTCCGGCAGCGTTTCTCACCCACATTTCCACCGTCGTAGTGACAGTTGTGACTTTTGGGCTATACCCCATCATGGAGGAGGAGCGCTTAGCACCAGCCGCAGTATTTGCCGGTCTCGCTTTCTTCAACCAACTCACAGTCCCACTCTTTATTTTCCCCGTAATTAAAAATAACGACTAAACTGCGCGCATTAATTCATTGCATATGAACATTGGAGATGGTAACAAATTATCACGTATTTCAGCTCCTCGTCCCTGTTCTCATCGATGCACGCGTTAGTGGTCGTCGCATCGCCGAATTTCTCTCCCTCCCAGAAATGCACAGTGATGACATTTCTTCTGGTGTGGTGGAAACGGAGACTTCCAAAAAATGTCCTTCCAACCAGCTTCTTGCTGCTCCGGCAGTTGCAACGACAGCTTCGCAGCTGCAGGGATCAACCGACTCGGTCTTTGTTCTCGAAAACATTGCAGAGGACGAGGAAGAAGACGACCAGCATCACCAGCAGGAAAATAAAGAACATGCTAACGGTGTATCCTCAGGGGTGGGAAATGGTGGTGCGGATGCAGAGTGGGTCGTCAGATTAGAAGAGGCTTCCTTCTCGTGGGGTGGAGAAGAGGCGACCAACAGTCCCCCCGCGCTAGGAAAAGTGTCCTTTGTCGTGAGGAAGGAGCGTTTAACAGTGATCGTGGGTCCGACCGGATCTGGCAAATCGTCTATTTTGTCGGCTTTATTGGGCGAGCTAACGTTGACAGAGGGGTCGCTCCAGTGGACAAAGTGAGACCAGCATCATGAAACATTCATATATGCCGAGGCCTGAGTTATCTATAATTTATGCGTAGAGGTCACCGTTGCGGTATCGCGTACGCGGCACAATCACCGTGGATCTTAAACGGAAGTGTGCGAGAGAACATTCTGTTTGGTCACGGTTTTAAAGGTCGTCGTTACAAGCGGGTCTTGGAAGCGGTAAGTTTGCAACAAGATCTGGATCTGCTGCCTGAAGGGGATGCCACTGAAATTGGTGATCATGCCGGAATTGGGCTGAGCGGGGGACAGAGGCAGAGAATCGCAATTGCGAGAGCGTTATACTCCACAGCTCCGCTTGTCATTTTGGTGAGATTTGTATTTCATTTACATGAAATTATATTATAATTTTTGCAATAATATGATGATGATAATGCAGGATGATCCCTTGTCCGCGTTGGACGTGGAAGTTGCCACACACGTACTTAATGTTGGGATAAGAAAGCTATTAGCGAAAAGAACTGTTGTTTTAGTGAGCCATCATCTTCCCGTTCTCCACCACGCACATCATGTATGCGATTATTATAGTTCAAACTAAAAAACGTGTAATTTAGTCTCGTAAGTCGCTGTATTAACTGTTGTTAATATTTATAAATTTAGATCGTCGTAATGGAATCTGGTCGAATTAGAATTCAGGGCTCGCTCGCAGAAATCCGAGACCGTGACCCCCCGCTGGCCTCTCACTGGGCGGAACTCATCTCTAAAAAGGAGGCGGAACTGGCCCGTCACATGGAGGCAAAAACGGCGAAGGATCGGTGGACCTTACTCAAATTGGTGAGTAAGTTTGGCTTTGGAGCGAGAAGGCCGATCCAACAGGATGCTGACACGAGAGGAAGTCAACACCACTTCCGGTCGAGGAAAGGAACTTTCTCCACATATAAAAACCTGTCACATGACTTTTTCCTCCCAAGTGACGAGTATCATGACGAGCTATTGACGCCTATCTTGAGACGGAGACATCTCTCGAGGGCGTCGAGAGAATCGAGGTACGCATTCGTGTGTTGTGGCAAATATATAGTTGATTAAGCCTAAATCTTGTTTCTTTTTCAGGGGTTCAGCATCCTCTGCTCCGAGACACGGACATGTCCCTCTTATGCGAATGTCCTCCCTCCAACCCATCCTTGCCACTTCCGGTGCTGCTGGTGGCGGAGGAGACAGGGACAAAGAGTACAACCGTTTACGATCCATGCCTGCCAACAATGATGGGGAACCACTCCCTCCACCAATCTCACCGCGGAAATTCCGCTCCGACTACAATCGCCTCCACGCGTCCTCCTCCACTCATTATGAACCCTTCTTTAAGCGACTCTTCACAAACAGGTGAGTAACTGATCTCATAACGACCTCGTCTGATATACATATTACGCCAACGCCATAGGAAGAGAACAACCTCATCGTCTGGATCGACAGAACTGGAGACACAAAAACCACCCTCCTCGCCACCACCTCCACCACCTTCCCCTCGACCCGTGATGGGTTCCATTCAGAGCGAGGGCGAACTCACAGAGGACGATCCACAAGGTTATAAAATTATTTGTTAGGTTTGAAAATTATAAATGCTAAACGTTTAGCACTTGTAGAACGAGACGAACTAATTGGTGGTTCCGTTGAGGAGCGAGAATATGGAAGCGTTCCACTCAGAATTTATCTCATTTACGCCAAAGCATGCGGCCACGCCTTAAGCGGTTCTTATCTTCTATTCGCCATCGGATATGAGGTAGTTCGGGTCCTCACCTCGTTTTGGCTGAGTCGATGGAGTGATTCGGTCGCCCAGGTGAGTGAAGAACCTTTCATAAATTGATAAGCACGTAACTTTGATTGATTTTTTAACTTTTATTTCGTACTTGCAGGAAGAAGAGGAGAGCAGCTATGAGGACCAAATGTCTCATTTCTTCATCGGCTACGTACTCCTCTCGGTCGCCACGGTAGGTGTGTCCCTCACTTGCAACCTTCTCGGTGCAGCCGCGGGGGCGAGATCACGACGGATTTTACACGACAACTTTGTCTTCCGTTTGGTCGACGCCCCTCTAAATTTTTTCGAATCTACTCCAATCGGTCGCATTCTTGGCCGAGCGTCCGCCGATGTGGCAGTTGTGGACAGGAAGCTGGTGATCTCAGTGCAACGCTGCCTTCAATTTGTGTTCCTCTGTTTGTCCGCCGTAATCGTGAATGGGATCGTGAACCCGTGGTTCCTCCTCCTCGCTTTACCTCTTGTGGCCGTGTACTATGCGATACAGCGTTTTTACAGGGTTTCGTCCAGGTGAGTGCTGAACAAGGGGTCGTCAAGAATGTGATCTGAAGACTTTCCTCTTTTTAACTTTTTTAAATTCCTTTTTAGGGAGTTGCAGCGACTCCAGGCCATCTCGCGTGGCCCGATTCTCTCCCACTTTCATGAAACTTTGAGTGGTATTTCTACCATCCGGGCGTATGGGCGTCAATCTGTCTTCACGGATCACATGTGGGCCTGCATCGACCTCAATAACAGAGCTGACATGTTTATCAATGTGGGAAATCGGTGGTTATCCATCTCACTCGTGAGTCGTGCTTCATTTCTAGTGAAATTTTTTAATTGCAAATTATGTCATATAAATAAATTCCTACTTTCTCTGCAGGATTATCTGGGTAGCATCATTGTCGCTGTGGCGTCTGTGGGGGCCGTCATATCTGCTGATCTTGGTCTCGTGACACCGTCTGTGGTAGGACTCGCGATAAATTACACCCTCCTCGTCCCCGTCTACCTCAATTGGGTCGTCAAGTTTTTAGCAGAGGTGGAAATGTTCATGAATTCCGTGGACCGATTGGACCGCTACTCGGAGTTGGAGACGGAACAGTTGACGGGACCTGAAAATCCACCAACGAGTTGGCCTTCCAAGGGGGACATTGATTTCGAAAAGTTGACAATTTCCTTTCAAGACAACACTGTCCTGTCCTCGCTCTCTCTCGGAATTAAGGGCGGGGAGAAAGTGGGGCTTTGTGGGCGAAGTGGGAGTGGAAAATCGACCCTTCTCTCGTCCTTGTTCCGCTTATCAGGAAAAATGGAAGGAGCGATTCGAATCGACGGAGTGGATATTTCCAGAATTCCGCTCAGGTACGTGATTTAATTTGTCTGAAAAATGGGTTTTGTGTAAATTAAAATGCGTACATAGATAATCATTTCTTATTTATTATATGCAGGAGACTACGCTCTGCCTTGTGCATTATTCCACAACATTCCGTCCTATTTACGGCACCACTCAGGTAGGTTTAAAAACTTGCTTTTAAATTAAATGACGCTTTTAAGGTAAAAGTGTTTACTAAATGTTTTTCTTTTTCTTTCTCAGATTCAATCTTGACCCTGCCAATGCGGTAAGTGAAGAAGACTTATGGAAGGCACTAGAATTGGCACAGATGAAGGAAACCATTCAAGGTCTTCCCCATAAGTTAGGTAGGTGCATTCGAAATATATTTTACAACATCGAACATTACACAATAATTACATGTAATACTCTTGTTCAGACCAAGTAATGAACCCGGACAGCTTTAGTGCCGGGCAACGCCAACTTATCGCCTTGGCCGTTGCAGTTTTACACCCGTCACGTGTCGTCATATTGGATGAAGCGACGAGCAGTGTCGATGCCGATACGGAACAAGTTTTGCTCCGTGCAGTGGCCACAGCTTTTCCAGACTCGACCGTTTTATCGATTGCCGTGAGATTCAAAAAACAATTTTTATGAATAGCTCAATTTATTTTCCAATATCTATTCAAAGCATGCTATTTATTACCGTTTACAGCACCGTCTCGGAACAATAGTTGACGGGGACAGGGTTGTGGTGCTTGAAGAAGGAAAAGTGGTCGAAGATGGGTCACCGTCACAACTTTTAGCTCGCAAGACACGCTCCATTTTTGCAAACATGCTGCGAGCCGAGGTCTCGTCGGCAGCAACGGGAGGAGGACCATGATTAAAACGTGTCAACTACACGTTTCCACTTATGATACGATTTTTTATGAGTATGAACATTAAATCGAGTTGTTTTTAAAATAAAATGGGATGCCGTTAAATATGTTGAAATTATTTCCACTTCAATATTTCGGCACCAAATTAATCAAAAACCGTTTCATCCGAATTGAGAAAGATTCACAAATTTAATAAAGGAAAAGATTAAAATTAGAAATGAGACTTTTGGTTGGAAAAGTGAGACAAAATCGAATTGCCCCATTTTGCAGCACTTTGAGAAACGAGAGAACCACCGGTTGAGACGATTGACATTCACAATTCACATGTGCAATCATATTCCTCCAACGCCACATGTAAGTAAATAAGAAAAATAGAAAAATCGTAAATCAATAAGGGGTGAGGTTTGAGGTGAGTGAATTTTTATATTGTAAAATTTTATTATGTTTTAACCATTAGATTTCAGTTGACTTATGTAGTCATTATATATGTTATCTTTCCTGTTTGTGAATTTTGACAGATTTTCAAATTCTTTCTGGACATTTCGGAAAATGACCAAATTAATCAGATCTTTGCTCCAGCTAATTCTCGGAATAGGCGTGTGGCTGGTTTTGATGTCATATGCGAATTCGAACACATTGTATTACAAATGTTTCCTGTGCCCACTTCCGTTTTGGGCAATTGTTGTTTTTGGGGTAAGCATATTAAATTAATGCATGTCTATATACTTGAATATCTCAACGGTAACTTAATAATGGCTTGTGTCATCCAGGTGTATTCAGTGTCTACAGTCTTGTACAGAACTTTGAAAGTTAATGATTGTCCAGATGCTGCGAAAGAGCTTTTGGAAGAAATCGACATGGCCAGGGCTGAGTTGAAACGGAAAGGAATGAAGTCATTGCAATAAAACTAACCTAAAGATAAGGCACTTATTCTTGTGATTGCAGCTGTATATTTTTCGTTATACACAGTAAAAAAGAAAATAATTTTCCGTATATTTCTCTCAAGCTGTTTTTATAAGCTCATTGCATGTGCATATGTGAGCTTTTTTCACCATACTCCGTCTTGGACGGAAATTCATATTTTACTAATACGAGAATTTACATGCTCTGGCCACCCGGGAGTAAAATTGTAATTTACAATTTGTAAATAGAATACTGTTTTCTAAAGATTAAGATAAAGTGGACATCTTACAAAGAAAATTCATTAATTTCCATCCTGCTGTATAGCACGCATGTCAAAGTAGCAAGTTGTTTTTTTTTATTTTTTTTAAAATTTACATTTACTTTACGAAGTTAATTTTTAAGAAGTTTTCATCTAACCATAATGGCATCTGAATCTGACCTTACCGGTAAGAAATTTGTCTTGATTGACCTAAGTGGGACCTTACATGTGGGGGATGAAGCCACTCCTCGTGCAGTAGAAGCTTTAGCGTCGTAAGTTTGTCTATTTTTTAATTGTGCATATACTAAGAGATTTAAAATTTAGGGTGTTAAACATAATTGCATGGTAATTAATTTCAGGCTGAAGACTCACGGTTTCACAGTTCTGTTTGTAACGAATACAACAAAGGATTCGAAACAAAAATTGCATGAACGCTTGATTCGTTTGGGATTCGACATACACGTTGCCGAGCTCTACACCTCAATGAGCGCCACAAGACTGCACGTTGAAAAACAAGGTATACGAATAAGAATAAGATAATTAATTAATTAATTAATTAATTAATCATTATACAACTTTTAAATACCAGATGCAAAAAAAAACAATTTTCTCCATCGTTATAATAGGTTTGAGGCCAATGCTGTTGATAGAAGAAGAAGCCAAGAAGGATTTCGAAGGGATTAGCGTAATTGATCCTAATTGTGTTGTTGTTGGATTGTCTCCAAAGGACTTTTGTTACGAAACTCTAAACATTGCTATGAGGTATTAATTTTGTAGAAAATTTAATATCTCTACTCTGAAAATATATGTGTGAGATTAATTTTGTGTTTATTTTTTAGGCTGATACTTGAAAAAGATGGACCAATAATAGCTGTGCATGCAGGTGTTAATCTTAGCACACCATTTTTACAAGAAATTTAGTTATTTTTTTTAATGACGTATGAAAAATTGTAAGGGAGACGATACATGTCCCCGTCCGGAATGAACATGGGACCAGGATGTTTCGTAGCAGGATTGGAATACGCAACTGGTCAAACCGCAAAAGTTTTTGGAAAACCAGAAATTTCTTTTTTCGAATCTGCTCTTAGCTATGTTGGTTGCATTGATCCTAGTAAAGCCGTGATGATTGGAGATGTGAGAAAATCTATGCAATTAGCATAAATAAAAATGAGAATATTTTTATAGACAGCTAATAACTAAATACATTGTTGTAAACATTTTAGGATGTCAGGGACGATGTTTTTGGTGCACAGCAGGCTGGAATGACTGGCATTTTAGTCAGGACAGGAAAATATCTACCTGATGATGAAACAAAATTTTTGGGAATCAAGCCTGATTTTACCTGCGAAAATTTTGCGGAAGCAGTTGACATGTTACTTGGTGCAAATAAACGTCTATCGTAAAACATGCCACTAACATTACTTTGTGATCTTCTGCATGTGTCACCCTAGTCATGCATCGTAAAGTTGATGTCATCGTGAATTACATGGCCCCCCTTCGTTTTAAAGCTTCCTATCGTAAAATATTAATCATCAGTGTAATCAACTATGGGATTTTGTAACTTTACCATCTAGCTGGATGTAATATTAATAGTATGAACTCAAAGCCAATTACGATAATAAATATCTTTAATAGTTTTTTAATGTATCAATTATTTATTGATAACTTTTCATAGAATTTGATAAAAGTAGTATGGTCGATCATACAACAATTTATTTATATAATTTGCTTTAATTAATTGTCTGTTGTGTAGCTCTGTAGCTTTAGTTTTATAACTATATATTTAAATTCATTCAATGAATGTCGTCTTGCAGTTCTAAAATTCATTAATAAAACACTTTACACAAATGACTTTTGGGATAATATAAATATATTTCTATGAATTATATGCATATAACATTGTTTCTCAGGTATGCACATAATATTGAGGTTTGTTTATATTGAGATGGATTGTTGTGAGCAATTTGATTTCGGAATGTAGAATAGAATGTTTGTTGTTCTCGTGTGTTGTATACTTGGCATGTTAGATCGTGGACCCACTAATGACACTGGAAGGGTATTACATAATAGGGTAATAATAGTAGTATAAATATTCAAGTTTCTCTCCACATCCATCATTGCACATTTAAAAAAACTTCATTAAAAATTTTGATCATGATACTATGGTAAGTAATTTTCATCTACACACAACTACTCAGAACCGTACGTCGTTCAACGACGTGTTGTTTGACTCATCATCTTGTAACATAATGACTGACGCGTCAATTTCTTCATCCGTTGCAGCACTCGGACTTTGCGTAAATGACAAAGAGGAGGAAACGGTGGCACACTGAGAGTAGTCATTTCCGTCCCCCGAACTTGGTGACCTAGTCCGCTCGCGATCTTTGTGATTCCGTGATAAGACTTGAATTAGGTTAGAATGGGCGCAGACACGGACTGAGGGTTGGAACAATAGTTCACCGTCACAGTTCCAAAAGCTGTGCGTCTTCTCCTGTCCAAAGTCACATTTGCAGGATGCCGGTTGTCGAGGAGGAACGTCGTCGAGTGTAATGTGCTGCTGCAGGTGTTTGGTGTTACATTGCATGGGAGTAAATACGAACTCTCGGACACGGTAGCGTTCCACGAATGGTAATGCGAACTGTGATACGCATTAATCATTTTAAAATTATATGGTCCAAATTAAAGCCAGATATTTATTAAATTCTCTCTCACCGTTCTTCTGCTGTCTCCCGTCGTCCGGTGCAAATAACGTAGATGGCCAAGTCTTGAGGTTTTTCGAATCAATATGAGCTCCATGCATCCGTCAGCAAAATGAGCAAATGGTGCAATCCCAAGTGGGGTCATGGGGTTGCGTAAACTTATATTTGCAGCCGAAACACCGACAAAGTTTCCTTCGATTCGCTTCCATTGTTGAGAAGTTGATGACATACTGTCAAGAGAAATACAGTCCTCGCAGCCTTTATCGCCGCTGCATTGTGACGGAATCTTGCGACATTCCTCACTTGCGGGTCTGATGTCGATGCTTCCCTCGTAAGTAGAGTGGTTGAGAAATTCTCGGAAACCTGTACCAAGAAAAACATATTAATTAACGTATGCATCTAGTAATAATTAGTCACTTTTTTAAGAGTAAGTGTGGTTCTTCCTACCGGCGTATTTGTATCTCTGGGGTCCCATCCAACGCAAGTTTTCTGATCGTAACATCAAATCCGCTAGATACCCATAGGACATTTGTCCCACGATAAATCTTAGCAGCCCAGAGTCATTGTGCACTGAGGCCACATCCAGAGGTACTGGACTCCCGAGAACAATATGGATTATTGCGGTGCGCGGATCATCAGTCCCATGGAGAGTGTATGCAACAGCATTCGTGGATCCGGCTGAAATTACGGCGACAGGAATTGGAGCTGGTGTGAAGTCTGAATCTGTCAAGTTGTTCAGTCTTCTAGTTAACAGCCCATTGACCTGTTGAATATATACAAATATAATTACAAGACAGTACTAATTAATCAGCCATCGTCTCCTCCTCCTCAGTAAGCTGAAATTGTACCACTTCACAAATCGTCCCGTCTCCACCGACAGCCACGACTGCATCGTACGACATCAGTTCATCGTCACTCATCGCCCTCAATACGTCGGACACATGGTTTTGTCGCTTGGTTTGAATCACAGTTGATTTGACTTGACATAGCTGCAGGATGGGTTGCATTAGAGAGTTGAAAATGCTCACAGCATTTCCTCGCCCGCCGAACGGGTTGACAAAGAACAGCAAATTTTTGGGTCTATCGAATTCTGTCCCAACAAATAGATAAGAAATGTTAACTAAAATATTTACTTAAAACCAAGTGTTTTTTTCGTGCGCAAAATAATGAAAATCGTACCAGCTAAAAAATATTGGATTGTTTGAGCCCATTTCGTGAGAATGGTAAAGTCATTATGCTTCAATTCTAGTCTGACATCCGTCCACTTTTCCGAATCCTTATTTGTCATTTGAGCATACGCGATTTGCAAAACTTGAAACGGATAAGAAATCCCCTTCTTGGTCGGTGAGTAGGGGAAACAACAGTTTGATTCGCCCTTGAGAGGACCCATTTTGTGTACTATTTCCGCACTGAGAATGTCCTTTAGCTTCACATTGATCCATTCTGACATGTCCTCGCCACCTGGAAATTCATTTGTACTTTAGTCAATATATAGATTACAACATGCAAGGTTGCAATAATTAATTTATTCAAATACCCTTTTTTTGGGGACACCAAGCTAGCTGGTGTTGAAATAAAAAGACGGAGAAAGGTCGCTCTCCGACTTTGAAAATTTCTCTTAAAATGGGTCCAGGTTTTCCCATTTTGAAATTGTTTGCTAAGTAATTTTAAAAACTCGATAATTTTATATACTAATCGGTGCCAGGTAATTTTTTGAAGATTGTAGAGCCGCTGCTGGGTTCACTCCTAGTGAATTCCTGACTACTGCCTCGACTCTCGTTTCCATGGAGCTTGAGGATCTGAAATAATGGAAGAATGTCAACTATTAAACAATTATATTGCTTAAAAACGACTCAAAATTGCGCATCACTTTTTAAGTGATATTCTAAAAGGTGGTATTATGGCATGCATGCTATTACCATTACCCATTAATCCAATCAAAATTTTAGCATGACATGTGAACGAAGCACTACTCGCACAGCATATGCATGTAAATATTGCCCATATTATGCTTGTCTGTACTAACGAACCATGATAATAAAGCAGTCGTGGTTTTAAGTGTTGAAACCGTCTTTGTCTATGTGTGTGTGTGACTTTTTTAACAACAGGGCATCTAAAAACTGAAAACATGCAATCTTTCCATAATGCCATATTATTCATATCGATCAACAAAAGTCACGACAAAGCAAATGCCAATAAGAGTAAATATTTGAGTAAGTTTGGAATAAAGTTGACTTTTGGTAAATGTGTTCACCATTTTTGCAAAATTGTGTATCGATTTCTACTCTCGAATAATTCATGACATGTAGAGTAGCCCAGATTGAAAAGTGCTTAGCCCACTTTATGTACATGCATATGTACTAACCAGAGAGAGCTAAATACCTATATTTCAACAACCACTGACTGACCAACCACTAGATATTTATGTATCTAATAGTACCACATTATTGCTAAAATAAATGACTTCACAATAAATACCATTCCAGAGCACGGTCCACTTAAACTGTGGTACAAGATAAATTCATAAACAAATCCTGGATACTAAAAATCTCACCTGTTTGGATTACTTCATCTAATAAGCGTACCTAGCTATATAGATAGCGAACGAGGGTCTGTCTAATGAATTTTCTGCATTTATCCTTTTCATAAGCCTTTTGCACTCGGCACTTTTGGCTTAGGATTATGTTTTATTATTAATTTTGCATGAATGAAAGATGATATTAAACGGAGACCTTGTACTATTCACTAATTGCACAAAAGAGCGTAATAAAGGTTTTGTGAAGGCGTATGTATATATAAACTTACATCTATTCACACTTTTGGCAAAATTGATAAAAAGAAGTCAGGACACCAAACTGCACTCCTCTCAAAGACGAGAAAGGTTGTGCAAGAAAGAGTTACAATGAACGACTGAATGAGTTGCGATTTCTAGAATGAGAATGCTGTGAGTAGCAAAAGAGACGACCTACAGGAGTACGTAATTCATGGGTAAGACTGCAGAACTGCTTTTAGTTGGCTTTTTTTGCAATCTGAATCTCGTTTCGTAAATTATTTTACTATGTACGTTACGCTCTGCGAAATTACTACTCTCTTGTAGCAACTGATAATTTTTTACATAGCAAATGCCAAAAAACCTGTACGTACATAGAGTGGACATTTATATATATATTTCTATGTACATATGTTGAGGTATGCTAAAAACCAAGTAATCCCCTCAGCGTGACTTGAATTGAAGTAGTGTATGAGACGAAATGTATAACTGTGGGAAGGTAATTATGTAGTAAAATTAGCAAAAAAAAAGTAAATTGGGTTTGGGTTTATTTATTCGCATAAATCTGCATGCAGGCGCCGTTTAGTGAAGAACAAGTCAATTGAAGACGAAGTAAAAATATTTACATGACTGTTCTACATTTAATGTGTCCATGTTTAGCAGTAAATTCCTACAGGCGAGAGTTATTTTTAACTTTCACGTTATTTTTCAACCCAATTGGAGGAAAATCTCCAAACTTTTTCAAGTGTCGTCGTAGGCAAAAATTGTAGTGTTTATTTATTTTTTTAATGTGCGAGGGATTGCTCAGAGTTTTGCCGAACTATAATTTCTGCATTCCCGTAAATCCTATGTTTAGTAAAATTGAGGTAAATGATAGTGTGAATTTCAAATTTTAGAACCACTATACTCGTGTGAAATAGGTACGCATATGAACCTGACCCTGATGAGTTTAGGCAGAGAGTGAACTCTGATTGCAATTGCTTATTACTTACTATGAGGAAAAATTGTATTTCATGATTTCCCATATTACGCAATGCCTGCATACAATGCAAGTACCTACAATCACTTGTACAGGTACTAATACTGAATTGCTCACGAAAATTGAACAATTATTTATTCTGGGATTAGTCATCCGGTCCATGAACATGGAATGAATTACATGCACGACTAAAAGTATTTTGTTTATGAAAGTCAGCTGCTTCTATGATACGAAACCTGATAAGCAAAAATACTACAAAGAAGAGCGACATAAATAAACAATTAAGAAACTAATGGCCTGCAGCCAACAAAACCTGGAAAGCTAAATAAGTAAATACGCTAAATAAGTAAGCCTTCACCACGATGATAATTAACTCGCGATCTTCGTCTTCATAGTTGCCATTTCTCAGTAAGGTTAGTCAACTTAATATTGGCATTGATAAACCTAAGTAGCTACAGATTGTGCTGTGAATGTGAATGTCATAGTCACTTGTGTCACTTTGTTCATACATATGCAAATACATGCAAAAAAACGTATGCATGCAAATTTTAGCAACTCAGCATTACATACCTATTATGATGAGTAGCCTATTCCTGCGTATTTATTATTAAGTGATGTGACTTTGGTGAAAATCCACCAAAGCAAATTGGCACCGAGGATCGTGTCCCGTTTTTTTTGGAAGAGTATCCTTGTCGTCGTCGTCACTTTCTTACTAATTGTTCCTTTATTATCCGCATGGTATAGAAGAAAGTGTGAAAAACCACCACAATATCGTGTCAATATTTCCAATACTAAAGTAGATCACACATGGTAATAAATAATAGTTTAAAATTTTTACTCAGGACCAGGACACTTTCGTTTCACAAGAGAAACTCTTCCGGTGTGAGTTTTCTTCATTGTATTGGAATATTCCCCAAGCCGTTTAGAATATTTATAAATGTGTTACTCCGCCTTTTTCTCAACATTAATATTATTGTTATCGGTTAGTTGTTCAATTATACTGTACTTAAGAATATAATGGTACATGATACATCAAGTTGATATTGTTGTCGGTTGTGTGGTGGGTGATGTCTTCGCTCAGCGATTTCTTCCCCCTCTTCTTCTATGAGTATTACAGTAGGTTTTTAGCTTGATTTATTTATTTATTTATTTATCCTTCTTCTTCTCCCATTTATTTAATACTGTCGAGTTGTCGAGATCCATGTGTGTGTGTATTCACAAATTATCACAGTTAACGTAATCACGCGATTCAATGGTAAGTTTTTTGCCAACCAGCTATCTATATCGCTAACTGACTAAACTAATGCTGCAACAGCAACATCAGCCACATTGAACCTGTCATGAGAAGCACAAGATACGAAGGTTTTACACGTCTGACTGTTGTACAGTTTGATGCTGATAATGTAATGGTGTGGTGGTAGTAGTGATAATAGATACGACGAAATAGTTAATAGTCAGTTAGTTAGTGGCACCACAACACGGTTAATTTGTGATGCATGCCATGACACCAGCCAAAAGTGGGTTCGGGTATCTCTGATAAACATTTCGCTGCGATGGATGAATGCAGAATAATGCGTTTAACAGTTTAACGAACGAAATCTCTTTTTTTTCTAAGTTACAACTGTACAAGTTGGTTGGTAGTGAAGTGACTAACGGGACTAGGCCAGAGCGAGGGAGAGAGAGAGGAATTAAGGTAAAGGTTATTTATGTATTATTTACAGACTTTAGCTACCTGCTCTTTCTATCCCATGTCTAAATTAACTGTGTACATATACAAATAAAAAATACGAATATGTATGTACTATTGAGTGTGGAATAGTAAAGTGGGATTGACGAGCACATAAATCAGAGGGTTCCTGCTACCCTTCCTCTCTTGGCCTCGACATTTGGTCGGTCGGGTGAGGAGGAGGAAGTAGGAGAGGAAGAAGAGTCGTGTTTAAGACACACATGACTTTCTCCCACCCGACAATTCTGCTCCAGTTTCGTTTTCCGAGCTGGTTTTGTATGGAAGGCTTGGGTTTGGGTGCATGTGTCCTCAAAAGGCGTTCAAACGTGCACCAGTAAGTATTTAGTATGGAATGGCTGGATTCCTGCTTCCATGCAAAAAAAGAAAACGCTAAATACATACATTTCATGCTTTACTTCCTCTAGATGCCAAGTGCTTTACCCAGCCAGACATTAACTTGGTTTTACTTAAAGGCATTGCTGTATCACGACTATACCACGAAACCATGAATAATGAGACACTAAAAGTAACAAGGGTCAGAAATATGATAAAATATGTCACAGTTGAATGCTTGCTTAATGGTGGTGAATGAATGAATGCGCATTTTACTTCAGAGAGGCTCAGCTCGTTGCTAATTATACGGCTGGTTAATTTTGTTGGTTGGTGTACTTAACATACATATGTAAAATTGGAAGAAAATTCGTGCTGGAGACAATTGGTTGCTAATTATAATTAATTATTTGTGCAAATAGATACAAGTATTTGTATATGCATGACACACCAAGTGAGTGCAGAGGAACTGGATACAAGTAGATATGTATGTAGGACAAAGATGATGATGGTTGGGTATTCCATGGAATAAGATAATACTATTATTATACTGTTATTATATTACTGTTATTATACTATTATTATATTCACTCGTCATAATAATGGTTTGCTTAATGTTGTTGTGGGTTAATGATACCATGCGAATGAATGATCTTGATTATTAGGTAATTGCTAATGGACGCGGGCTTGTCATAATAAATAAGTGAGAATAATGAGCAGTTGGTTATCGTAATTGCTCGTTCACATCGTAATAATGATCGTAATATCATTATTAATAACAATGTACCGGGTGGACTGGACTGGACTGATCTTCACAATAATCATTATGCACATGCACGAGTCGGCCGGTCAAAATCCAATCTGGTGACAATTTAAAGGTCAAGTATCGTAGGAAATTTCTATGTGGTTATGAACCCTCTCGACTTTTGAATGACTATATAATAATAGCAATTGAACAATTACGCGTTTCATTAAAATTTGCAGGTGAAATCACAACTTTTATATCTACTAGTTCAGTTCCTTTATTTGGCCACGGTTTAGAAAATACTACACATATTGTTTGTACTAAGATATCTATTTCATACTTTCGTTTCAGCATTTTTCTAAGAATTTATGTACAAAATAATATACAAACAAAGTCACAATTAGATAAGAATGTAAATGTAGATGGTCACAACTATATATTTTTTCAGTCTCACGAAACGGAGATCACACAGGGCAGTGATTATTTTTAATACTTGAAATCCTTCGTTTCCACTAAAGCTAAACTTTTCTACATATGGCTAAAACTGATTGTATTAAATAATGTATAATGATTGATAATGTTGGCGTTATGTCACTGGGTTGGATTTGATAATAAGTATATTCAACTATCACAGTTAATACTGATTCGGACGAGTAGAGTAGTCGTGGCGAGATTCTAAACGGCTGTCGTCACAGATTTGATTATTTGAGGTTCTACAAATTCGACGGATTTGACAACGTCAAACTTGTCCTCGTCGAGAATTTCTTTGTTCTGAGTGAGAGGAAGTGCCGAGTCCTCCGTGCGTGAGTTTAGGCTGGTGGTTAAAGATGAGTTATCCTCATCAGATTGCCTGTAGGGAAAATTCATATGATAAATAAATAAAATGCTTACAAAATTTAGTTACAAAATTATTCACCTTTGAGCATCGTTGCTACTACAAACGCTGACACACGTGCGGTTGTTTTCAGGTTCAGAGAGGACATTTATAGCTGATTGAAGGGGTGGGATTTCATCGCATGAAATGAGTACAGGTGGAACTGGAATTGCCACTTTTCGCAGCAATGATAGAGAACCACGCCCCCGCGAACTGACCCCACTTCCTCCTCCCAACGATCCGTTGCTATTGCTGGGATAGTGATGCTTCTGATGGCCGTAAAATGTGGAAAAATATTCGCCTCGGATGGATTGTCCCATTAATGACTCTGATTAATTTAAAACAGATAAGCATATGAACAACAAGTGTCGAAATATGGTTGACTTAATGTATTGTCAACTGGTAACTAACCTTGCTCTGGGTAATGTCCGATGGATTCTGCCTCCAATGGAATGTCGTCACCAGTCCCACTATCCTTCCCACTGTAAGAATGATTACTCGAATCTGGGAAAGTGATGCGGGACAATTGTTGCATAAAGGGATGCTCCATTCCCCCACGATTATCGTTGACGTCATCAAAAAGAGCATTGGTATTATTGCTGTTACTGATGGTAATTTCTGGCGCCCTTGTTGAAACTCGTTCCCTTTTGTCGCGGAAAATGACTACAAATCCAACAAAAATTGCCGTAATTACGCAGCAAATTGCAACAATTGCTAGAGCAATGATCATCACGGGCGAACTCCAGTGCACCATCTCCGAACCGCCGGCTGAAATTTATAATTGACAGTCATAATTTTTAATAGGTTATTTATGGACTCATAATATCTTGATGAACTTACTCGGAATTACGGTCATGATCAAAAAGTCCCTCGCCGTTCCCACCGCGTTACTCAGGATGCACTCGTACCGACCCCCGTCAGACAGCCGAACGTCCTTTATGACCAGGAGGGAACCATCTTCCTTCAATCTAATCCGAGAGTTGTCATCCCCAATGTGAATTATGACGTTGTCTTTGCTCCAGACAATCTGCGGTCGAGGTGACCCATTCGCAATGCACTCTAGAACTGTGCTGCTCCCTTGCACGACACGCTCGTTTTTCATGCTAATGCTAAAGCTAGGTGTTTCTAAATCATCATAAAATTGATAAATTATTTATATGTCATACTGTAAATAGTTATCTTCAAAATTACCGTATACAGTGACACTGGCACATTCCTTGATTTCTCCGGCAGAGTTTTTTGCAGAACAACAATAGCTTCCCATGTCGATCAGTTGGACGTCTAAAATCATGAAGGAGTCGTCGCTCGGCATGACGTGGAATCGACGATCCAACGCCGCAGGGAAATTTTCACCCCCGTCTTTCTGAAAGGCGATTTCAGGAATAGGAAAACCTTTCGCGGCACATTCTAACTTGGCGTTGCTTGCTAATCGAACAGTGACGTTGGAGGGTCGTTTTACGAAAGTTGGGAAAACTGGAATCATAGTATGAATTAATTAGCCATGCACCATAATCTTTGCTAATAAATAATCCAACTTACTATGCACAGTGATGTTTGCCTTTGTCGAGTATGTAACACCAAACATGTTTTCTGCTACACATTGATAACGTCCAGCGTCTGACCAACTCACGTTGAAGAAATCGAGTGAGGAATTGATCAACTGAAACCCGTTGGACTCGACCCGGTCAAAGTTCTTCATGGCTGTAGCCTAAAGTTAATTACCCATAAAACATATTATCCTTGAACCTTGTAATCTAAATGTATTGCCAGTCTTACCAAGTTAACAGGAATCTTCTGATGATCTTTCAGCCAATGGATGGTTGTCGGTGCAGTGGAATGTGATTCTGAGAGACACAGCAAAGAACCGTTGCCCTCCTTCAGGAATGTTTGAGTCACCGGCTGACGAATGACTTTGGGTCGGGTGGATTTTTCTGAAATTCATTCCATTCTTGGTAAAGTACCGGAGTACAGATAGAGTTTGAAAGTAATGAGCTATTTACCCGAGCATGTGAGATTCTGCAAAAGCAAATCCGTCAAAAATTTATTGTCCCCTGTCGCAAGCGGATAATTGCATTGCGGCGAATTTTTGGTTTCACTCTGCTTATTGTTTAAAATATTTGATAATTGGTCCGTGTCCCGGTGTCTGTTTCGACCATGTTTATTATGCGTGTTCCAAGTCGACTTGGGAGCTAGCTGCTGAAACTTTCGGAGACGCGAATGCAACCATGTGGCGTGACAGTCACAAATGAAAGTGGTCACATTGTGGATATAGATGTTGAGGGAAGGGAACTTTACAAATGTGTCTGGTTGAAGCCATTTGATCGGGTTGGAACTAATGTTCAACACTTCGAGAGAGACGAGACCTTTGAGTGCTTCGGAGTGAAGGGTCTGGAGACGATTTCCAGCAAGATTGAGACTTTTGCAGTCGACTAGTCCTTTGAAAGGAGCTGGTGTGTCCTCGATTGGCCAAGACAGCTCATTTTCGCTCAAGTCTCTGAATGATAAAATTGAAATACAAATAAAAACACATTTTACGTTTCGTCATATGAAAAAACTCACAAATTTTCGAGATTCCGCAACGAAAGAAAAGTCTCCATTCCAAGCGTTGACAACTTGTTATTACTTAAATCAAGGAGCCGAAGTCCATGTAGGCCGACAAGACTGACTTTTTTCAACGAGGATAATTTATTAAAGCTTAAATCCCTGAAAATCATAACATTTATGATAATGCAAATCCAGAAAATATTCAGTTCAAAGAAGACACTATACTTACAGCCAGTGAAGTTCCTCCATCCCGTCCCAGGAATTGTCCTCAATTTTTTCTATATTATTTACACTAAGGTTCATCGTTCGCAATGATCTCAGGCCGTATAACCAGCGTCGCTCGACTACTTGAATTCGATTTCCATCCAAATATCTGCGTTAAAAATACATATTTCTCCTGATCATAATCAATATTAATTTTTCATCGATTAGAGTAAGACTCTTACAAATGCTGAAGTCTGTCCAAGCCGTAAAAAGCAGCATCGGATAAATTTCGTATCCCGTTTCGCCTCAGGTTTAAAACTTGCAAACTATTAAGTTCTTGAAATCTGAGGGAATCCAACACTTCCAATTTGTTTCGACTAAGGTCTCTGCAGAAATTTTAAGGTTTTTATTTAAGAATCTGTGATCAATTCAGTAAGCAAAATCACAGCCAAAACTTACAGCTTTTCGAGTTTAATATTTTTTGAAAACAAGTCTTTTGGGAGAGATCGTATTCGGTTTCGGGTTAGAATTAGTTCAATCAAATTCACAAAGTCATGAAAGCACCCATCGTCAAGGTTTTCTATCTGATTGTGTCCCAAGTTTCTGCAGGTATAAAATTGACGTAAGAATGCTATTTCGTACATGAAAAATGCATACATAGATTGAATCGCATTAAAACTCACAGCGTTCGAAGGACAGAATCCGACGTTGGGAATGATGACGAGTTTGACAGGACACTTATCTGGTTTCGACTTACGTCTAATTCCTGTAGAGCTGTGAAACGGGCAAGAGCACCTCGGTCTAAAGTTGACAATGCATTTCTTGACCTATACATACATACATAATTCACCAACATTAATATTGCTAATCCACTAAAATGATGTATCACAAATATCACAATGACAGGACACCCAACTCACAAACTAAGTTCCCTTAATTGTTCCATGTTCCAAGGAGGACGAGGAATATCGGTCAAATTATTTCCATCAGCAGCACTACAACAAACACTTATTAGAAGAAAAATCTCTCGTCAATGCTGAGATTCTTCTAAACTTTAATGGCTCACAGTATTTGAAGCCCAGTCAATTTGACGAGATCCTCTCCATCAATGTTCCCAATACTATTGTCACTTATATTTCTGAACAACGAGAAATAAATTTTACTAAAACCTACAGCAAATGTACATACTTTTTGAAAATTATTCCTTTCTCCACTCACAAATTCTGCATCCAGTTCGGAAAATCGTGGGGAAAGTGCTGAAGGCTTCGTCGCCTGCAGTAAAAGGTCGTGTCGAGACAGTCGCATCGTGGGTGACAGAGGTCCACATCGGCCCCGACCAGCCACGATAGCAACGCGACGATGACCACGGAGAAAGTCTGCATCTCGTCACTTGTCCATTTTAACCAAAATCACGCATCCCCATGATCACCTTCTCGTCTAATTGGCCCAACTTGGCTAATCCTAGCACAAAAGCATGCAGTGTTAATCTTAATACCCAAAGTAGCTATATTTATTAAGAGCAATGTATACTTACCTCCATATACGCACACGTACTATATCTTAAGCGCTTTCTTTTTACTTTCTCCTCTCGAAAAACTTGATGTCACGGATCACAATACTTTTTACAACTAAAAAATTACACTTATTTCTGAGCAAAAATAATAACAACCATTTTTCCAAACGGGCTAGCAAACTAAGCAACCTTGGGCATATAGGCTGTTGTGGAAGTGAAGGAACCTGCTGCTGAAGAAGAAAGAAGAGCCCACAGCAACAAAAGTCCACCACATCACATCGCATAACAACATCACATACGCATTCCTGCCTTCACTTCGCCTCACTTATTGTGTAATAATCACACATAAGGAAACTTTGAGGAGGAACACATTCGAGCTCTACAGGTTGCCTGCACTACAGGGTCTCGCTCCTTCAAGGAACCTCTCCTGGTGCCCGAAGGGATTTCGAGGCTAGTCCAGCTGCTTGCTCACGAGGAGGGGCCACTGGTACGGATCATAAGAAGAAGAATCGACCAAACTTTTATGACAATGCTTTCACTTTCCTTTTTCATACATGTGAACAGTCTTGATTGCATATTAATATTTCGATGGGGGAGAAAGTCGTGGTCCCCTTCACGATCAAGGGCCCCACGCCGACACATTGTTGTCTGGATGGGTGTGGTGGAGGTGGGGTGAAAAAAATCGGGTCATCCATTATTGATCTTCACTTTAGTCAAGGTAGTCAATTGGGGGAACTTGTCTTTACCAATTTCTACTCGGCCTTCATTTCCGTCTATGTTAAGAGATGTGCTGTGGGTAAGAGTGCTGGACAGAGCGTGTTACAGAGACATGCAGCTATTGAGGGTGGGTGGATATCAATTAATTTGTAAATATAGAGCGGGTCTTATATGTACCCGATCACTTTTTATTTCGGTATCAAAATGGTCAAAAACAAGTTTTGAAATCTGAAATTATTGTGGAATAAGGTAAATATATCTGGCTACGTGTCCCAAAAATTTCATAAGTTTTCCTCGAAAGCAAAATTTCCTACACAATTTCAAAACGACTAAGTCGGGAAATAAGTTTTTGTAAGTCCCAAAACTTGCTCGACATTGACTCGTTGAAGGCCTGACTACATTTTAACTGAGAGGGATGTGGCTGTGCAAAAATTAAGACATACATAAAAAAGTATGGAGAATCCGAAAATGACAACCCCAAATACGCAGGATGAGAAAAAACTATCATTTCGACTCCTCTGAAAATGAAAAACGAAAAATTTGTTTAAGAAAATTCTCCATCCACGTCGGTGCCTGATGCGGCCATGAAGTCAAAGATTAATACAAACCACTTGTATCATATTAAGGCCTATAAAATGGGGGTCAAAGCGTATGCAAAGAAATCTCCAGCAAAACAAAGGGGACTGAAGAAAAAATAGTAATCGCAGGACCTCCAAAGCTTTACAACAAAATCTCACCAAAAAAGTTGGTCACTGACGACGAGTCCTACGTTCTTAAAAACGTAACAGAAACTCCGGGAAGGCAATTTTTCATGGGAAATATATCTCCCAACTGAAAACCGTACAGAAATTCAAATGTTTTTCGAAATTTCTCAAAAAACCTCAGGTTTGGTTGGCGTTCGGGCAATTTGGGCACGTTTCGGACCCCTCAGTTAAAAAGGGCTGTGAGGAAGCACAAGTTTGATTTCAGGAATGGGGGATAGACCGTCTGATTCCTTTCATCAAGGAGTATTATTAAATAGAAAATGTAATTTTTAGACCGACCTTGGACCATTCCACAATCCAACAACTATCAAGCAAGAGATCGAAAAAAAAATCAGTTTGGCGTCGAAAAATGGAAACCCTACATACGCGCCTCATCTTCGCTCAATAAAAAAATGTGGGCTATGTGTAAGAAGGAATACTTCCAGCTTTGGGAAACAGTCGATACTTTAAGTAAATTTTGGTTCCGGTTGCAGAAAATTAACATTGAAGTTGCAAAGTCTTCCAAAAAATCAGTAACGGCGGGTGTGAAGAAAAAGGCTAAATGCAAAGTGGATAATGGATTAAAGACCTCTTTGTTCCTGGATCTGTTGGGCTAGATATATTTTTAGTATTCTACAGAAATTTGAGATTTCAGAACTCATTTTAGACAATTTTCAGGCCGAAGTTGCAAGTGATCGGGTATATATAAGACCCGCTCTACTTAAAAACTTTAAATGGTGCTTAATTTTGAAAAAAATATAGGGGAAAGTCCAGAAAAGTCAACTTTATCTCAGCAGCAGCAGCAACAAAAGGTCAGCTTTGAAGACCCCACTGGTCGGTATAGACGAGTCCCTTCTGCGTCTGGGAGTGGACGAGGGAAAAGCGTCCTGCTCGACTTGGCCGAGCGACCCTGGGAGTACTGCACGTCGAAAAGGTTGATGCCCTGGCCTCACTTTGAGCTGGGGTCGCAGGACGTGTTTTCCATCCAAGCGACTGAGGTGGGTGACATTTGCAAAAAAAATAAATCCGTCTAATAATTGGATCTGCAATTTCATGCAGAGTTTGACCGAGTGGAGGGACGTTTTTGTAATGCGCCTCGTAATTCATCAACCCTCCTCCGTCTGGAAAAAGTTCAGCCTCGAAGGTATCAATATCTTCAGAAATCTTTCGACTCGAGGTGGATTTGCGTTGGGAGATGCGGCTTCTAAGCAGGCGAGATTACAGACACTTATTTGGCCACACATATTTTTAATAATTTTGAGGTTTTGGCTTGTTGCAGAAGGACTGTCGACTCGCAGCCCTTACGGCGAACACGCTACGAATGTTGAGTGGAATGACCGTGGAACCAGAGCAGGAAAAGTTGGAAACGAGTACCAGCAGCAGCAGCAAGTGATTCAGGGAGGATAATTTCGTGGAAAGTTTATGATGTCAGATAATCAAATTGAATCATCAAAATATGGAATTATCGATTGCAGTTATTTAAGCTGTTCAACATTTTTATGTAAATTTTAACAGACCAAACTTTATTATTCTTCTTGTTTTTGAATAAAGTTACTCTTTTTAAAATCTGCACAAATGTTTCTTCTATTTTTTTTTACAAAATAACTTAATAATTAGCAAACAACGAATGCATGAAATTGCATGGAAAGCAATTTTTCAAAGCCATATTTTAATACAGATTTTCTAATGGTCAGATATATTACAAAATTCATATTTCGAATTAATATGAACCCGTCAGTCTCTTATATATTTAAAGTGCAGTCCACATGTCTCATAAACGCTTCCCTGTCAAAAAAGTTTTGTTTGACGTGTAATGTTTAAATAAATGAACGGCTCCGGACTTTTGTGACGTAAATTAATTGTTTTACATCATTTGTTTCGTGAAGCATAAAATACAAAAGTCTGCGGTCACGGACCAAGTAATCTGAACTTGGTTACAAAAATCGTACCCAATCCATATCCAACAAGGCGTCGTCGTCATATTCATATTGAGTGAGTCGTCTCGTATATTGTGGTCTCCTCGATACTAACTCGTACATGCATATGAGGATGCTACATACTTTTGTTATATAGTTATTGTTCAAATTGGCTGCGAAATTAGGGGTAAAAAAATTAGTTTAGTTTAGAAAATTGCTCTTCTTCCTCAACTAGGTGATGAGATGCGCTATTCCAGAAAAGGAAATAATTTTTTCTTGATGGGAGCGACAGACAAGACAAATTCGCAAATATCTACCGTTACAAGGATGATTTTTACTACCATTTGAGTGGAAACTGCCCTCCTCTCCCTTTACGACACTTTTAAGTACAAATGCAGTTCTGCCCATTTGGCATAACCAACCAAACTACATAAAGTGTAGCATAATAAGAATAATAAGTATTTCACATTGTTGCATTCATTCCACGTTTTTCCGAATTGTAATAAAATTTACGCATAAAGTTTAAAGCCATTACTCACAATAAGTATTTCTACCTTGTACATACAAGCCATGCTTTCTCACCCTGCATATAATTTCATGCAGCTAAATAAGTGCAGACTTGACAAGATTTACGGGACTCAAACCAATTAAAACGAATCACATTGAGCATAATCAAGGTAAAAATTCAGCTCGAGTTTTGCAACGTGGTTTAATTCTTTCGAAAGAGGCTGACTATTTATAAGTACCTCATGGAATGACGACTCCTCCTCTGAAAACGGAAAGTCCCAACCAGGATTGATTCGTATTAGCGTGAGGAATGTTCACACAGGTCGACCTGCGAAACATTGTTGAAAAATTGGTATCATGTAATATGATCATCCACTAATAATAGCGCTGAGCGTAATAAGAGTTCAGGTAGAATTCCAGGTTTTCTTGACGTGCAGAGTACCTGACAAGCCAGCCACCATGCAGTATTTATACATACCGAGTTGCAGTAATAATACAACAGTCGTCGTCGCAGTGGTAATAATAATAATATAACAACAAAATATAAACCAGGAATGAATATGATTGCGGACGGACGGACGGACGGGATGAAGATTGTTTAATGCAGTTTAATGCTGTGAGTTGAACCACGTATATATTTTTAAGCGTGGACAAGTTTTTGTCCAACAACGAGCAGAAATGGATTTTTAGCCAGGATTAAGCGACTTGATAGTATGTAGGAGTTGGTTGTTGTAAATGTTCCCATGTCTTGGTTCACGTACGTACTTATCTTTCTACCCACTACTACGTACGTACATTGGAGCCATGCATTATACACTAAGTTTGGTTGGAAATGAGTAAAAAACTTGCAGAGGAAAGGGAAAGTACATTCTGAGACTGGAATCTGGACTGATGAACCCACCACCATGCAACAAAACGTAACAGATTACCTCCTCCGTCCATCTCTCATCCTCCTCTAATGACCACCACTGGCTGTTTCCTAAACCAACCAACTAGAAAGCACTTTACTTTTTAGCAGAGTATTTCGAAATCCCAATATTATTCACATATTGTCCTGTATGAGGAGTCTTAATATCAGCAACAACAATGGAATGTCTCCCCAAAGAAGAATAAATGATACCGCCGGGGTCGATGCATGCATGAAAACAACGCCAATATCTGCATATTGTTGTTCTCATGAATTTTGTCGTCCAGAAGAATGTCATGGTATTATTTCAAGCAGTTTCGTATTACAAAACCGCACCCACCAATTCACAAGTTCTTACGACTAAACCTGAACGACATAAATATTTACCCTGCTGATATTCCGGCGGTGGTCCAACCAGGTGAATCCATACACGTGAGAGAGGCTGGAATAATTTTAATGTCATTTTAAAAAGCGGCTAAAAGTGAGGGAGACGAAAAAGTGAGAGAGAGGAAACACGCGGCCTGGTGTCTCCCTATCGTTCGAGTGATCTACAAAATAAAATGAGTTGGCATTTGATACCGAAGAAAACAATGAGGTTTGGAGAAGAAGAATATTATTATTATGAGGTTGCCGTGTCGTGTTGTATGTGATGCAACGACGGGTGTAAAAGCGAGATATGTGCGTTCGTTGCAGTTGTTGCTGCTTTGGCGAGAGTTTATATGCTAAACTAAAAGTAGAAGTTTTCTTCAAGGTGAACAGGTTTCGAAGAAGCAAAGGATTATTCCACACTTTTTTGAGATTGCTGCTCTCCGCTCGTCATTTTCTCGCTGTACGGAAATTTGTAGGAATAATAATAATCCCAATGCAATGCAATAATATGTATATTTACTATTCTGTAATCCCGAAGGTTGTTAAAATTAAAGTTCTAATATTAACTTTTTTCTGCCCTCCGTGAGAGAACAAGTACTTTACTAATGCAAGTAATCTACGGCTTGGATTTTTCTGTGGTCTTGATAATAGTTCACGTCATATTCTACTAATCGTTTTCTTTTTGTTCGGCATAAATATGTATGTAACCCTTGCGCAATTCGCTTCACTGAACAGAGGATAAATCATGGAACGATTAGTGGTGAATAAGGCTTTTTTCTCTTCGAGTTGGATGAAATGAAATGAAATACAGCGAATAGGAACAAGTTTAGTTTTGAGTGCTCGAAATACCTCTCCTGCTGCTAATTAATTAAGAATGATTTTTTTCTGTGTTGGCGTACTTGGCATTATGACACAGAAATGTACCCATGTACGCCATGTACGTACATAGAACAGAGATTTTTACTTGCGGAATGCAGTCTGTGTTTTGCTTTGCATTGTTGTTGTTGATGTCGTCGTCGTGGATTTTTGGTTGGTGTTGGTCTTGCTGAATCTGCTTCCGGCTGGCTGCTCTCAATATCTTGATCGGAAACGAGAACAAGTTTTTCTGTCCTTCGCTTGTATTGTGCAAGATTAATGTCCAATTATTTGTCGAGTGTGTATATGCATCGCATTGATTGTAATTTTGGCTTAGTTTTTGTACAACCAACTCCTTGTTATTGCCACTTTGGCAGACAGGGTTGTAGTGTTAATGCAAATATAATGACCACCAGTACTAATATGACGAATTATGCCTAAAAGTACCTTAACCGTTTAGGCAGAGAGGTTGGCTTTTATAGCGATTAATAATAAAGAGTTGAAAAAATGGCTGGCTGATGGATGGATTTTGAGACGTATCAATGTGTGTGTATGTACATACGTGCAAACGATAAATGCGTACGTATGTATTTCCATCTTTCTTGACTTGACCAAGAGATGCGGAATGAATGTAAAAAAAATGTTTGATTGTTGTAGTCCAAAAAAGAATAGGCTATATTTTGAAGCACGTGGCTATAAAGAGAAGAAAGGTCTCAGTCTCCGCAGGATGATGATGATGATCATAATAGTCCGTCCGTCCATCCATCCATCCATGTGCTCCTCTCAAGCCACTTATTATATGTGACTTGTTTTGCCAAACCTATTATAATGACGCCTTCACCCCCATACATTTCGCAGGGTGTTGACTTTGCTTGTTGTGGGTTGGTATTTGTGCTCAGTCGATAGCACATGGGACGGAGGAATGGGAAGGATTATACAAAAATATAAAGTCTAATGAACCAGAGAGCGAGGAATTCTTTATCAGTCGGATGATGCCCATTTTATTTTCCTGCTTCCTATGCGTATTAGATAACCATGTGCATAGTTTTGGGTATTTGTTTTTGCGTGCGCGTATCAGACCGACGACGACGACGCTTTTGTGGGTTTGAGAAAAAGAAGCAGGTTTCGCCTGGTCCAACATATTTAGTACGAATGTTGGTTTGGTTTGGTAGGTTGGTCCAACCCTTACGAGTTGCAATAGAAGAATTATGTATGTAAACCTGGTTAAAATGTTGCTTCTCTCGGACTTTGGGTGGATGTGAGTTTATTTGGATGGAAGTAATAGCGGAGGAACTGCGAGGTATGTGTGCATGCGTTTTAAGTAAGGTGGTTGGTTTGGTTGACTGAATAATCAAGTCTCTTTTTTAAGAAGAGCATGAATCATTAATTCAACCACTTACGCATCTTCTCGGTGGTTGTGACTGCAGATTCATATTTTACTTTAAATTCAGACATCAAAGGTGGATTTATTATCCAACAACATTTGTGCAGCATGTGGTGGTTGTGGTACATACATAATCCCATCCGTTAATCTATGCAGACTAAAAATTTATGCCTTTCGGACACAGAAGAAATTTTGCCAGGCTTCATCCGCTGGTGATCAAAAATGGCTAAAATAGCTCTATTCGAAGACGAGGTGAGTAATTAAGGTGACGGGCGACGAAATTACATGAGGACTATTTTACGACGTGAAGGTGTGTTTGGTTTCATTCGCATTCTTCCTGTGTGCACATATGTCTAGCTGGTTGGTTGGTTAGGAAGGCTGGTTTCACGTACGCAGACGACGTATGGAGAGCCAAGGGCCAGGTCAAAGACTTTGCCCAAAGGCCTACTTACAGAGATCCCCACACATACACATGATCAGAATCCAAATACCACGAAACTAGTTCTGGGATCTCTTTGATTCGCATTCTCTGACTAATGTGCGTTGCGTCGCTGTGTGGAATCTTGTTCCTGATTCCTATGCACTCCTGTCCAAGAGGTAATTTCATTGTACATTTCACTGAGCAACTTTCATACCCAGCGTCGTCATGTGCGTGGACAGCCAGTTGTTGTTGTTGTTGATCAAAAACATTTAACCAGCTCTCTAGCCGTTTTGCTGCTACAAATATAAATATGCGAGTCGATGGCCGTGAAGGAAGGAGGAGGAGGAGAAGATAAAATTTATAAAAGTGGATCTTCTTCTTCTTCTTCTTCCGTCTCTAAAAATCTACGCATTTATTTACGCAGTTCACTTGATTTGATCTCATCTTCTCGATGCGTGCAGGCAGATTATGTATGCACATACTCGAACCAAAATCCAATAATCTGGTCAGATTCTTCTCCTTCGAGTGAGATGGAGGGTGGTGGGAGCCAGTTTTATACAATAACTAAGTTTCTGCTCTTCTGCAGGTGTTTTGCTGTGTGATATGCATCATCAGAAGAAAAACCAGGTATATCTGCATGCAATGTGAACAATGGTGATGAGGGAGTAATTTGCGCAGCGGACTTTCATCAAGTTAAGGGAATGATGATGATAAATAAATTACATGCACAACAACAACAATCACCTGCATTGACGTAGTTTATTATTTCTGAGTAAAATTTTTAGTCGGTCATCACCACATTCCTCCAAAAAACGTTACATTGCATATATGTACGTGCACGTGAATATTGAGGTTTTACACATGCTACTAAAAAACAGTAAAAACCGAAAATGGGAATATTTCTAATAATAATTTTGTATGCATAACGGGGTCATTTCGCACATGTTACACAGTAATTGTACAAAACTAGCGGTGTGAACTATTGCTATTACAACAATTGAACAAGAATATGGCTGAATAATAAGATTTCTCTCCTCCTCAGAACAGGTTGACACTGAGCATTGACTGTCTTGTGTAAAATAAATTGATAACAAGTTCATGGATTTTCCAAGACTCCACGCCACACCGTAATTTTTATTGCAGATTAATAATACAATTAACAAAACTCGTCGCTGTATCTACCCACATACACAAATTTGTATTTGTAGTAGTACATACCACCAATCAGCATCATCATCATCTCATTAATATTTATCCTATTTTATAAAAAGACCTGCTACCACTAGTACTTATGTACTACTTGCTAACTGCTATTACTACACTATTTAGTTACACTACAACTAGTACACGACGTATTGCTTTTTTTCTTCTTCTACTGCTGCCGAGGGTTGATGGATGAATAGACATAATAAAAAATGTATAAATATGTACTCGTACTTTACCACCTAAGTTACGTTACGTTCTTGTTCGATAGGAATGACGACGATGGATACAAAATAACGAAATATAATAATGGACAGCAATATATCAATAGGAAGACATGTTTGCTGTCCTTTGTGTTTCGAAGGGCGTATTGTATACTCAATATAAATGCTTCTTCAATACTGACTTGTCACTTGAACGGTTCACCATAATAATTTCCTGCCATGAGCGTTGCTAGTGAAGATTCGCTACTGCTTTCTTTCCTCCTCGTAAAAAAAACTGGGCTGACTAAAGTAATTATTTAATACTTATTTTTAGCTAACTAACAATTCCTTAAATAACTCCATCGTTTGGTGAATAATAAAAAAAAGAACTGGCTCAATCAATCTTTAAGGGTTGTTAAAAGTACTTGGTTCTACATCTCCTGGAAGAATGTGTGTTTTGACACTGTGAGAAAAACTTGGTTAATTTGAGACGTCGTCTCAAATTCTTGGCTTCCCCTTCTTCGTTTTCCTAGTTAGCTGCCCTAAAGTCTCATATGGTACATGCGTATGTATGCACGGACGAGGAACAGTGATAATAAGTTAGTTCCGACCCTTCTTTCTTTAGCAACAATGTGTTTAGTAAGTGAGGTAAATGTAGAGACTTTGTTTGGTTTCCTATTCTCTCTATTCTTCCTTCCTCATCAAGATGCATAGTATTCTTTCAGCGAGAATAATTAATAGAATGGCATGTGAATAATAATAAATAATAAATAAAATAATAATTTTATACGCAATACTATTCGCCAAATACCTGCCGACACCCTTTTTTGTAGTTTAGGAGGTGTGTAGATGAGGAAATAATAGCGCAAAACGTTTTACTGGGGATTAAATACATTTTATAATAAAATGCGAAAAACTGGTCAACTAATTCCAAAAGTCTGTCAACCCGCAGACTAAAAGGATAAAATAGGACTCTGCTAATAAATGCTTCATGTTGCAGCGATGGAGTATGGTCGTCATGCACCGGTGGGCAGGAGATTTTATTTACGATGACTTTCTTCACGTTTTTTTCCCTACTCTTTCTTTCTCTCTCTACACCGGTGAGGATAACCTTCTCCATGATCGCTTAATCGTATAAGTTTGGTTGCTTGGTTGTTGGTAGGAATTGATGGGTTACAATAAATGAAAGGAAAAGTATAACTGGCTCTCGTGTCGTGATAATAATAATAATAATGTGTTTTTGAGGATAATATTATTCATAAATGGCTTATTTTGCTTACTTATTTTACTACTTTTTGCTACCGGGGGACGATTTTTTCATAAATTTGTTATTTTTTATCTTCGAGTTTGGCTGGTTGAGCAGTTCGTTTCTGGCCTGTTGAGCTTTGATGCGTTGCCGTTCCTCTATTTTTTGTCGTAGCGTTTGTAACGTGGAGGGAGAGGCACCCGTTCCGGTGCGAACGTGTCGCCCGGTCATCGCGCGGGGGGCTCGCTTCCCATTGTTGGCACTTCCTGGAGTACTTTGTCCCACGGTGGAGCCGTCCGAGTCAACCCCGGCGGGACCCTCGGACAAGGAGGCGGCTGGCGAGAGGGGGGACGCACAATTGTAGCGGGACGAGGAGCCGAGGTTGTTTCGAGGCACACTAGGACTCTGCAAAGAGTGAAAGCCTTCAGTTGCATTCTGAACCCAACTTTTCCCCTTCGAAATGTGAGAGAAAGTTGTGGGTGAAAGTTATCATGAGAAAAAAACTAGTGAGTCGACATACCTTTTCTCCTTGACTAACATTCGGAGTAAGAGGATTATTGGATTGCATGGCATATTGTCTCAAAATTTCCTGGGCCTGGAAACTCTGCAGTATTTGTGAGTAGTAGCCCAAATAAACCCAGGGAGGATAATTGCCCATCCCTTTGAGCATCCCGGTCGGATCTCCGCCCAACATGGCGGCGGATGTGAGTTGAAGTTGCACCATTTGCTGCTGGTACGTTTCTGGATCGAGGCCGAGTAGTTTGGCGGCTTCCGTCGTCGAGAGGGAGTCGGGAGATGGCTTGTTATTATTATTTTGTGGGGATGATGACGAATTAATCTTGTTATTATTGGCATTTTTGACCCATCCGTTGTACTGGAGGTGGTCTTCTTCCTCTTCGTCCTCATCTTCCGGTCTGCCCCGACCTTCTGAACACACCAAATTGCACGGCTCGTCATCCATGATCATCATGTCGGCGTCGTGATGCAGGTTGGTCCGTTTCAAGTTGAGACAACCAATATTCCCCTTGTTGTTAAGGAATGGTTGGTGGTAGCTCTGGAGGACTGCTTCTCTCGACCCGTCATCGATAATCTCATCGCTGGATGTTGCATGACCACCGGAAGAGGTGTCATCATCACCAGAATTTCGTCTCGACCTGTCCTTGGATGACTTTATGTGGGTTACCATTTCCTCGAGACGGGCCCGTTTTGTGAGCACCTTGTCCTTCTTTTTGGTGGTGGAGGAGTTGTTGTCTTCATCTTCTTGAGACAGATTCCCTCCACCCTCCATGGGTTGAGGATAGCGGGCCCGAATGATGGAGAGGGGGATCAAATGCTGACCCTGTTTCCGGAGCGGTGGCGTCGTCGCGGTCGAGTGAGAAGACATCATCATTAAATCCTCATCCTCACCGGGGGAATCTCTGTGAAGACCGGAATCAGGGGAGGAGTGTGAGTTGGATATGTCGTCCTCATTATTATTCGCCATCCGACCACCGCCACTGCCACCGCCGCCACCATCTCGCCATCGACTACTTTTGCTTAGATCTTTTCTCCGCAATCGCCACACGTCTCCCTTTCCTCGGGGTGAGTTCTCCTCTGAGTTGGAAGACTGGGGCGAGTTGGACTTGGGTTCGTTGTTGTTATTGTTGTTGTTGTTGAGGATGTTGTTGTAGGAGTTGTTGTGGAGGTGAGACGGTGGGGTGCGAGGGGATGAGAATGGCCGCGGCAGAATGGAGGAGAGGAACTGATTCCGATGGTTTAACGGGTGATGGTGTCGTGGGATTTCGGGGAGGACGGAGTGATGCTTATTGCTGAGGTCCATAGGAGCACCCCCACGGTCATCGTCGTGGGTGAGCTCTTCATGGCTGGTTGTGGTCGTGACAGTGGTCGAAGGAGGACCGAGGTGTCGCAAAACCATCATGGCATACGCTGTATTTTCACTGGCACTCAATTCAATTTTAACTAAATTAATTATACTGAAGAAGTCACTACTGGCAAAGGGAAAGTGGTAATACTATTTTGGAGAGTTTTTCGGGCTAAATTTTTCAGGTTCTACTTTCAGACGATAACAACTGCAACAACTGGGAGCTCTTCATTTTGGCGACAACCGGGGCGTGGTGATACTGGTGTTCTTTTCGGAAGAGTTAGTGCAGAAACCTGGACACCAAGGAAAAAAATTATGGTTATACACATGTACATAAAAAAGTTAGAGCAACAAGTACTGCTTTTTGCTATGCGGAAATGCAGGAATTTAAGCGATTCTTGTGCAAGATATGGAACCAAAAAGGAGAATAAAGTGGATATAAACGAAAATGAAAAAGAGTTGCGTGCATGCATTGCCCATTTCGGTGGATTCGAAACACCTTTGCATTAGCTTCGTCCTCCTCCACGTGGGACTTTGTATAGCAAATAGCTCGCTCACTTCCATAGCAGAATTCACCACCAAAAAAGTAGCATGGACAAGTTTTTCTCTCGCATTTACATTATTACACTGTCAAATTTCTCAAAATGGCAGGGATTTTCTCAAGAGAAGAGAATCGGGAGAAGCTCCTCATCCACCACGCGATATAAATACCACTTGGCTTTGCTGCAATGTTTATGGCTGGCTCGTAACAACAACTTCTCTCCTGCAAAACCACCACTTCTTCTTCTTCTTGACTGGACTGGACTGGACTTCCATTCCAGCACAATGTAGAGGTCAAAGGCTTCAAATTTTGCCCTTGACTCACAGGTTTCCGGGCTCTAATTTGGGCAGTTTTAGGTACTCGTGGTGCTGGTGCTGGTGGTGGAATCGTCGTGAATTCAAAAACCCGTTCTCATCTATATCCTCTTTTAATCCATCTCCCTATAAATCAAGTCACCCTCTATATTTATATCCCCATCTGCATATAAACGAAATAGCGTTACTGGCATGGCATGACATTATTGTGTCCCAATCACATTTCTCTCTCTCTCTCTCGGACACTTGAGCCAAACGTGGTGGTCTGAAAAAAGTGCATTGTTTATCTCTCAAAAATTCACCCCAAACCCGTATCTAGCCGACTACCTAACTTTGTACAATCGACAACAATGGCCAAACTAATCCCTTCCTACCCGATTTGTTTGTTGTAGACGCAACTACGGAAAAATCTGTCACTTGAGTCAGACTCGTATGACTGAATGGTTTGCGGGGATGATGATGATGATGATCTCAATGGGAGTAGATGCAGCGATTGATTGGGTTAGCGTTATTTCACTCTGTGTCGGATGCGAGGATGGGAAGGACCAATCAATATGTGTGCCGCATGCATACTATTCTGCAGACTTATATTCTCTTGATCTGACTCAAGTGGACGTGGGAGGCAAAATAAAATAAGTGCAGCACACAATGGAATAAATAGCAAGGAGAAGAGGAATCCGCCACCACGTCCATGTGGTTGGATGTGTATTACGTATTAAGCGGTGGAGAGAGAGAGAGAGGAGGAGGAGAGGAAACCTGTTTCTAGAAATGACCGCATCTGGCCTGCACAGTACAAGTGCATGACCTCTAACTTAAGATGTGGACTAAGACGACGATGTCTTCGCATTATTCTAAACTTGTAATGCCCACACGTTCTCCTATATTTACATCTCCTCCTATTTTGCCGTTTCCCAAGACCAAAAACCAAACTCTGTAATAATCCGAGTCAATTATGCCCTCTTATTTTGATCCCTTGTTTTCTTCCTTCCTTTTGGGCAGAAGTGTGTAATATCCAGATAATCTCAATTCCACCACCAAAACCATACCGTGATTATTGCATCACACCGCAACAACCAGCTACACGGTACGCGTCCACCTCCCCACGACCGGCTTGAAGAATTGCACGCAGTAATCAATCTCATTTTTCCAAGTGTAAAATATTTCTCCTTTTTCCCTACCAAACTGCACCATTCCAGTTAGTTCCTAAATGCCTTTGAGGTCAAATTAAGGGAGGACCACTTGTAAATTGATAATTTACTCGTCGGGTGGTGGTCAGTAGTTGTTGTGGATTGTTGGTTTGCATCCCTTTGTCCATTTGGGATGCACCACTCGAGTGCATGAACGACAAAGTAAGTAAACGAGACACCATTTCCATCAAGTTCTGACTATTATTATTATGTAGTCAGGTAGTTGAGAATTGACTGGTTTATTCACTCAGATCAAATTATGCAAAAATATTCCGTAGAGGAAGTTAAGACATGCGAGAATACGAACATAAATAGTGCTAGGCGATTGTGGGCAATGGAAACAAGTTTTTAGCTCAAATGTCACCAAGACGAGAGACACCCATGAGAGAATCACATCTCGCGAAACAACGTGGCCAATCTCACGTAAGTCGCACTTTCAAAGCTGAATTTGCTAAAAGTGCCCAAAAATAAAAAGGCGACGCGACGACCTTAGCTAGACAACTTATACTATTGCCGTTGTACACACATAATACCACCACCATCACTTGGAGTACGTAAGTAATGTGGCAAATGAAGTAAGTAATGGAGCTGAAATTGGCTAATGAGTGTGTAGTTGACTGCTGACGAAGGACCTGAAGTTATCAAGTGCTACGTCGACATATGTATAATAAAGTGAGGGCGTCCTTTACCATGGCGTGGCGTGGTACATACATGCATACCTATCCCCGCACAGACATACGTATGTACATGCAGTATGCACCACGATCTAGATTCTCGCCATTCAACTTTAGATTTTTGGTGGAATTAGAAATTGCCAGAGATTCATTCCGTCGTTCGTTTGTTCGTTTGGTGGAGTATGAAATTGAATGGGAGACATATTACGTATGTACATATGTGCCTGGCGAGAGATAGGAAGTACGTACACGTTGTAGCACTATAAGGCCTAAATTATCTTAATGCAAACCTGAATTCTTGCTAGAAAAAGATGTAGTTATTTGGTGGTTGTTGCAAAGTAACGGCTGTGATGTACTCTCACGTCCATTATCAATTGCACAAAGTTCAAGATTTACAAGTTATGCGCTCCTCGCCACCACCTCACTGTTTGAGTTGCTTATTGCTGTTACATTGTTTCTTTTCTGCTTTCTGGGTGCAAACCGAGGATTGAGACTACATGGCTATAATAGTAGTCGTCGCCGTGTGATGGGTAATAAGTAGTGGACGACGACGAGTCTTAAATAATCCGTACAACAAGAAGAGTCGTAATAATTTGGTCTCGGACTTCTTGGGTTCAGGATTTGCTTTATTGAGAGCAAAAAAAGTCTCTCGCGTCAGTTTCTTGTTTTCGTTGCTCATCATCATCTTTTGGTAATTCCAACTCTCAACTCTTTCACTCTTTCGCCGTGCTTAGATGTGAGGTGTACATATCTATGTACGTAAGTACACCTGGGTCACTAAAACGATCCGTGGAATGCGCAGCAGCAGAGCAACTTCTTTGTATCTATATTTTCCCAAGTGCCAAAACATCCTGTCTTGCCAACTCTATTCGTGGAAATGATCCTTAAATGTTGTTTGTGAATCATCATCCAATTTCAGTTCAGACGAAAGCAGACCAAGAACGCATTTTGGTTGGCATTTAATTAAACGTTTACCAATTTAAGCCCCTTTTTCTCTCTTTCCTCTCTTCTAATGAATTACTCGGCCGTGAGTAATAATGCCGTGCCATGCTACACACACACACGTATGTACATACATAGCTCCTCTAAATATGTATAGTTGGTCATTCTCAACAATTTTTGGATGACGCTTATGTCGACGGCGACGACGATGTAGCAGGTGAGCAGTGAGCCGGTTTACTAACTATTACCCATAAATATTTCATTATTCATTATTATAACCTTTATCAAAAACACCACAAAATGAAATGAACCAACCAACCACCAGTGCATAGTTATTAGTTATGTGTCGTCCAATTTCACCCAAGCATCAGCATCCTCCTCACCATCTGAGACTTATTATTCCGCTCCTACTAAATTATTAACTGCGACTCTGTGTCATGTCACACAAACAACATTGACTTGATCGCCCAAGCATAATTTTCAATTGCGGTCGTTATACTAAAATTATTAAGAGAACACGGGAATAAATTCTGAGTAAAATAAAACTTATCTCATCAACTGTACCCATTTCTAAATAGCTTTAAACGATTTTTTACTAGGTTCTCATGCTACTTGTTGCATATTCCTACGTAAGTACGATGATGACTGACGGACTACTCATCGTTCGTCTGTCTCCTTGCCTTGGTTGGGAAGGATAATTTTGATGTTGGTCGTCATATGATCAAGTGCTCTGCTGCCGTTTAAGTCATATTCGCACAAGTCGTCCATTCATTTCTCAAGTTCTTATTTTTATTGGTTTTGTCATGCGAGGTATGATTATTTTGGATTTGGAGACATGCAACCCCATCCAAGTTGGTCAATAATCCAAAAAATGTATTTTTATAACTTTCCAACTTTTAGTTATCCACATGAATAGCACACCACATGGCGAGTACAATATATTTATGTACATAAGCATGATATGCATCATCAAGTCATCAAGAGTACCATGCAGATAGCTAACTAGCCCCATGCATACGTACGTACGCGACTAGTCTGTCCTGCAAATAAACTGCTTATAATCACCTAAAATTCTTTGATTTCTTATTCCCAGGGCATTCACCAATCCACCAACCCCACAATCAAACAAGGTTCAACCACTATATTTTACATTAGATAAATTTGCATGGGTAGTGTGTTGATCACACTCCCGAGATAGCTAGAAGAGGACGAAGGAGAAGAATTATGAATACCAAATTGTGTATGGTGCTGGTGATAAATAATTCAATTCAACCTTTTCCACTCAAATTTAGCCAGCCAGCCAGGTGCGTGGAGATATGCAAATATGTGCAGAAAGCGGAATTTGTGAATACATTATGTAATGTTTGACTTCTAAATGGGGAGATTTTACAGACAAAATTTCTTACGTATGTATATACCCGCTTAAAATAAATTGTGGAATGCGAGCTTAACAATGTTTTAGTATCGGGAAAATATTATCCAGGCGAGAAATATGAGATGGATGGAGATCGAATAGTTGGATGGTTGGGGTCATTAGGAAGATATTTGTGAGATGTCCGAAAGAAATTATTGGCCGTAAATGGACTGACCGACTTGAGGTGGATTTTTCTTGGTCGAGAAGAGGTCTGAGAATTTAAGAGTCGAGAAAGAAGTTTGTCTCTGCCAAAGCGCCACCACGTCGATCTGTATTAATATGCTGTGTGCTAAGCTACTTTTCGAATAATATGCATCATTTCGTGTGTGTGTATGTGACGGCGAAAAAGGAGAGAATTTTAGTGATGCCCACGAGAAGATGATGATGAAAGTTAAGTAGAGAGACGAAAAAGAATGGTGCACTTCGCTCTTCTTGTTCCCATTACATTACCTGAGATTAAACAAAGTCTTCTTCTTGCTACAAAGTGTAGAAACTCTTTTCGGATAAAAAATAGATGGATGGGCAGATATGCTCATGTCAGCCAACAACACAGCCAGCTCGCCTTCTCCAAGTCTCTCCACTAATTCAAACTTTTTGTATGAATAATAATAATAATAATACTCGGTCTCTAATTCCGTTCTCTTGCACAATAAAAAATCACCTACACATTCATAATCGGCCGAGTGATCATAACTCTCAGTTTATGACAGCTTTTTTCTGCCCCTTCATCTCTCTGCCTAATAACGGCTCCGGAGAGACCGAACTATTTGCTCATGCCAATCACTCTCCTCAACAAAGAAATTCTCCGCCGTTTGGACCCATTTGCAAATATCAGGTCTCAAAAATAACCCGTCTCAAAGTCCATCCCTCAATTCCCTCATCAGAGATGAGATATGACTGCGCATTAAAAATGAGACATACTTTTAATTTGGGTGTGATGCATTTGACACAGTTTTACTAATACCCCAGTTGAGGAAGGAGGAAGCGGGTGAAATGTGAGATTTACTATTTCTCTTGGCACGCAAAAGGTGTCGATTTCTCCATTCAATGAAAAACAAGGAGTTAAAGTGGAACAGCTAATAAACTTTTTTACGATTTTTTTACACTTACCGTCATGCTCATCATGATCATCACCGGTTTTCGAGTAGTTCGAGGTCGGGTTGCACCCGAAATCAAAACCCTCTTCGTCCTTTTTTAGCACAGAAAACAAAATAGGAAAAAAATCTCAATATTCCAACTCTCACTTGTTATGATTGCAATTCGAGTCGTCAGGTCACTCGCTTTTCTTTTCCACGGGCACGACAACAATCCGCACTATTTAATTAGCAACATTGTTTTCTTCGTCGCATGTCGAGGCGAGGCTTGTCATCCGGAATTCGACTCCAGTTTCTTCGTATTTTGCAGAGTTATTAGGTAAAATTTTCGAGATCTTTCTGGCTGGAGGTGAAGATAAGTAAGTGCTTAACAATGATAAGTGAGTGATCAATTTACGATAAGTGTTTGTTGTGAGAGAGGAACGAAGACGAGACGAGATACCAAACTGAATTTGAGGGCTGCTGCTGATGTCTCACTGCGAAGTGGTCCGATGCCCAGCAAGTCCAACTGTGGAGTGGTGGTTGAAGTTGGCTCAAGATGAGATGAAGCTCTGCTGCTGTGGGTGAAAACAAACCTTTCCTCTCAGCAGCAGCATCATAAAATGTTACTTGATTCTCACTCACCCCTTAGCACACCAAGAACCAAGCAAAAGCATTGGCAACCAACCACCCTCTCATTCTTCTCCGCGCATCTTGGCCGAGAGCTGATCCTACATTTTGCGGATTCTGAGATACAAGTGTTTGTTTCAGAATTGTAGGAATCCTGTTGTTGTTGAGTGTCAAATATGTAAAAATGGGACAATCTCGTCACACACACACATGGTTGAAAGAAAATGAGAGATTTCGTTCGACCCGACGGACCGACCAAGTCATAAACTTGAACAAAAGAGATGTCAAAGAGCCCACAGAACGGCAAAAATGTATGCGCATTATTGTGTAGTATTGCGTACGCATGTATGTGCTCATTATTCACGAAAAACTCGTAAATAAGGTTCATGGAAACAAGCCCTTCCTACGAAGGGGTCAATATCTACGTATTTAGGAATGTATCAAAAATGGTGAAGAACCAAAACCAATAAGTAACGAGTTATGCGGAATGTACGTGAGGGTCGAGGAAATTGGTTTACTTTTTATACATAAAATCTGCAACTGTGCTTTTTGCATAATTGGAATTTGTGGTTTCTTTGCGTGAAAGTTAATCTAAATAATTTATTAAATTGGAATTGCTCTTAACGGACAATGTGTTGGGGCAAATTGATCAATCGATCGAGGTAAACGGTGTAGAAGGGTATATACGTAGCGTTGTTTAATAATTCATTTTAGCTGTTTTACGACCCTTGTGAGTTTTAGCAGAATCGTTGTAAAGTGAAATATTATTGACAATAGGTAAATGTATTATTTAGTGATGAGGACAGTAGTAGGAGTTGAAGGGTTTTACTGCTTGTAAATCACTGTCACTCTTATGATGCAATAACAGGACAACCAAAGTGCAATAGATTTCGTTAAAACTGTAAAAATGTTATGGATAATAACAATTAACTCGTTCTCTAACATTCGTAATAATAAAAATGGGTTCATTTTATTCAGAAATACAATTACCCTTTTTTTACCTAGAATTTCATTGTCTCAATTTCCCCATCTACTTCCTTTTCCACGCAATGCGAGTAAATTAAGGGTTGAAATTTTGCAACTCTGAAAGAAAGCTGAGATTCAATGTCTATCACCTTTCCAATCAGATTGAAGCATTTTTTCTAATTCACGGCGTCATATCATCTTCATCTCATCTTTTCACATCCCATTGATGTCAGCAGTCAGTCAGAGTCCATTCTTCGTCTTAGGCACCGATTTCCCATTAGTCTCACTCCTCCCGTAAATAACTGACTCATTGTGTTCAATGCACATACTGCATCTCGCTCAATCCTGATGCGACTTTCCACTCTTTTTATCTCACACACACGCCATCATCATCATTATCGTTATCAAAGGTGGGAGGAGAATTGGAGGAATCCGGAAATAAACTCTGTTCTCATCTCACAAAGAAACAACCTGCACTTTTCACCTGATTCGAGTACGTAATTGAAAAATTGTCCAAAAACCTGGCAGAGCAAGGGCATGGACAAACATGACTAAAAATATGGTGAGAAGAGACCCAAAAGTGTGGGTTGGTTGGATGGTGGCATTGTCAAAAGTGTTCAAGGGCACTGGATGGATATTATCGAGTGCATGAGTAAAGCTTATTGGGAATGATGATAATTTAGTAGTAGTCAACCCTTTTTAGCTCAGTCTTAAATATGTGGCAGCCTCATCTCGGGTCAACTTGGTCTTCTTCCAGAATTATTATTATGAAGATTACTAACGGTTCTCAAGGTCTCGCAGATCATTGTCCCGTCAAAAGAAAGAAAGGATTCAGAGTCTGAAATGGAATCCTTCTGTAATTTAGGAAATCTATTTGTGATTGCGAGAGGAAAATATCTTAGGTCTCTTCTTGGTCTCACTCAACCTTGGACTTGAACGACGCAAACAACCCGAACGAGATGACCTAACTCTTTCAGGCAACTTGTTACACGGTATATGTACATACCACTACATGCTCATTTCCTCCTGTTGAGCTACCCAAATAACGAATATGTAAAGTTCACACCCACCCTGACACAATGTGAAGATTTATTTTTGCCAAACTATTCGTGGAAGAAGTGCCCAACTCGATTTACTCGAAGCAAACAAAGAGTCTCAACTTGCCTCATTCGTATAAAACCAACCCCTTGCTGGAGTATCTCATTCCCCCCAAATATTAATTAATGACTAATATATATACACATTATCTAGTTGATTCTGCGTATCCATACGTTTCAAGATTTGTCACAAGGCTAATTTTGATCAGTACGGTAAACATTGACATTTCCGGCAAAAGAGATGCGTCAGAAACAGCACTCTCTCCACCACAGTGAGAGACGACTTATTAAGCAAAGTGCGTTCTCAAGGCCGGTGTGTTGTTAGATAAGAGAATATCTGAAGCCTGCAAGATAATGGGGACTTGGTCTTAGCTAATCTTGGTGGTGAAGGGGATGGTGGAAGTGGTGTAATAATAGGCAGCCGATGATGACGAGAGCACACAATTGCTTACTGTTGCAAGTAAAATACATTGTTCCCCTCGTTCTTTGGTGTCCTTTCCTCTCTGCTCCACCATTTCGGGCAAAGATCAACAGATGAGGCGTATAAAATGTGTAAATAACTGCACCAATCTGTTGATGAAGGCTTTATGTTGTTTTGCGCATATTCTGAATGGATCTCCGCAACCCGTCGCAACGGTTCTCCTCATTGTTGGTGGAGTAATAGTTTTTAGGAAATTTGAAGGATAGGGTAATGGCATTTTCAAGGTCTGCTGTGACTGGACTGAACCCTTTTGCATACGTCCATGCCTTACCTGCTGCTGGAGAGAAGTGAAGCTGTGTTGACCTTTCGTGGGAGATTATTCATCATCATTGAGATTTGAATGGACGATGCCATCCTGCACCGCTGTTCTGTAACACCCATCACATCAGATCCGCTCCCAGTTCATTGCTTGACAAAGGTTTTTCTCGCTCGTCGTCATCAACAATGTGCAGTATGATGCAAGGTTTGGTAATGCTCGCAATATGTCCGTCGCAACGGACGAGCGGGCGACGACGACGACGACGACTGCGACTCCGATGATCCCACCACCACCTTCTCTCGAAAGAAATGGGTCAGAAGCGACCTTCTGCTCTCTCCCATTGTCGTCGTCATCGTTCGATCGTAACAATAAAGGAAACATAAAATATGCTCATTTGTTCTTTTTAACACCAGGCCAGGCGGCCACACATTCAACTTTTTCAACCCTTTCCTTCCTCCACTCACACGTTTCGTTTGTGTCCCACTTTTACGAATTCCATAAATTATTGGGAAAACATTTTTACCCTCATTTCATCATCTCTCGCCCTTCTCGGAGCAACCAGGCAGACCAATCAGCTCTGTCGTACATATTCGTATAAGTGCATAAGTGCATACAAAAATTAAGGAGTATGAATGTATGGTGAAAATTTTGGCAAACAAGTAAGCATTTCAACTTGTTATGTGTGGAATAAGTGGATGCAAATTGAGCGAGATTTAGGAGATAAAGTGAATATGCAGATCGCAGCGTGGGCAGATTTATTTGTAGGATTCCCAGTAGTAGGATAATGTACTGTTCTGAGGAATGAGACATGATGAGTAGGCAGGATTATTATGAATCTCTTGCGAAGAAGAAGTGGAAGATGGATTACGGTGGATTTTTGGAGGAGGAAGATTTTAATTACTGCGTTTGTCAGAATTGGAGTTGCAGAAAGGTAATTTATTGCTCTTTTCTACTTGCCACTCAAGCAGCAGGACTTATATTCCCGTCCACCTGATTAAAGATGTTCTTATTAACCGTCTGTAATTATGAGAGCCCCGAGATTTTCTCATGTCTAAATACTCCTGTGTCCTCCACCACCACTTTTTGTCCTCTCTCTCTCTCTCTCTCTTGACCAGTTTACGCCTTTTAGATGTCCACTAATTTGTCAGGATATAAGCATCTGTGCCTGCATGCAAATAACCCTCTGGCAAATTCTTTTCTCTCAAACTTTTAGAAATGTAGACAATTTGAATTTATTTCTCGAAATTCAATTGTTGTCAAGATCTCGGTGAGTGAGTGGGTAAATTATTGCGCTCGTTATTTTATTTCACCTCAGTGGATGGATGCATATTATAAATGGGCGGAAAGGAGCTTTGTTTTACCTTTTGCAGAAGCATTTCCATCGGAAAGAAAGAGCTCATACTCGTCAAAGATGATATGGAGCTTTGCTTTGCTACCACTTTTCCGTGGTTCGTTCGTGTGCAAATGTAAACTATTTTTGTGAGTTCGTGTCAAGCAGTGAGTGAGTGAGTGATATTGGCGAATAATGGGTTTAAATTCCAAAAATAAGATGTTGAAAGCGTCGTCCTACGTTTTTATGACTTGAAACTCGAAAGGCACTAATTAAACTGGGAACTGGGAAGACTGCGTGATTTTTAAAAGCGTGAACTTCATTTCACACAACCTGTCAGAATCTTGTGGGCCCACAAAAAACATCTCTCTGCTGCTCTTACTTATAGCTTTACGTGTCTCGCCCGTATATTTCTTTTTCGAGAAAATAATAATAATAAGCAGTAACCTGACTCGAGGTGTAAAATTAACTCTTTTCTCGAAATCTCCTCCACACACTGCACGATGAGAACATTTTTCAGACATTGCAAATTCATATTAATTTATCCCCATATTTTAAGAGATGAGAAAAAACAAAGGTACAACATACATACAACTTGCTCCTGTCATTATTATTACGATTCTCTCTCTCGTTTCGGCGTCTTGTGTTTGAATAAAAGTGGAAGAAAGGTATCTTAAGCCGAGAGAGAGAGAGAGATTTATCTAGATTTTGAATTTAAGCCAGAATTGGCCTCCTCCAAAGGGTGCATAATTTAGCACAGAATGAGAAAAACAATAGGATGCGGATTGGATGCTGAT